AAGAGCTCCTCCAAGCGAATGAGAAACTCGTCCAGCAAGTCCTCCAGAGCCTGTTTTTGCTCAGGCGTAAGATCATCTCGCCCCCCCAAGCCCCAATCTGTCTTCTCATCATCCTCATCGTCCGCGGACATCAAGTCCGGGAGATCGGGCGGGTCCGGTTCTGGTTCCTTCTCTGGTGTGCCAACCTGGCCTCTCCCAGGAGATGATTAAGAAACGGTATCTACGATTCCACAAGGAAGTCTGTACTTAATAAACTTTTTCAGAATCTCTCATCTACCTTGTGAAACTCAACCAAACTTGAAGCTAAAGAGTACCGGTGGTGACCGTTGAACCGTTGAACCTTTGCCAGCTTTGGACCAGCCTGTAACAGTAACTTCGTCCAGAGTCCACGCCTCAGGTCACAGGTGCCTGCCCGCTCCGCTCGTCCAACGATTGAACGGTCCTTCCTGCCTACGGTACGCACGCCATATCGCATCCAACGGCTCGAATTGCTCCAGATGGCTTGCTTTGGCCGTACAATCGGGCGGGCCGCGGCCGAGCTAATCAATCATCGCGAGGTTTCTGAGCTAGGATAGTTACTCAGATCATGCCATCTGTCATAACCTTTCCGATATTTTGACGTGGCAAATCGTCACATTGAAAAGTGGCACGACGGCGGAGAGCATGTTGATTGCGTGCGCGGCCAAAAGCAAAATATCCTGGCCGAAAAGCGAAATATCTTCCGCCAAAGTGCCTTTCCGTAAGCACAAGCACTTTCAATGCCGCCACCTGTCGCCTTGCATGTAAAATTACTCTTTACGTAGCCATTTCCTTCCCCCTTTCCCTTCTCGAGCGGCCACTTGGCAAATTGGATCCGCAGCCGAGCAGGGCAAAAGGAGTGCAGGTGTCACATCAAAATCCCAGGATTTCCTTGTGCAGCTTGGAGGGCGGCATACGTGTGAGAATGGCGGCTGTGCCAAATGTGGTGAAGTGGCAATCTTTGCGGATCCTCTGATTTGGAGAACAATCCTGCGCGGCGGCCGACATTGACTAGGGAGGACGGATAAACATGCAGCTTACGGTGGTTGCGTAGCCAGGGCTAGAGGCTTCTCCTTCCCTGTGGCATTGGACACAAAAGGCGGGCCGGCAATGGGGGATGCAGGCGGTCTGGTACAGAGATGCAGTATGTCTTGAGGGTGATGTGGTAGGAGCGGTTGCAAGCCCGAGTTGTAATCGGGGGTCGCGACTGTGTCTGTTCCGAGCGAGAACCACCAGGAAGGCAAGTGGATCCTGCATCTGGAGACTTGCGAAAAACAGTTATCATCACAAAAGGTGAGTTAACTTTTAGCAGATAGAGAGGTTTCAGAAGTGGCGGGTCTTGTCATGTGTTGGATCTGTGTACTTGAGATTGTCTTGTCCAAAAAGTTGCAGTGTTGCATTGTGCACAAAGGCCGTTACACACTTTTGGTGTCTGGACAGCTAAGCAATGCTGCCAATTGCTTCTCCTCCAGGATTGTGTCTCAGCTGGCATTTGTGCTTGTGTTGAATAGCTGGACATTTCATAATTCCCACTTATTGGCAGCATTGAGGAGCCAATCTCCATCCACGAGGTTCACACAATCAGTGACAGGTGTCATGTGTGGGAAAGGAGTTGGAGCGCAGATAGTCGCAAGGCAGTTATCAAAGTGTTGGAAATCCCTTCAAATCATCAGTGTGTGGCCTGCCTGTGTTGCATGGCATTTCAAAAGTGGTGCATTGCTCTAATTGGCAACTAAACCTTGTGCATCATGACCGTCATCGTGAAGCTTCCCTTACAATGCTTCTGCCACTTTTCTCTCCTCTGCGGCTGCCGAAGGATTCTGGTCCCTCCAGGTGTTAGGATATTCTGTAACTCTCCTCAACTTATGTCTTGCTGTGACAAATTTGGTAAACAGAAAGAGTGAAGGAGGTCTTTCCTGAGCTCGGCTTTCATCAGCTCAGGCTGTCTATTCTGTTGGCAATACCATCACTAATTCCCTTCCGGAGGACCCTCATTCCTGAGCTCAGCCTATCATCAGCTTATCATCTGCGCAGGCTCTTATCTTCATGTTAACGAGTTCACTGATTGTATTTCTGGCCATTGGAAATACTTTATGCAAATTCTTTGAGATTCAGTGTAGCAAGAGAGTCTTATGCATGAGTCTGATCAGTCTCAATCAGAGTGGGCCTACAACCATGCGGAAGCAAGCATCAAATTCTCCTTACTTGAATGTCAAACAACAGGCAAAGATAGTATCTGGTATGAGTGGTGATTATAGTTTTCGAGGTAGCTGGTGATAATTGTGCACACTAGTTCCTGAATCAGATCTGTGCTCGGTCATGCAGAGCTCCCCGCCAGCTATCCTCACCACCCCAAGCCTTCGCCTCTCAAGAACAACCCCCCAGAATGGAGAACCTGACGCTCGATCCTGATCTGCCAATATCATCCACCCCGCGCAACCCGAAAAAGGCCCTCAAGCGCCCGCGCGACGACATGCGCGACAGCACCGCTGACGTCAGTGGCAGCGTCATGCCAGTGCCAATGGTCCTCGATGGGGAGGTGGACGGCACGACGGGATCGTCCGATGGAGATTCGGGACAGTCCGATCCGTCCGAGAGCTTTGAGCAGGTCTGCGATCGCCACGTAAGGCGGTTCCTGAGAGCGAATTCTGGGAAGGGCAAACCGAGCACGCAGCAGGGACTGGAGCATGGGGACAGGACTCCTAGGTAAGAAGGGTGTTCCAGTCCCTGTTGAAAAAGCGACTAGAGTATGCACTACGTGTTTGAGAGCCATATTCAGGTGAGAGGAGCAGGCTGTTTTGGTTGCTTGTCTTGTGCGCCGCTTGTCCTCGCTTTCTCTTGTTCTGCCTTGTTCAGTCATACTCCGCCTTTTGGCGGCATAGTATGTTATCAAGTCCTTCAGTTTGGAAACGAGATGCGTTGTTAATCAAGTCCTTTTGAGCAAGCATGGATCCGGAAATGCCTCTTTAAGCATGGAGTGCTGTTCTCAAATCATTTCGAAGATAAAACGGCTAGATCTTGCTAGCATTAGGTGGGGAGCTTCTGGTTCCATTTCGGGCACAGGTTTTTTTGCTGAGCTTTTGCGACCTCGTCCACCTTCACTATGGAGTGAGCTTTCGGTATCCAGACACAGGGTCCCCTGCCGTCTGCAAGCCACCGAGCGTTTTTTTTCGGTTCTGTTTGCAGCAAAGAACCCGTCCCTAACTTGTTCTTTGCAAGGCAGATTACCAAGCTAGGGTTTAGGGGTGGCGGGTTTTGAGGATTTGGGCTTTCTGGGGTATTAGGTGTTCAGTACTACCTGTTCCAGTAGCGTACGGCATCTACTACTACTGCATGCAATGACTGCCAGAGTCCTGAGCATACACTTTGATCAAGTCGGATCATGGTGGTGCATCGGTCAGGTCTCTTGCCGTTTCTCGTCCACTCTCTTTTTCAAAACTAGATTGGGTGCCGATCTCATCCACAAAGCTAAGGAGCCTTTCCACACCTCCGTTCTGCCTTACAGTGGCGGAGTCCGCGCGGCATCATGCATGGCCGTCTAATAAGCACGTACGTTCGCTGCGCCCGTACTTTTCCGACCCGCGAAAGCATCCTCCTAGAGAAGAAGTGCGAGATTGTTTACACTCGATATTTTGCGTGCAGCGGTGGGGTGTTCGTTGCTGGTGTGCCCCGCATGTTCGGCGGAGGCAACTGCTTCGGACGGAACGACTCTATCGGCTCCAAATCGGACGTCTTGTCGCAGCAAGACCCGTCCGAAGTCCTCCCCGACCTGCCTACGGACGACCCATACCCCTCCAGCGCCGGTCAGCCTAACCCCGTTCAACCAACGCCCAATCCGTCAAACCTTGATCAGTTAACCGGTGGTCAACCACTCGTTGGTCAGCCTATTGCTGGTCAGCCGTTCCCAAACCCCGACCTGCCAAGTTCGGATGAATCAAATTCCGGTCTGCTTAACCCGGATCAGCCCGCCTTTGATCAGCCAAGCACCGGTCAGCCTTCCTCAGGCCAGCCAAACCAAGGTCCGCCAAACCCGAATCCGTCTAACCCGGATCAGCCGACCGAGCGGCCGACAAACGCACCGGTTCCATCTCCGCTTCAGAGGAGTACCGCGGACCCCATTCCGTCCCAGGGGGGTGCCGACAACCCCCCGCGCTGCCTTAACCTCCGGGGGGGGAGCGCCGAACTTGAATTGTCCAACGTCGCGCTGACGTTTGCCCTGGGAGCCCCGGAGTCCAATGACCGCCAGCCACGTGGCTTCGAGCCATTGGACCTCCCGAGCAGCAGCACGCACGGGCAGGCGGTTATGGACGAGCCAAAGGATAACGAAGAAGAGTCACCGCCGAGCCGGGCGCGCGAAAACTTCGGTTTCCTCCGCCACCCGGAAGCGCTCCTCAGCCGCGAGCCGGGCCCGTCGACGCCCCGTGGGGGGGACCCGGGGGCGTCGACCTCCGGGGGGGTTGTCCCGGGCGCGGAACCGCCGCCTCCGACCGTGGAACAAAGCCCCCCGAGCCCGGACACGAGTTTCGACCAGCGCGTGGAGTACCTGTCGCAGCAGTTCATCGACCCGCCGTCCAATCCCGGAAGCTCCTCGCACTCTGCGGCGTCGAGTTTCGACTCGAAACGCACGGCGTCGAGCGGGGGATCCCCCGAGGACTTCCGGGAAACGTCGGCGGTGCCCCGGGGGGGCGAACCGGTCCCGTGGCGGGAGTTGTTCGCCCTTCTGCCAGAGGCCCGCGGGGGGGGGCCGAGAGACACCGTCATGTCTGATCCCAACCGGTAAGCCTGACCGACCTGTCTTTCGCATCGAGCACTTTTCATGTGCAACCGATTGAAAAATCTGCCAAAATTGTGTAGTACGTTCGGGCCAGTTCCTCTAGACAGGTTTTTGGAGAACCGTCATGTCTGTTCCTAACCGGTGAGCTCACGGACCTTTCGTTGCAATAATTCTGTTTGGTTCTTGCGAAGTTCGCTCCACGAAGCGAGTCAGTACTTCGTAAGGACCGACTCTTCGAACATGTCCTTTCGCAACTGGGCACTCTGCTGCAGTTGAACAACTTGCTGTCGAGTGTGGTTGCCAAGATGGGCTGTCCTGATATTTCATGCACTGAATCATGGATTTGAAAACACACCCAGCGATGCAACGCGACTCACCGAGTACGCCACGCGCACAGAGCACTTCTCCGTCGTTTTAGCAAAATTCGAGTGTGTCTGGGGTTTTCACCAGTTTTCCTCTTGTTTTCCAGGCCCGGACAACCGAGCAGTTCTGGGCAACCGGGGAGTTCTTCGCAACCGGCGGCCGGCCGCCAACGGAGCGCCTCCGCCGAGCAGTCGCCCGCGTCTTCCGGCGACAACTCCCGCCCGCGAATTTCGATCACGCTCTCCCCGGGGTGCTCCCCCGACCGCAGCATTGTCCTTCCGGGGCTCCCAGACGACCTCGCCATGCTGTGCGTCGCGCGAGTGCCGCGGCGGGTCCTGGCGCAAGTACGTCTTCAAAAGACTGTTTTGTGGATTGATTTGGGCACCTTGGACATCGAAAAGATTATTTGAAACTTGCGGCTTTTGGCAGGGCAAATATTCTCTGTTCTGCCAAAATTGAACAGTGGAACGGTATTGTCGCTCTTGTTTATATTATGTCTTCGTTTGGTTGGTGCAAACCCGTGCAAGAGTATGTCTTGGTCTATGTCCAAGATATCCCTAGTCCCGTAGCCAGCTGTGAAAAGACATGTCTTAGTCCGATTGATCCGATGATTTCGCGGTCGTTCTGACGTCATGATTTCGACGCGTTCTCCTAATCTGCGAACCTGTTTTGAAGAACGAACCACAGCATCATCTCGGCAGGTCAAGTACGTCGTTAAGACGTGGGCAAAAGCTCAATCATGCGAAGCGCTGTACACGTTGCGGCTCGGAAAATATCCTTCCGTCGCAAGTCTTACCTCGTTACCCAAAACATAATCACTCTTTCCCTGATCTATCAATTTCAATTGATTCCAAAAGACACGTCAGGAAATTTCAAACCGGACGTACTCCCGCAGGTCAAGTGCGTCAGCAAGGCGTGGGCGATGCTGATTCGTTCCGAGGAGCTGTACAAGATCCGGGGGGACAACGCTCTGTCAGAGCCCTGGCTCTACGCGCTCTGCGAGTCCCCCCGCTGGGGACCTTGGCGTGTCTACGACCCTGTCAATCGGAGATGGCACTTCCTGCGCAGTAAGTCCTCTTTACATGCATTCCTTCTTTTGGAGGTTCCTTTTTTCTCACCGGATATACCGGATTATACCGCCCGACCCCGAGCATCAAAATCCGGTCGGACCGCCAGCTGCTGGATGACAGATTAAGTTCAGGGAAAAAAGAACGAAGCCAACGAAAGATCCTAACAATACAAAAGCCTTAAAGCCTTAATGACCGACAATGAGATACAATTTCGACACTGCTAGACGTGGACAATTGAGTGACCTGGAACCTTTCCGTCCCCGACAGGTCCCCTCCCCGGTGCGGACCGCCATCTAATAGGTTCTGGGCTTTGAAAAAGAAACTCGGAAGACTGGAAAGGGCTTCGATCTTATCGAAAGCAAAGGCTGAGAAATCTAAGACGAAAGTGATTTTGTCAAGTCACTAGATTGAAACCTGCGGTCCCCAACAGGTCCCCTCCCTGGTGCGGACCGCCAACTGCTCGTGACATGGTACCCTCAGGCAACAGAACAAAGCCAGAAGAAGATATCCTCACAAAAAAGTAGCAAAGCCTTAGACTCAAGAAAAGGCAAAACAATCGACGATATTGGATTTGAACAATGATTAAACTGGAAACTTTCGGTCCCACAGGTCCCCTTCCCGGTGCGGACCGCCAACTGGTCCACGCGAAGTTCTCCACGATTGCGCTGCACGAAAAGATGCTGGTGGTGGGCGGTTGCTACTTCCGCAGCTCGGGGGATCCCTCCGACGGAACGATGCTCGAAATGGATCAGCACGCGTTGCGCGATCTGCGGGTCTACGACCCGGTCAAGAACCGGTGGTCGTGGGCGGGCGACATGAATATCGCGCGGCGCTCGTTTGCGATTGGCGAGATCGACGGGAAGGTGTATGTCGCGGGGGGGCTGGGGCAGAACGGGGAGCTGCTAAACAGCGCGGAGGTGAGTCGCTTATCAGGTCGCTTATCAGGTCGCTTTCAGTCTGCCTCTTGACTTTCTTGTGTGTCATTTTTCCCTTATTTATGTCCTTTTTCTTCGTCCCTTGCGCTTGAATAGCACTCGCCATGCTCTCTTTCCCTCCGATCTTCTCTCGCCGGTGCTGTGGCCCTGTTTCCGTGCTTCTTCTCTGCGCTTCGGGGCAGAGGCCATAGATTGGGTGCTGAATGCCGTCTACTAGAAACGCCCTCCGATATTCCCCAAAGCCGTCTATGAACGAGAATTTTTGCGTCTCCTCACTGCTAGAAAGTACAATTTCTGTGCAAAAAAGGCGCCTCTTGATAGTCCCCCGGCCATTTGATTGTGCGAATGCATCGCACTTGTTTCCTGCCGAGTATTTTTATTGTGAACTAATAAATTCAACGTCCGATCACCAGTCTGATGATACGAGGCAAAAATAGAACGCACTGTCGCATCGGTCTTCAAACACGGTCCTATCCCTGATGCACTTTGTATCCCGGCCCAGATGTGCGACAATGATTTGAGAAGTCATACCTAAAAAGACCTCCACATGACGCTTCTGATTGTACTCTATCATGTGGAGGTGGAAGAAGGATTATATACGGCGACTTGTGAAACCTTATCGGAAGATTCTGCGTAGACACGTTGTAGGCACGTAGACTGATCTGGGTTTGCTGGCAGGTGGGTTTGGCAAGATGCGGGCCTGGATATGAACGGCATGAGGCCCGTGAACGGTCTTCTAAGCACTTTCTAAACACCGGCCAAACGCTGACGTCAGAGCTGACGTTACGGTATGCTCATTTCCCGCAGGTCTACGACCCGAGCACCAACCGGTGGACGATGCTGCCCAGCATGAGCGTCGCCCGGTATGGCTGCGCCGGGGCGGTCCTGCATGGGAAGCTCTGGACTTACGCCGGGAGAATACACGCCGGGGACGAGAACCCGGGGGGCTGGAGGGCCAGCTCGTCTGCTGAGGTAAGCAGAGGGAAGCGGAACCTAAACACCGTACCAGCTTTTGATTTCGCCCACAAATAAATGATTATTCGGCCTGCCGAAAATCCCAGAAATATATTTCTAGCGCCAAAGGGTCGACTATGGTATCTATAGCATGTAACATTGGGTCTGCCGAACCTCACAACGTTTCATAATCAATCTGGCGTCGAACCTGACGGAATCAAACGCTAGTAGGGTAACAGGCATACAAGGACCATTGAATAACAGGCAGAATTCAACTCTTAGAACACTTTCTGTGGATGCACAGTCAGGAGAACCCCGCGGACTAGTCAGCCCCAAGAAGGTCGTTCAAGTTCAAGAGCTGTTTGCTTTCCGAAGCGAACACTCCGTTCATCGTTAGGGAATTCCTCGTTAGTTGAGATCATTGTGAATGATTCCTCACACGTCTGTCATGCTTGGAGTCGCTCAAAAGGCGCTCTCGCTATCTCGAAATCAGACTTTGGGTGGAGTTTGAACCAAGTGTACATTGTAGGCAGACGCGCAGCTATCAGAACCGGTCGTCCATGCACAACGCATAGCTTCCGTCGACGGTCGTCGGATTACCTTGATTTGTTCACCATTGAATGATGAATGGTTCTTATCAACGGTGTGCTCGAAGTTTCGGTCATAACTCAGAGAGGGAAATGCAGATGTCTACATCGAAACGACCTTGTCGATCTCACTGGCTTATCCCCAAAGGATATCATCACTTTTCCCTTCCGCGGATTCAAATCAATCATTCCAAACTTCTGCTTTCACCGACTTGATGGCCACGTGGCGCCCTCTGCACGAAGAGCGTTGTTTCGCACCGAAAAAAAGATTTATATTTCCCGGTCGCCAGGTTTTTGACCCGGAGACTGCCACGTGGCGCACCGTGGACGAGATGTGGATGCGGAAGGACCTGCCCAACCCGGCCGCGGTCCTCGACGAAATGCTGTACACGGTCGACTGCGAAGATGACTGCAAGTGAGCAACCCTTAGCGGATTCTGCGGCTCCTTCAATTCCACTTCAAGTTCGTGACGATTTAACGAGCAGGGCACAAAGCAAGACCAGTCGGCCTCGGTCCTTGAGATTCTTTACCTCCACTACAATTTCGCGGAGGTTGATTCTGAGGCAAAAAAGCCAGACCTTTCCGAGTCGTTTCTGACCCGTAAGCGTGCTTGAAAAGCTGGATTTGTGTCACGACAACGAGGACCCAGGGGAAAGTAACAGGCTATCACAAATGAGTGGATTTGGTTGCAACGAGTTCACTCAAAAGTATTCTAGAAGCGGGAATGGGCATTGGTTTTGTCTTTCCTTCTAACCGATTGAGCGATTTGGGATTGGGTATCTTCACCGAGGTTTCACCATTGGAGCTATTGTCGAACCTTTCCGCGCTGGGAGCTTCAAAGCTTCATGCATGAATTCCAAAGTGAAGAAACGGGTGCATGAATCTGTCCAGGTCAACCTACCGAGCAGTCCCTCCGCAGAAAATGAAGGAAAAGAACCTTTCGCTTTGCGCCGACTTAATCTGTGCCCAAAGGTTTTCGGGTATTCGCGTGGAATTTTAATCTCCCACCTTGGACAAGCTTGATGACAATAACAGTATCCTAGAGTCCAAATGTCCAAAGTTACAAGGCCCGTTCCCTCATCTTCGCCCTCCGCTTTACCCCGGGCAGGATCAAGTGCTACCGCGAGGCGACCAACTCCCGACAAACACCAATAATGTAAACGAGAATATTACGTGCTTCGCACCCTCAACCCCCATGCCAACCCTACCCGTTTTAGGCTAGCAAACTCACCATTCCCAAAGCTGACAGTTCCCCGTTTTGTTCATCTCCTCAGGATCAAGTGCTACCGCGAGGCGACCAACTCCTGGTTCGTCGTCGACCAGCTGCCTCTCCCGGCGGAGATCAAGCACGCGGGCTCGCGTTTGGTCGCCTTCAATGGGGAACTTTACATGCTCGGGGGGACCATTTTCTACCGGGACGGCGACCTGAACCGGGGCCGGAATGTAAACACGGTGGAGGTTTTCAACCCGGGGGCGTTGGCGCGCGGGGAAAACGCGTGGCGGTCCGCACCCAACATGGGCGACGGGCGGGGGGGGATCTGGGGCTGCGCGGTGCTCAGTCTCTAGTACCCCCCGAAAAGGGGAAGTGGGGGGTGGGGGTGTCCGGGGTTGCGCCGTTGCCCCTGTGAAGCCCCCCCGGAATAAAGGGACGCGGCGTTTTGATTATTGTGGTGTTGGTGCGGAATGCAGTAGGAGGACTAAAGGGTGGCGCGGAAGGGCTCCGTGAAAGAAGCGGGCGGAAGAGTTGGGCGGAAAGACGGTGGCGGACCCGGAAACCGGCGGAACGAGGGTGATTGTCGCTCCTGCACAGTCAAATGCATTGCATGCGCGCGGCCTGCGGATCTCCGGCGTCTAGCGAAAAAGGTTTATTTCTGTGGAATTTTAAGCGCACGCGAACGAGAGATTTTATTCACTGAGCTGGCTCGCACGGCGGATAGCGGAAACGCAAGCGTCAGGCTACCGGACGATGCTTGGTCTCCCTGCATTAGGACAGGTGGATTCTTAAAGACAGTCATGCAGATCGCTTCAAATCGACTCTCCGAAGTTGAGCCTGAGGCGGATTTTACGGTAAACATTCTAGAATTTTCTTCGTTACTCGGTCAGGATTGCTTTGGCTTTAGCCGTGCGTACAAGCAACGAGCTGATTGGTTGTAAGTGTAGGTGGCGCGAGTTGCAAGTCTTTGACAGAACTCCGAGATAGTAGGCATGTACCGTAGATTGATAAACGGGACAGAAAGATCATAGCCAGTAAGGCAAGATACGTTTTGCACAGGGAAGCCAGATTCTTAACAGCGCTAGGCACGCTTGTGAACATTGCACCGCATGGAACTCTTCACTACATTCATCTCTTTAAACCGGAAAAGGTGCTTCTAAGGAAGGATACTATGATACTTCTCGCAGCTGTCAATCGGATAGAGCCGCAGCTCGAACAGAGCTGCAGATTTGCTTGAACCACCTATTATACCATCGGCCAGGCCGGACGGTACGAGCATTCTCATGCACGGATCATCGCCGCCACTCGGTTTTAATGGTAAATCTGCAAGGCACCACCTTGCGCCACCCGGCCTTAACGTGTGTGCACAATCAAGAGACTCTGGGGTGAACGATCCTGTATGCAACTTCGCAAACATGGCTTGACTTGGCTTAGTAACCAGTCAAATGTTATTCTGCGCGCTGGCTGCCTAGATTGGGGTTTGCAATTCGCGGCCGGCCGCCCCCTGCACCAGGCCCGCCCCTTTGATTTTTGTCTGCAACAAACTTGTAATTAAGAGGCGTTCTGAAGAACTATACTTCTAGGATGACGGTTAAGATGCACGTTCCGTAGAGTGCCCAAAACCGGATCTCGTACCATTAGCGGATCACCTCCGCCCTAAACTGGACCTATCTTGATCCAGTCTCATAATTCCAACTGTCCAAAACTGGATCAGCTCTTTTGCGCGGAAAACAGAGGTTTTTGACTCCAAAGCATGACCTAGAGTTGGTCAAATCTGGATCCAAGTGCGTCGGCAGATAGCCCTTAGAAAACCTGGATATGTGGAGAAAACCGCACTTCAGAATCGTAAATTCGCTAAGAAATGTTGCAAATAAGCGGTGCGAAAAATTTAAGCCGGTCCAGTAACGGGTCTTCTACGGTAAGCGCACGGTGGCAGGACTCAATTGGTGCGGCTGGGCGCATTGCGTAGCTTGGACTCACTCGCGGCCAGCCGCAAGATTTACGAACTTATGCTTTTTCCGAGTCTTGTACCCATGATGATTTGGAAGTGCGCAAACTTTTGCATTGAGCTACGTACTTGGCAGAGGCGGCATAGTAGCTCTTAAGCCCATTTATGTGCCTAGCAATACATATCAAAAAGAAGCAATTGTATGCTTCGATTGCCATGCTCTTTGTGTGCCCGTTTCCTCACAGATACCACTGGCACACTAATTTAGATCAATTCTAGTGAACTCGGTCGTCAGCATTCGAGCAATGTCAAGAGCTACGTTTGACAACAACCATGCATCTCTGAAGTGTGATTGTTAACCGGTTGGCCCCTAGAAATCTAAAATCTGCTTTCGGTCTTGGGCTTCTGACCCTCTCTTCAGCAACACATTGAGGTAACGCATACTCTGGTCTTTCATTTTGCTCCCATCCTTCACCCGCTTGGTTCTTCCCAGATCGATGAAAACGCATTCACCGGTTTCCGTGACAAAAATATTCCGGGGCATTACGTCCCCGTGAATGCAGCCCTGGTCGAGGATCGCTTGCGAAGCACTCCTCGCATTCGCAGCAATCTCTTCCGAGATCTGGACCTTGTCTAGCATCACACCCTCCACGAACTTCGTGACGAGCAGCCAATCCTTCCCCTCGTTCACTTTGCCAAAGAATATCACTTCCGGTATCACTGACCCTTGCAGAGTCTTGAGAGCCTTGAAAGCCCTGCCCTCGTTTTCAATCTCCTCTTTGATCCAATCTTCGGCATCACCACGCACGATTTTGGCCGCTACTTTGGTCCCCCTTAGCCTGCCATAAACCAATGAACAAAACTGGAGCAGTGGTGAAATTGATTCGACGCCTCCGTTGCAAAAGCTCAAACAAGACGCGAACTAATAAGCGCTTGAGGACCGCGTGCTTGCAATTGCAAAAGGATTCCAGCCCAAATGCAAGAAGTGCTTACATTTGTGAATTGAAGGGAGAGAGGCGCCTTTAAATCAAGAAGCCCTTGCACAACGATGGAGAAACATAAGATACCCGTAAAATCCGAACACCTTCCTTTGAAGCACTTGAACTCTCAAGTTGAAAGCGTACCCTAATGAAAAGCAAATTGGTCAAAAACGTGCTAAAATTTGTTAGCTACTTGATGATTTCCGCTTTGAGTTTAGATATTCACGAGACTGAGCCGCTGAATCTCAAACCTGCTTTCTTTCTCCAATGGAAGATCTCATCGCTTACACGTTTGCTGCCTATCCTTCTGTTTCCTTCGATTGTGACATCGATTTACATTGTCCGGTTACATTTCTGTGGGCACCCAACTTCCGTTCTCATGCATACCTGCCTAGGCGCACGACAGAATTGCCGCAACGAGGTGAATCCGTATCCTCAAGCTCGCGAAGCAGCTGGTCGCCATCTGTGTCGCCCTCGACGGCCGCTAACGTCACAAACCCGCTCGCGCTCCCGTCAGCCCCCTGCGCCTCGTCGTTGTCCGACCAAGGGAGCTCTTCCGGTGGCTTCCGCACGAACGGCTCCAGCCAATTTTCAGCTCCCTCCATCCTCGTTCTGGCGGACATCAGCTCTCGAAAAATGATCGCGAATACAGCCTTCACAAACAAGATGACGTCATCAGTGGTCATAAGAACGCCAAGCCTGGGAGCCAGCTATTCGGAGTCAGCGTGCGTGCCGAATACGAATCTTCCTCATATCCAGCGCGTTGTGTGCACTTCAAGGACGGCAAAACATCTTAGCCTGCGGAGGTAGGTCAGGTCGCCACGCATGAGGAGATTGAGTGCTCCCAAAGCACTGTTGGGAGCGGTGCAGGCAACAGCACAAGTCATGCCTGGTTTTAGTATCTCTACGCGCCCCTCTGCACCGGCTGTAATCCTGTCAATGAACGTGTGCTCCAAAGGGCTTCGCGCTGAAGGGATTGGATTTCTTCAAAGGAATCGAGCAAGAGATTTAGGAAAGCCAGTCGCTCAACTTTTCATATGACCCGCAATTTATCAAATGGTACCTTCCTAAACCTTTCGTAAATGCATCTTCAAAGGCAAGGATAATGATCAGGTGCAGCCGAAAGAAAGACATGCAAACCCGGTTGTTCCACGAAAACTGGCAAGTCAAACAGAGGTAACACTATTATGTCCCTCTCACCTGCTTCATTGTCGGGTTTTGGCTGCTCGCAGGAAACGGCTCAGACACAATTGCCAGTCTCTTGTGAGGTCTATCTCCTGACTCGATCACCCAAAGAGCTGCTGGAGTATACAGGAAGACACATTGAAGCTGCTCGTCATTGAAGAGGGGGTTGAGGGCCTGCAAGAAGGCTCTCCGGCCCTTCTCGCTGCAAGTAAATTGCAATGTATCAGAGTTTTAAGGGGGGTCCAGGTTTCCCAGCCTTGCATCAGCCGGATCCAGTCCGCTACCTTCCCTTGCTGCTTGTTTCATGCAGTTCGTAGCAGCCTTGCGAAAAGAAAAACATGGATGACAAACGAGGACGACTGTCAGGAGAGACGTTGATGTTCGTTCCAGTCTACAGAAAGAACATAATGCCGGACAAAACAAAATTAGAAGGTGAAGACGACAAGATGTCACCATCAGTTTCAATCCCCTGCAAAGCATTGACCTTAGGGAAGCCTTCAGACCAAGGTGCCTTTTGATCGACCGTTGATGTCGGCTTCAACCCCAATCGTAAAGCTCCATTCTTTGTCATCGATCAGATGCGAATGCATTTTCCTGTGTGACGTGGTAATTAAAAACGTCTATCGGCTAGAAGGAGTGAGGCTTGAAAAGATACTGCTAAGGTAGCCCGGCCCTATGGAGTGGGACCGGAGGCCTCGCACTGTAATCAGACCGTAATGCTTTGGGGTATTCACCTGAGCCTTTTTTTGCTGAACGCTTCCCAAAGGTCCAGCTTGTCAGTCTCGATAACCTCGGGGGACTGCTGCGCAGAAAACGTCTCCCACTGCTCTTCAACCAGCGCTATGAGCCGTACGGGCCTGCGTGCGACCAATACAGAACTCTGGCTCACCCTTACTGTTTACTCAACTGTCAAAGATGCCAAAGACCAAAAGAATGGGAGTGAAACAGCTGCGAGGCAACTTTGTCACGGAAAGAGTGCTGGAACTGTTCAGTAAAGTGAGAGAAGGACGGGAGAGCCTTCCGGGGCCAGAGCAGAAGAAGGAATCTTTTTGAAAGCAGAGAATGCTCTTCAAGAACAAGACGATAGGTGGTCATCGGAAGGGACTCGACGGTCTGCCAGCATGTGCCAATCTAAGCAGCGCGAATCAGCTTGCAGCCGAGGTTGATCGCAGCATCTAATGTGGGGTTGTGCCTCCGAAACGTCAATTCTGCTTGACAAATAATGCTTCCGAAGAGCCTTGCCTTTGACATATCAAAATGTCAGTTGTCTCTTACTCTGGATTTGGTCGTCCGTCTTTATCGAAGGTCATCTCCAGGTAACTGTCTGGTTGCCCGCTTGGATGGTCTGAGTCCTTGTCAGGGTTCTTCCGGATCTGCCATCGTCGGATGAACTCGTCGTTCGGCCACTGGCTCAAGATCTGAGAATGAGAAAGCAAATGGGATGCAACTGCAACTCCTTTTGTTTATGCAATACTTTTCAACATATCTTCCCGTTACAAAAGCAACGCGTGCTTCTAGCCCTCTTCTATCTTCAAGCTGTTGTCTGATCCGTGCCAGTTCGTCCGAGAAGATTCACAAAGCAATGGTTGTGAAGGAAGCTACTAAACACGGCAAGTTTTTGAACATCAGAACGGTCGAGAGGTTTGCAGTCAATTGACAATTAGTCAAACATCCACTGAAGGTACGATTCGTGTCGAAACCCGCTCCAGAGTGCAATAACCCGCTTTGGCGGACAAGTCAGTTGAATCAAGAATTTCTGCACAAGGTGTCAAGGTAACTGGAACGAGACGGGTTCTGCAGAAGGAACGCAGAAAACGAGCGGTCTTCCAAGGCAAGGAGCTCAGTCAGCCAGATGCAAGACAAGCTTTTTCACAAGTTTGCAGACCTGTACTCACTGAGGCAGCATATAAAACGAGATTCGGCAAACAGTGCCGCGCGAGACTCACTGCGTTGCAGGTATTGAAGATCCAGTTCTGCATCGCCGCAATGCCAGAAGCTGTTGAGGTAATGGACGTGGGGCCAGAGGAGTCGGCTGAGGCTATTTGCACTTGATGGTCAGGAAGCGCTTCAATGATCCGCATAATCTGGTCGGCATAAACGTTTTGGAATACGAAGTGTGGAAGCCTGCGAAAACAAGAAGGACATTCGCTTGAAGCGTTCTTGGTCTTCTCTTCTGATTTCCTGCAACGATCTTCGCAAAGACCTGCTCCCTTTCCAGCCGACCTTTCACCGAGTCATTTTTCCGTTCGCAAAATCGTGATGCCTAGCAGTCATGGTAGCCATGGTGACTTAGTTCACTCAGGAATAGCTACTAAAGACTACTATTCGTTTACTTCTGTGGCCCTTCGAGATTTCGAGCACAGCCGTCACTTTCATTGATGTGTTTTTGTTTGCTTACTTGAGCTCGCCAGCTTTCTGAGTAGTCGCTTTCGCATCTGGCAGAGTGGGTAGTTTGGGCAGAGTCTCTTCGAGCAGCAATTTGTAGCTGACTGGCGGGACGTCTGCACGCCAAAAACAAGCTTCTGTCAACTCAAAAGTCCATGCTTCCAGATGTTGCTTTGGTCCAAGGTCTTGTCTCAAGGTTCCTCAAATCCCCATAACAGCTATGCTGCATCGGTTATTTGAGCGATCAAGATATCCGTGTATTAGAAGCGGTGAAGCAGGTTTCTGACTTGCAAAGCAACTCAGCACTGAAATACTGAATTAGAGGGATAATTCAGTCTTAGCCAAGATTGGGGAATCTGCCATCTCAGAACAGTCTCCCACAATCAAGAACCTGGTAATAAGCTAATACGGCGCCATCAACCATCAACGTGTCGGGGATGAAGTCACCTCAAATGGAGTCCGAGTTATTTCAGAACTCCATTTCTGGACTTCCTGTCTGCTTTTGACAGAGGACGGACCTCGACTGACGTCCATAACCAGCGATTGCCTACGAAGACAAAAGTCTCAACATAGCAGCAGCCGCCACTTGAACAGACTATACCGTTTCTGTAAACCTACAAACGCCAGTGCAACTCTGGGACACCTTGCTTCATGAGAAACGTTGAAGCACAGAACCGAATAAGGGATGGACTTCAGCTCCATTTGAACAGAGCTAAAAATAAATCAGGACATCAACGGAGCTTGTGTAAGTTTCTTGAACATACCATCGTGCTTTATTCCGCCACTCTGTATGAGCTCGTGTCGCTTTTTGTCAGACCCTTCTGCCTCCTCTGCTTTCCTTTTGCCTGTCGTGCCTGAACTTGTGGTGTCCCAGTCTGCCATCTCTTTCCAAGTGTTGCAATGTGAGAGAATATTCAGGAGCGGCCGAAAAGATTTATCGAAGGTCAAGCGCTAGCGCTCGGCTGGTAAAGCAACAAAAAAATGGAACCTATTATTCCGGCAACCAAGAGAGGCGCACCGCTTCTGACTGCAAGACCTTTGTGCGTTCACCTAGCACAGATTCCGCCTAGGCTTCCCAGAATATTCTCACAGGTCTGCAACCTAAGTTAGTGGAGCGTGCATGCAACCTGCTTTGTGAGATGTTGCGCATCATGCCAGACTGAGATGGCTAGAGCTCCAAGACCTTGCGCGGTGGCGGCCGCGTGGTCCTGTCCGATCAGTGGAAAAGCGGCGGGGTTTTACATTTAAAACCTCCGCCTCGTGGCGCGGCCGCTGGTTCAATAGCGCGGCCGCGCTGGCTGGCAAAAATCGCTCTGAGAAAAGGGGCCAGGCTCGAACTTGTAAGTTGTAATACGGTAGTAAGTTGTTAAAGTTGTAGCTTTGATTGGCTTCATGGTGGCGCACACACAGAGTTCTCTGCTCTGCTCCTTTACTTGGGCCGGTCAATAGACAATTGAGACCACATCTTTCCTGTGCCTCGCTCCAACGGGCGCGTTAACCTTACTTCTCTACATATGGTCCCTGCAAAGGAGATGCTGAGTGGACACGCACGTCATTGGTGGTAAGCAGCCAAATGCGCTCAGGTTGATGCTGGCGTGAGCTTTTCAGGGTTCTATCTCGCAGCTGTCAGGAATGCTGTGTCTGTTCCTCAGATGCCCCTGCTAGCAATAGACTGGCAAAAAATTTAAGCAGCAATATCAAGAAAGCTTTCGCACCACCACCCCATTAAAGGCCTTTACTATTCTCAACCAACAACAAGAGCAGATTGCTACCTGAGCACCCTTGCCTTATTCAGGACTGCCTGACTTTGTGCGCTTCCGTGGCAACCACCGCTTGTTGCTGAGCTGGTTATTACTTTTTAAAGTGTGCCTATGACCCTGATGAACCCCCTTATCGTGGTCATCAAAGGTGGCATTGAACTTCTTCAACTTACCCACTGCCGTCCATGTCCAAATGGGCTCTGTTTCCTCTCATTCTTCAGGTAGTGTCCTTGGTCGTCATGACACTGTCCAAGTTGGCCAACCCCTACAAGATCTGCACAGATAGGTGCAGCCTGGGTGTAAAAGGAAGAAGTGTCAAACTCCCGGCAGCACACCTGCTCTCCTGTCCCTGCCGGAGCATTAGAGACTCCAGACAAAGTGGTTTTCGAACTACAACAACTCTGTCTGGATGTGCGAGCAGTCAATTTCTGGGGGGTAGGGGCTGGCTGCGTGTTCGGCCGCAGAGTGGGGTCCGCACCTTGTATAGGGGACACTTGTTGCTTAGGAGCGCATTCCGAGTTGACGGTCTAGATTCTCAGGTGAGGCGTCGTATCAATGTAGGCTGTGTACAATCTGCGCACAAGCAGGTCAGGTCGCCCTTTGGGGGGGAGCTTTTACAGACTGCGAGCAGTATGAATCGTGCCTCTCTCTGCAACGCGGTTTCTGGGCAAGTTCAAAGCGTTGAGGCCTCCTTGGTGGAAGAGAACTGGGGCGTTAATTTCGTCCCCCTGTCTCAGAAGTTCAGGGTCAATTTAACGGGGGAGGGGGAGTCGGCCGGCCGGTTGACTCCGCTTTCAGAGGTTGCCCGGGGAAAGTCAGCAAGCACGCCTGGTGTCAATTTGGGGGAGGTCGCGTCCGCTCCTGTGTTGGATGAGGATGATCAGGACTCAATCAGAAGGGCGTCCCATCTTCATGCGAGCCCAAGCAAACCCCAGGTTAAGAGCGAACCCCGCTGGCAAACCAGGTGTGAAGGCCCTCCGCCGCCAGCCGCACAGAACTTCCTGGAAGAAGTGCAGACTGACCTCCGGGGTTTTCACATTCTAGAATCAGATAAGGAACTAGATGAGGGCCCTGTTTTCGAGCGGGATGAAGAGTGGGAGGCGAGCATCTTCCTCTGGAAGCGGCCCCAGGGGTCGCAACGAGAGGTGGGGTCAGTTTTCGCCGGCACCCCAGGGCCAGCGTTTCAGGGGGATAACCGGAGGTACTTTGTTGAGGACACTGGGAAGCAGTTGAGGATCAAGCGGTTGGGGAAGAGGGATAAGCAGGGGCCGAAACGGGCTGAGCGGGAGCATAAGCGCGAGCTCGAGCGGCGGTGGTTAGAGGAGAAGTACGGCTTAACCCTCCCTGAATCCAAGGGGGTTAAGAACATCGTTAACAGGATAGGCGGGTGGAAGGTGGTGGGGCAGGGGTGGGTGGAGCGGAGGCGAGATACGGAGATCGCAAAGATTGCAAAGTCGGTGGGAATGGAAAGGGCGATAGAGAAAGAGATGCGGGGGAGGGGGTCACCGGAAGGCGGGTTAACAGAGAACGGGGTTGAGGAAGGGTTGGTTACGAACGAGGCGGATGGGTCTGACGGGGTTTGGGTTAGGATTAGTAAAGAGGATATCAGAGGCGATGACCGTGCGGAGACGGCGTCAGAAGAGGGGTTACCCAGTAGGGTCAGAACTTCTGACCCTCAAGAAGAAGAAGTTTGGCAGAACGAACTGAGGGGTTACAGGGAGCGCTTAAGGACAAGCGACCCGGGAACCAACGGCACCAGACAGGGGGAGAAGTTTGCGGCCTCAGAGTCGTATGCTATGGATAAGCGACGGGTCGTTTGGGCGGAAACGTCGGGGCAGAACGTCGGAGCTGGCATTGCCAACGCAAAAACTAGAGCGGGGCAGAATGATCCAAGGGGTTTTGAGCCCCAGGAGAACAGAGAGGGGAACAATGCACGGGAGGATCCTCGAAAAGAGGGTCGGGCGGAGTCTGGAGAACTGCGACGGGTCTACCGGAAGGGGCCAGCTTTTGAGCGGTTGCAGAACGAGGGAAGCGCGGAGGAAGTGGAGCGCTTTGCGCGACGCGCATTTCTGGAGCACCTGGAGACCAAGTACGGGAAGCTCCACGTGGGGCGGCTCTGGAAGGAGAGCAAGATTGAGGATACCCGCGGTTGGCTGCAGGTGAGATGACAATACGCGGTAGTGGTTGCAGCGGTAAACTTTCTGTTTTGTCCTTTGTAGCAGGACTGTTGCTTCGAAGAGGGTTGGCCCTATTCAAGAATCCTGGGCTCTTTCGTAGGGCGAGGCCGAAGCCCTGTGGTGATCTGTTGGGGAAACGGCCTCGAGGCAAAACCCAGCTTCTTTCACGCGAAAGAAACTAGGAAAGCTATACAGGGAGAAAGAAAGCGCCAGACCAAAACATAGATTGGCTGGCAGCAGGTGAAAGGGCAGAAGGAGTGGGGCTTGGCTGGAGGCTTTCCTGCCTCAGGAAAACTTTGGAAGTGCCATTGGTTGCTAAACCGCATACATCTTCTTACTCGTCGCTTCAAACGACTAAGAGGGCGTACATTGACACTAGGACATTCCCGATTTTTCGTCAATCAGGTCTTCAACACGACTCTGGCTCACTTGAACAGGTCGATGCTAAGAGTCAGAGACAAAGAGAGCTTCGGAACATCGACGCAACAGTTGAGGACGGCGGCGCACGTCTTTACGTTCAGGATGGCATTGAGTGTGAAAAAGCAGACCGCAATCAGAGTGATCTTTCACCACCGAGTTCGGTATCCTATCATCAATGTTTCGCTCTTCAGAGGGACTTACCTTGTATCTGAGACTTTCTCCTTCCGGAGAGGTCTACCACGGAGCTTGGCTCCCAGATCACTCCGTGCTCGAAGTCTGCGTTACTGTCAGTTGCTGTTCAAATGTTAAGTTGTCATTTATGTGCTTCATGAGTTTCCTTTCCGATCAGGTCTACCACGATACGTGGCTCCCCGGCCACGGCGTCGTCGCACTTGAGCCATTCCCCGAGTCCGCCCCGGTTCTCCAAGACCCCCCCCCGCCGAAATACAAGCGCCCCTACCCGGTGACTGCCAAGATGACCCGGCGACTGCGCGCCCTGCCCAAAGCGCTCACTCGTCGCCCCCCCCCAAACGATCCCCTCGGGAGCGTATATGTCCGGGGACGCTCTGTGGAGTTGGGGTCGGTTGACCGATTTTCGGCGCGCGGAGGAGACGAGGAGCGAAGTTTGTTTGCTTCGCGGGGGTGGTTGAACGAAGAGCAGGAGAGGAGGATAAGGGAGCGGAGCGAAGAGTTGCAAGGGGGAAGGGCCCTGTCGGGGGGCGGGGCGCGTTCGGGCAGGGGCAAAAAGGGCGACAAGCAGCTGGACAAGCCCCCCCGGGTTTCGGAACCCGCGAGGCTTGGACTGAAGGTGCTCGAATGGCGGTACGCGCGTTTGCGGCGGCTGAAGAAATTGAAGAAGCGAAGCGACCGGGAAGGGGGGTGGTTTGAGAAACGGGTTTCGGTTGCGGCGCAGAGTAGAATCAGTCTCGTGGTAGACAGGCGGGAAGAGGCCGAGCGAGAGCCGAATTCTGACGCGGGCGAGTGGGAGTTGGAAGCGGTTGATGCAGTCGGGCTGATTGTGCGACAGGGGGGACTTGCGGGGAGGGAAGCTTTCGCGAGCGAGGGGAACGGGGCGTTGAGTGGTGAAACCGCAGACGATGCGGCTAACGGTGAGGACCAAAGCGGGTGGAAAGCAGATAACCCTGCGATCGGGAGAGGGCGTTCAGACGGTCCGACGGCAGCGGCTCAAGACCCTTTTCGCGGACGTCCTCTCAACGGCTTCGCTAACAGCTCGGCGATTCTCACCCGAGCCGCGCCTCCGGCTGACGTCATCGTCGAGGCGGCCACGTCAGACGCCCATCTGCCGCGCTCCTTCGAGGGGTCCGACGAGCGGTCCACCCATGCTGACGTCACTCCTGCGGGGGCAACGTCAACCGGTGCTCCGAAGGTTGAAACGGCACCCGGAGATGAGATGGAAAGTTTCGGCGACCACGAGGGGTCGGCAAAGGGCGTGGAGTCGCCGATGAGTGTGTCGGTAAATACGAGGGAGTTCCTGACGCGCACGTTTCGGGTGCTCGCGCTACGGGTACCAGAACAAGAGGCGGCAGAACTGGCGGCCCGGCTGGAGGTGAGAGTTTTTTGTTTCGTTCCGTGTTCGCTCGCTTGTTGCTCGGATTTACCTTTCTTTTGTTCTACTTTCCGCAGTCGCGGTCAATGATTCACGAAAAGCTACACAACTGCGGTCAGAGACTTACTGGAAAGTAAGCAACCTGGCCGGGGGCTCTTTCGGCAGCTTCACTCCTGGTCATGCAATTGAGCCAAACAGTATGGCAAGTGGACGGCAAAACTTGGAAGTTTGCTTTCAATCAGCATAGACAAGTCTGCCAAACACTGCAGTACTTACAGCCTCAATTCTCGAACCTTGTTTTTTCTTCTCACCCACCGGTTGTTATCGGAATTTGCAGGGTCACCTTTTGCACTGGCCCCGCATTGCCAATACGTGGCCCGTTCCCACTGCTGCCACCGCCCCACCCTTCGACGCTGAGAGCTCCGACGTCCAATTCGGAGACGACTCAAAGCTCGATTCCCCGGACGTCCAAATGGCAGAAAGCGCGACTACACCTGGACCGCAACAACTGAGCTCGCGAGAGAAGCGAGAGGCTGCGCTTCGGCGTCTCGCTTCTGAGCCGGCGCAGAAACGGACGCAGTTACGGACACCCGAGCCCAGCGTCCGAAACAGCGTCCAAAAAGAGGTGAACAAGGGAGTCGGGCTCACAGTCGTAAGGGAGATCAGTACAAACGACGCTGACGTCAATGCTGACGTCAGCTCGGCTGGCGCCTCGAGTCTCGGTCTGTCCGAAACCCTCCGGCCCCTCTTGAGCCGTTCGGACACTGGTTTAAGCGATCCGGACGCCACGTGGACCACTACGGGCGTGCCAAGTGGCGGGTCTGCGCGCCTCCTGCTGCTGAACGAGGGCCTGGCCGGCGGGGGGATAAGCTATCTGCCAAAAATCGTGCGCTTGGTCGTAGGGGCGTGTCCCTCGGAGGGTGGGCTGAAGGCAGTTAAAGGGGCGGTTTTGGTCGCCTGCGATTTGACACTGGGCTACGAGTACTGGACTGTGGACGAGGCAATTGGGTACCTGGTGTCAAGTGGAGAAGCGAAGGTGCACGTGGAGTACGTGGGCCACCTGGCAATTCTATACGGGGGCGGAGAGGATCTAGAACGAAAGCAGATGATCGGCCAGGTAAGCTCAGATGATACTCTGCATCGATCACGGTTGACAAGTCCGCTGGAAACTCCCAACCAGAAGACGAAGCTGCAAGGTAAAGTGTTGGCTAGTAAGAGGACATCCATTGGCTGAAGACGCCTGACTGAACAGCAAGGAATGACGTACTCAAAGCTCAGGCAAAACCAGAGTGACCCCGTCCTGGTTGAAATGGACTTATTGACAACGTTATCTCGATTCGACACTTCGCCCGTCAACTGTCGCTGTTTGGGTACTGGCCGCCCTGTAAGCTACTGTAGTGTGTCAAGGCCAATTCATACCCTACTCGTCTTTTTGGGACCTGTTCACTGAAGACGAGCTAGTACCGACCTCTTGGGCAAGGCGACTTTACACGGAAGAACGATCTGTATTTCGGACGTCATCAAGATTCGGGAAGCTCCTTAGCAAGCTCCAAGGTCAATTATGACCTTCCTTTCTCGATGATGCGCATATGAAGAGACGCCTCGAAACGTTGCTGACATCACTGATTCTATTCTAACCTTCTCGTCAGAGAGTAGCTGGGTGACAAGCACCCCGGCTCACGTACTCGGACACTCTACTGGATCGCCCGGCTCTCGTGGCTCACGAATTTCGAGCAAGGCGGCCGGTGAAAAACTCGCTGACGTCATCGTTATTCTTAACTGGTGACTAGTCGACAAGCACCCCACGTGCGGACGGACCCAGCGCACCCGGACGCTCTTTCGGACCGTCCGGCGCTCGTCGCGGGTGCAGCGAATCCCTCAAAGAAGTCGGACAGTGACGTGATTATCTCATAAGTTTTTGACAGCTGGCACGTGTTACTGAAACAGGTTCTGGTCGACAAGCACCCCCACGTCCGGACGGTCCTAGCGCACCCGTCCCGTCTTTCGGACCGTCCGGCGCTCGTTGCGGGCGCGACTTCCTTTTTCACGACCGCGCTGGAGAACGGCGTGCGGCTCGAGATGGACCTGGGGGCGGTGCGCTATGACGTCAGCATGGCCGCCGAGCGGCAGCGCCTGCTCGACACGTTCACCGCGGCTGACGTCGTATGTGAGCTGTCGTGTCTCGTTTGTACCTCCTTTCTTCTTGCTTCGCTTTTTACCGGTTTTTATATTGGGAGCCTTTGTTTGTTCTGACCTGTAAGGATTGTACCTCCGTGAAAGGAGACATCGAAGACGTCACCTTCACGGGTGCACATTTCAGACGCGGTTCGTGAACCCCCTCGTCACAATCCCGTGAAAGCTACACTAGGAGTGACGTCTGTCCAAGCTGGAGTCCCTGACTGAGCAGCACTTGTCGAGCCTTCGTCCCCGTTGAATAGGTTCTTCCCTGCCTTCGCTACCTCTCATTGCCGTCGGCGATGCTGGCATTGTCTGTGGTCGCTGTCTTGGTCCCTCTCTCTCTGTCTCTCTCAACCTGTGTTGCGTCACACTTCTCTCGCAGTCAATCACTTGCCAAGTTTTCCCAAGTTCAAGCACGTGCACTGCTCAGCATGACGCTACCTCTTTTGGAGTCAGCTTTACATAAGGCCTGCCTTATCAGCAAAAGCAATTTCCCGATTGTTCCTGCAAGGAGCCAACTTGCTCAACGTGACGTCGGCCCTCGTTGCTTCGTTCTCAATCCTGACGTCATACTTCGCTCCACAGGCGACGCGACTGCAGGCATCGGCGCCTTTGCAGTCGCCGCCGCGGGACGCGTGCGCTTCGTCCACGCTTGCGACTTCAATCCGGCCGCGCTCTGCTACCTGGCCCGGAACGCGGAGCTGAACGGAACGGAGCGGAACATGCGCCTCTGGCAACTAGAGCCGGAAGACTTTATCCGGGAGATCCACAGCGCCAGCCCCCGGTGCTACGTCACCCACTTTGTCCTGGACCTCAGGGGGCGGTCCTGTCGAGTCTTGGGTGGGTCGGAGCCCGTTTGAGCTCTCTGGTTGACGGCAACTACGTTTCTAACCCCCTCTTTACTGTATTTCTTCGTTGTTTGTTCCCCTGTAATCCAGCAAGGTTGACAGGTTCGTGTGTCCATTAAAGAGGCTACGGTTGCCGAGAGAAGCGTTTAACATCACCGGAACCGTTGTGGATGTGTTCCTGCTTGGCAACTAGACAGGGCCGAGTCTTACGTAGATTGCCGTCGTTACGGAGGCAAACGTGGGCAGCCCAATATTCCTCGTCGATGCCAAACCTTACGTTGGGTCTTCTGGTATGGCGGTCTCTTGGCCCTCCATTGAGCAGTCATTCCTTCGCGGAATCGTTCCCCTTGGGTATCTCGGTCTCCCATTGATGTCGGATTTTTGGACTCTTATGCATATATCCATGGACTTGAATACTCTGAAGAATTTTATACCTGTAGAAAGGCGGCCGGGGCAGCAGCGTAACTAAAAATCCTCCTCCTCAACAGACGAGGTCCGCACCCTAACCCACCATTCCAACCCCACCCGTTCCCCGGGCGTGTCTTATAGCTCTTTGATACTCATAGGTATTTAAACTCTATCTCTATAAATGCATCTTCTTTTTCCTTGCTCCCAGAGGCGTTCAGAGGCTCTTTCAACCGCGGGCTCTGGGGCGAGCGGCCGCTGCCGCAGGTGCACATTTACACCATCCCCCGAACCGACGACCCGGAAGCCGAAATTACGGAGGTAAGAAGTTGGGCTCTTGCAAGGTGACTTTCGGGCTGGCATGTTCGCACCGTTTGTTTTGCGATGCCAGCTGTTCTGATGCAACGATTCAGAATGTCCAAAGCCGCTCGAAGTGGTCAGAAGCAACTCGCAAAGCTGTTGCTAAAAGTTCACTGCCATTTTTGATTCTGTGAGAAAGGATGTCTATTCAAAGTTCTCAAAGCTGCTGGCCCTTTGATCTGTTCTGGTCCTCCTGTTTGGAGCCTGCTTGCAGATGCACAAGTGCGGTACGTCCCTTGCGAAGGTGCTGAAAGCAACAATGCCTTTCACACCGATTTTTCCACCTTGACGGGCACAAGCTTCTCTGTCAAGAGAGTATTCAACGAGCTCAAGAAGCAGCACTTCCTTTGCCTAATGTTGCGCCCAGGATCGCAATTGAAAGCTTGACGCCCAATCGCTTTTCCTCACTGCAGCAAATCTATGACGCGCTTGGTGTGCGTTCCTGGGGGGTACGATTCTACCATGCACAGTTGCGAACGAGTGGTGGCCTGTTCACGGTAGCTTCGTTCCGGTTGCCGTCTGAGTGCGCATTTGACGATATTCTAGGCTACCATTAGTAGACGGTGCGCTCGGTTATGGCTGCTATTGCAACCTGCAAGCGCGCTTGATGGTACTTTAGGTTAGGATTAGAAATGCTCGCAGTCGTGCTATTTGCAACCTTGAAAGCGTCATGGATGAAGATTCGAAACGCATAGATGTCTTCAGAGATATCATATCTTCACACTCCCAGTTGCAAGGAACATTCTGCATGCTTCCTGTAAACATGAACTGACTGTCACGATTCACTAAATGCACTGAGTGCGCATATGAGAGGTCATTCCATGCAGCATGACAATTCACCGATATTGCAAATCCAAGCTAAAGTCCAATCCCACTGGCTTGCACAACAAATCTTGCGAGGAGTAGAGCCACGGTATCTCTCAGTCTGGACGTACGGCGGCAAACAACAAATTCCAACAACAGTATAGTCCATGCACATGGACCGTCCATGTCCACAGATGGACCGCGTGATGAAATGATCGTGTTGTAAGCTAGAGGCCTTATAGGCTACAAGGATATAAGCGCACATGTGCCAGAAGGATTTTAGTTTCGCGAGCATACAGCCTGTCCGTGTGGCAAAAAGGTCAAAGCACTGCACTTGGAAAGTGTTAACAGCCTCTGTGGCAGCTGTGTGTTTGCACTCCCACGAGTGTGATGCCCGGCACAATCTTTCCATAATCTATGAGCTGACGCGCTACGCATCGACCGCCGCGTGGCACTCTGGCAAGTAATCGACGGCTACCTTCTTTCGGACAGTAGCGGGGACTCGCGGCTGGTTCAGACCGCATAGGACAAGGTCGCAGCACGGGGAACGGGTAGGGTTAGGTTGGTAGTTTATGATGTGCAGGGGTGCGAAGGGCGTAGATTTGCCGGTTTAGGTCTTGGTTCTGCCCTGACCCGGGGACTGTTCGTTCTCTTTTCCGACAATCTAACCATCAGTTAGCTACCTAAACCATAGCCGCTAAAGTACCGGGGACCGGAACAGTATCGAAGAGTAGCATTTATGGCTGTCAGACCGCCCGGACTGCTCGTGTCATGTGTCAGAACTACCGGCCTATTGCGGTTGAAAACGACGGCCTAGGTACACCAGCGTATTAACACTTTCCAAGTGCAGTGCTATGTACTACTTGCGTCTGTGTGCATGATATTTGGCGGCACATGCAATTTCATACACGCTTGGGTGCGATCATTCATATGGGGGTTGTGCACGTTGGATCGCCACTTCAATTCTTGTCATGATTCAAGAGGACCAATAGCTCATAACACCGAATTAGACACATGCTGCGCCGCCATGTTCAGCCTGCTGTATGAGAATTCTAGTAAGACTGCATGCAGGCAACTGAGGGCAAACGACTCAGGTTCTGGTGACTTGCAGCAATTTGATCGAGCACCAAAGATTGGATTATTTCAAACTGTTCCCCCCACCAATTGAATGGCATGGAATTCTATAAAAGCTCGGTGCTTAATCCTGGCGAACTCCCTGTCATGGTCACCGAGGATCCGGACACATGTAATGTACAAGCCTGGCCAACGATGGCAATTGCTACCCAAAGTCTTTTACCATTACTTTTGCCAGAAAGCAGAAACTATTAGGCACTACACTCAACTACTGCCAGACCCCAAGAAGTAAGCAACTATGGCTTTGGATCAGGCTACATTCAATTTATCTACAAGAAGCAGCTTGAGCTATTCTACCTGATTTTGTCCATATTCACAAAGTTTACCGATGCATACACCATTCTCAGAGCGACCTAATAAGCACAAGGCTGTTTCTTGCCAGCTTGCAAGGATTCTCATTCAGAGCGCTTTGCACTGCAACTGTACAATCCCCCACTATGCCACAGGTTTATGATTTACCTACTAGTGCGGCTTTTGCCCCTTTACAGTTTTTGGCAGGCTCATTTGGTGGGGCATATTCTTCTGGATTGCGTCTTGGAAAGACTTCGTGGCATGCTCGCACTGGTGAATCATTGCCTTTCGTTGAGTCTCCAGCGAGCTCTGCACAGACAATGAAGAAGCGCTGATAATCAAGCGACTGATTCACAAGCGAGAGTAGACAAGCCCAGCGGCGAAGAGTAGACGGACACTTGAAAGTGTAAAATGTATCATAAGCTTCATTTCTTTCCTGTGCCAGATGGAAATAGCCCCATTGATTTGCTCGAACCAATCGTCAAACCAGCAACCCAATTCAAGTAGCAGAGTTGGCCATCAGATAATACTGCACGTTGAAAACTTCCACCAGAAACTTTCACAAAGACTATCTCATAAGCTTCCAGCCGTTTTCCCCCAGGTTTGTCTGTCAGAAAACAGAAAGCATTTACTCAACACCTCCGCTCTAAAGCACGGGACTGCCAAGCTATTCAGTGTGAGAAGGCTTTTTGGCAAGTGAGGGCTTCCAATCAAACAGCTTTGAGGAGGAGGGCAATAAGGGCAACCCAAAACTTCACCATAAAGCGGACTGCTGTACAGCAGATGCCTTTGTTTCAGTAGAGGGCCACCATCGGCTTGCAATACACTGCATTTCGTCTGAAAAGTATAATAGAGCAACATTGCACGCATACATCTTTCTGGCAAAACTGGGAGCGTAATGCTTCTAACATCCTAATAGAACCAGGAGCGTAATGCTTTTAACATGCAGCCAGGTTCAGCCAAGTATGTATGTAACATCAATGCAAGGGACTTGAACTGAGCTTCTGCGAAACACAAGAGCTAAATGAACCAGCTGAACCGCTTTCCAATAGGAAGTCCAAAGCACGGTACAATTCCAACGAAAAGAGGACTTCTGGGAGGGAAAGACGATCAGAAGCTACGGACCCTGATGTTGCACAACCAATCACATCAGTTGCCAATGTTACAAGAGCTCTGACAATCGTTTCCAAGAAAGCTTCATTCCACCTGCTGATATGGTACTTCCCTTTGTAAAACCCTAGGATCCATGCTTAAGTATCAAAGACCCAGAAACTATTCAACACCTTTTTCTACTCCTTTCTGTGTTGGCAAAAGCGGCAGAAAAAGCCTACTCTTGAGAAATGTCAGCTGGTAAACACCGAAGAAGAGTCGAAATAGGACAAAGGCACCTGAACAAGATGTTAAAGCTCTATTTGATGTCAGAAAGCCCCGTTTCAAGACTTACCATCCAAGGGCCCACTGCTGCAACAGTGTCCTCCCAAACATCCTCAAATAAGGGGTCCATAGCCACCTCTGGCAGCTCAAACCCATGGTTCGGAGCTGGCCCCCATTGTCTCCGCGCGCTGCCTGGTGTTCCCTCCCTCGAAGACGGTCCCATTTCCTGAGGAAGCTCCCATTGCCACTCTTCCTGTCCCAGGTTGCTGGAATGTCCGGGGCCTCTGAGGAACGGAGCTTTAGCTGCGGCCGTCGCGACCGTCGACACGTGCCGCGCGTCAAGGGGTCGTAGGGCTGTGATTGTCATGGCATTAGGGGTTGGCTGACAGTGAGAAGGGACGAAGGAATGTACCTAAGTGGCTGCACGTCTCTTTCAAGGACCAGCGTGCTCTGAAAGCGCCCCTTGCGGCTGCACAATGGCGATGCTGTTCCTTGGAGCTGATTTTGGCGTGCTCCTCGAGGACGAAGCTGCTCTCGCTTGCCAGCTGGAAGAAAATCTCCTGCTGGAAGAAAATTTGCCTTTTCCGAGTCAACAAACAACCAATGATTAGCCAACGATTGATCGTCCGATGAGCCTCTTGGAATTCGTGGACGGCTTCGATTTGCTAAAAGCTACACCTAGATTTCCAGCAGAATATCGAGACCGTTCGATCGGGAAACCGGTTGAAGCCGTCCGATTGCTCAGAGGAGCTCCCCCAACATTCATTCATGCAGCAGCCTCAGCCTGAGCAAGGCAGGTACGGTAGGTACGCTGAGAGTCAGACCTGCTCATGAGCTGGAGGTTTTGCGTTTGTTGGACCTTGATCACCTGCTTCTGTCCAGCTTTTCCCCCTGTTTTACCATCCTGCCTTATCATACCCTCATTGTGTGCATCGCTTTGGTAAGCGTCATTCTATCAGCTACTTCGACATACGACCATTTGTCCACGCAATGCAGATCACCAGTTATGCATGCGCACCGCGATCCGGGGAGTTCCGCAGGGCAATCCCAGAACGACCTTAAAAACCCCGGCGATGATGACGATCTATTTTCTGAGAGCTCAAAGTCTGATTCCTTTCTAAGCCGACCGTTCAGGCGTGCGGGGCTTCAGAAGTCTCTGGAAACAGCGTGGCAGCTATCAGGCCTGCTTCCAGTTTCAATGTCTGGAAACAGGGATCCAAATGCAGCTGCTAATGGGGGGGGCATTCCTCGCCCAAGAAGCTCACTCTCTCAGACCCCGGAGGAGATTGCGAGGGCTGCCGCCGCAGTCAGACCGCCACCGAGCATTGTGGTCTCCGCAAAGCAACCTTCCAAGCTGAAGCGAAAGATTGGGGGGTTTTGGGGACGGGGCAAAGGCACCGGGTCATTAAGGAAGGGCACATTCAACCCTGAGGAGCTGACCAGTCAGAAGCGCCAGTGGGCGAAGTTGCAAAAACAAGGCCTGGTGAGTGCAAGTGTTTTTTAGCCGGCAATTCGTTTGTAGTGCGTATTGAGATTACTCCACTGCTGACGTTTGTCATTTGACAGCTTCTCGATGGCTGCACATACACTGGAAGAGGCTTAGTGTTTGTGATCATGTCGACCCGTGAGATTAAGAACTTTCTCATGCAGAGCGTTCTTTCGCATGCGCTTTCATGCATTCATCAAAGTAACCAGCGGTGATGTTTGATATGAGCAACTTCACTCTGATGTTGAATATTTGGTTTAGGGTTGAGGGAGCGGTGAAATGCGAGCTCTGGTGTAGTGGTGTAGCACATATAGTGCATAAGAAAGTCAGGATGGATCATCACATCTCAACTGTAGCAGCAAGTCGTTCTCGAAGTGCAGTTTTGGAATGATGTTCTCAGGAACCTTGACTGTAGAACTCTTAGCAGGGCGGTCGCGTTGCTGCCTTACAAGCCCCCTCTAGGCCCTCAGAAAAATTCAATAGCCTGCGAGGGTTTCTTAGTTCACCACCCGATGGATGCAATCGCAGGGACCGTAAGAAACCAATCAATGCTCCTGACCTATCTGGAGTTTTTCAGCAGATCTGCAACTCTTATAACAATCTCTTTTACCAAAACAGGAAGCTCGGCACCGGGGGGAACCGACGCACTTGTTCGAGCACTTTGTGGTGGTTGGGCTCCCCCCCACCGCAAACGTGGCTGCGACGGAAGCCGCATTCGCAGCCAAGAAAGCGGCAGAAAGGGCGGTCGAAAGGGCGGAAAAGCTGGGCGACGAGGATGGGTTAGTGGTGATGCCTTGCCTTTCTCCTGCTTGCTGCGGATTAGGCGCAGTGGACTTCACCACTATATGGTTGCCAAAAGGGATGAGCCCGCAGATTCCGAGGTTACTCGAGTTGTCTTCAAAGAAACTGTTCGTTGGCAGCGTCTGCCTTCTTCCGCGTCAGTTGTTATCCTGCCACTAGCGGACTGCATACTTTGTGACAGGTTTGCCAAGTTGAGTACCTTCACAGGCGTCTGGACAACAGCTTGCAGCAGTCCTGTCAGATCGGCCTGGCTTCAATTAAAGAGAGCAGATCTGATACCTTGTACGAACAGACTCGTTGTGAATCTGATTTGGAACCTGTAAACTTTTGCATTTCAGAACATCAGACCTCAATCAAGGACAGGGCGACTTTAGGATGCGATCGGTTGCACACGAATTTCCTAAGAAGCCTTGCTCATCTGCAGCCACATATAGATTCAACTCAATAGCAATGACGATAAGCTATGACCGACGGCAGGTACACAATGTATAAGGGCGCGGCCGGCACCAGCCTCCAGCCGGAGGTCCTGTTCAAGTACCCTCCTGGCAAGCGCTTGGCTCTCAAGGACCTCCCGGGTTTCTGCTTCCCAAACGGAGTGCAGGCGCGGGTGATGGAGCGCACCCCTTCGATGAGCGAACTAAATGAGGTCAGCGGCAGTGCACATTCATGAGCTGGAGCCTGATAGCAGATCTTGAAAGACGACTCTCTAAGTGCAGGCTTGATCTTGAACATGCAGGAAGAAGTTAGGGCAGCGCATCCCAGTGGCGTCTTGAGGAGACGTGATTTGGTGCTATTCTGGTGCAAAATGAGCGAGGATTGAAGATCTTGGTCAGCAATTAGTCCATCTCCTATGTTGCAAGATGTTGACTAGAAACTTGCGGGATATAAGGTGCATCTTGAGTTGGAGAACCTAGGGTCCCTGGCGGTGCCGTAAGATATGTTCGTTTTAGTTAAAAAGAGGTAACTTGATTACTTCCAAAGAAAGTCGCTGAATCGTAAATTGGGTTCTCACGACCTATTGAAAGTGTTCCTCCTCAGAATAGCAATTCAGCTCACGGACTGTCCCTCTCCACACAGGTGATCTACGGCCAGAGCTACCAGAAGAAGGACGACCAGTCCTTTGTCTTCCTGCTCAAGGTCGCAGACAACGTCACGCTGTATGGGGTCTGCGTCCTGGTCCACGAAATGGTGCAGCGGCCCCCGGGGGTGCTCGCAATGTCGATGGCGTTCAGTCCTGCGCCCCCGACCCCCCTCAGCAAGTACCTCGTCTCGGCGCCTCGCTGCTACTGCATCCTGACACAATACCCCTTCTTCGACCTCCACTTTGAGGTCTTGTACAAGTAAGGGCAGGAGTAGTATTGTCGTCATGACTTGGGTCGCGTATTGTTTCTTGCTCTTGAATCTTGCGGGGCATTCGTGCCTTCTGCCTTCAGCTTCATGGTGAATGAGGGCGTCAGTACTTGTTGGTATCGTCTCTTCTTGTGTGCCTTTAGGTAAGATGGTGTCCAGTAAGACAATTATTCGTCAGTATCTTTTTCAGCAAACTTTTCGGATGCTGCCAGACTTACTCATGTTAGCCCCCGTGGTTGGTGCAGCGTCTTGGCCCAGGAGCGCCTCGACCGCATCACCGCGTGCGTCAGCGAAATGGTCGTCGACGTCTCCTCCCCCATGGTCAAAGTCAGCAGCCGCCAGCGCATGGCGTCACCCCCTCGGGGGCCGAACTCCGAAGACGACCCCAACGAGTGGATGGACAGCGCGATCCCCGTTGACGAGGTTCTGGGAAACACGCTGACAAGCCAAGGGTTCAGGATCGAGGATCGGCCGAGAAGTCCCTCTCGAAGCTTGCCGGCGAGTCCTGTCCGGTCGCCGAAGGGGGATGGACCTAGTGCGGGGGGCGGTTTCAAAGCGCCTCTGAGCGCAGATAAAGAACAGGGGAAAACTGAGGGGGGCCGCTCCACTGCAGGGGGGGTTTCAGAAGGTACTGTTGTAGGCGAAAGCAAGGGGGGCGAAACGAGGGAGAGCGGAGAGCGGGAGTACCGAACTTCGAGGCTGGGGGACGAGCGGTTGAGTCGCGCAGAGGAGCACGGAAACGGTGCAGCGATGGAGGCGAACCGTTCGGAAGAGAGCACAAGCGTTGCGGCGAGGGGGGAGGATGAGGGGCTTCAAACGATGCCGTCGTTGGTGGGAATGGTGAGCGTGGACCTGAGCGATGGAATTCCGGTCGAGGACACCGGAATTCCGGTCGGGCCAGGTGCGGACGGGATAGAGGTGTTACGGCAGGGCCTTCAGGAAGGCGCAGAGGCCGCAGCTCCGTCGATTCCGCCGACGGTTCCGGAAGAAAGACCACTGGAGGTGAACGGAAAGGATGGGGAGAGCGGAGAACTAGACGGACGGGTTTCGTTGGCGAATGAAAACGCTGACGATCAGGAAGCTAGAGGAGCGGCCAATGACGAGGATGGGGTGGGGGGCAGCGAAGAAGCGAGCACTTCCGGAAGGGGGGGCGCCACCGAGCCTGGCCAATACAAGACCAAGCGACCGCCCGCTATAGCGGTCAGCGTTCCGGCCCCAATCCCGCACCCGGAGCTTGGAACGGAACCGGACACGATTGACAAAAACGGAAGCGCCGAAGCTGCAGAGATAGGTGGGCACGTCTCGAAAGGCTTGTCGGAAGCACCAAACGGAAAGTCGGGGGAGGAACTCGACGGAGCGCACATCCCAGACGCCCGAATAGAGAGTGCGCCTTCGTTCGGGAGCGAGGCGTTTGCGTTGCATCCGGAGGCGACGCCTTCGACCACGGCGTCAGCACGGCCGTCGGCGCATCATACCCGGATGAACAGCGTGGATTCTGCTTACAGGTGAGACGTTTGAGCTCGCTCGCTTGCTTATACGGAAGAAGTTTGCTGCTCATGATAAGCAGGTATTGCGCATCCTGTGCGCATCTTGCAGACATGTTGAGGCTCGCTTGTGTTGAATCCGAGTAGGCGTACTGATTGCCAGCCGCTTAGGAGTCGAGCTTTGGTCCCGAATCTCCGTGGGGCTAATGTTTGAAAATAAACAGAAGTGGCACCGCTGTTAAAACCGGCTCCTATGCTTCAGTGAACGACGCTTATTCAGTGGCATTGCTCCCAGATCCTGTAATGTCCAACCATGCCCTTCCTTAGGATTCCATCTCTTGCGTCGCACTTCGTTCGAACTGCGCATGTCTCAACCAATCACGCACTGTCAAAGACATTCTCAAGTAAATGATACTTCGGCAACTTTACGGTAAGCTCCACTAGAACGGAACATCCTAACCCGGAGGTGTACATGCTCCGCTCCCATACCCGTCCTGAAGCCCACAAGTAAACCTACCCGTTCCAATTTGTTCACTGTACCAGTTCAACCTACTTCATCTTTTGAGATCGTCAATTTCAACTTGCAGTGTTGACGGAGCGTCCACGAACGTCAGCATTGACGGCAGCACGGAGGCGGACGAAGAGTCCAGCCCCTTCAACGAGGACAGTGACTTTGGTGTGGCCGCCGCACTCGCCTGGGCCGAGGCAAATGGGAACGACTCCCTCCGTATTGTGTGCGACTATCATAAGCTGGAGGTGCCGCCCCGGGGCGGATCAGTGGTGTTTCAGCTGTTGGATCATTTGCAGCCGCTCGCTTATGAACGGCCGGCGGTGATCCCAGCGAGTCTGACGGGGGGCCGGCATATCGATCTGGCGCTGTGCAAGGTAGGGGCGGGCGGAGAGTCTAGAATATTTGTTCCGTCAGTCATCTGAAATGAGTATCAACTTCCTGGGGCCAAGCTTGTGCGCTTAGTTACGAGGTCTGCTGAGCGCAGTTGAGGTCTGCAAGAGTCGCTCGTAAAGGAAGGATAGGCGGACAGTTTTCGAGGATACGCCCGTTCTGGGGAAAGAATTTTGATGAAACATGGCCCGACTTTTCTGCACTGCGTGGTTTGTCTGATTGGCGATAATAAACCGCCCCGCACGGTTGCTTTGTTTTGATCCCTTTCGTCGCCTTGCGCACCTTTCGTACGGTCGAGCATCGAAGTCGCTGAGGTATAGAGATCCCTGCCCTCCGCTCAGCGTTGCTGGGTTGCTTCGTGGGTGCGTTTTCTTCTCCAATTCATCACTTAACCGCGCCGTTGTTAGGTCAGCCACCCTCCTAACCTTGCCTCCAGTTGGAGTTGATGGTTCTGAACGCGAAGTAGCGCTTATCACCAGAAGCGTGGTCCTCAGACACCTTGATATCCTTGATTAGTTCCGGTCTCTGATTCTCTTGATGAAACCCGATATCTTCCAAGACCGATCCATACCCTTGTCCTCTCTCTCCGTACTTCGAGTTGGTCGAGAATTCGGGGGCCCCTGTCACTACTTTGCCGATTGCTCCGCTGAATCTCGAACTCGTTTGGTGAAGAAGCCTAGATCTCAATCTGCATAACCCAGAAGACCCTTCTTCTCCCTCTCTGCGCAGTCAAAGGTCGACTTGATTGAGGCACAGGGTCCATTGTCTTCCAAAAAAGTGCTCATCTGCCGAATGCACCTTCTTGCGTTCCCTCAATGCCGTGATGAAGCATGACTCTGACTCTATGAACTTGAAGTCCCGTCTTCTTTTCTCCACGCAGTCGAAGGTCAAGTTGTTTAGGCCCAGGCAGCAGTAGCGCCCGGAGAGGAGGCCCTTCCAGTGTCCGTTTGGTCCCCTGCAACCTTCTTTATGCTCCTGCTTATCTGCAGACTATCCAACTCTTCTACGCACCCTTAAATTCTCCCGTGACTTTCTCTCAGTCGAAAGTCGACTTGATTGAGGCTCAAGCGGCACTAGAGTCTGGCGAGGAGGCCCTGGCAGTGTCCGTTTGGTCCCCTGCAACCTTATTTACTCCCATGCTTATCTGCAGACTATCCACCTCTTCTATGATTTTCCCACAACTTTCTCTGCAGTCGAAAGTCGAGTTGATCGAGGCTCAAGCGGCGCTAGCGTCCGGCGAGGAGGCCCTTGCCGTGTCCGTTTGGTCCGTAGCTACCCTATGCCGGGCGCTGTCCCTCGAGAACGTGATGTCGATGCTCGTCAGCGCGCTGCTCGAGAAGCAGATTGTGGTCATCTGTCCGAACCTGGCAAGTGAACGTCCAGAACTCAGCCAATTATCCGTAATTAACAGTAAAATTCAGTGAGTTCTGCCGTTAGAACGTAACATTTCTTCTTGGAGAACGCGATGTCGATGCTCGTCAGCGCGCTGCTCGAGAAGCAGGTTCTTGCCATCTGTCCGAACCTGATGAGAAACACGTCCGAGATGCTGCAACTCCGGATCGATAATCTTAGAAATCCGCTCTTCTCAGTGAGGCCTGAAGCTCGTCCCGCAAGAATGTGACGTCGATGCTTGCCAGCGCGCCGCTGGAGAAGCAAACCGTGGTTTTTGTCTAGGACCTGACATGGGCTAGTGTGTCCGGGAATACATTTTTTGATCATCTGCATTTTACAAGTCTGTCTTTCGAGAAGGTGTTCTCGATACTATTCAACGAATCGTGGTCATGTGTCCCACTTCGGTGAGGAGTCGTCCGACTTTCAGCCGTTTTTTGGTTCTGATAATACAAATTGATCAAATCTGTCAATTGTGTCTCAAATTACTCCTCAAGGACGTAATTCTGATGTTCGTTCGTGCGCTGCTGGAAAAGCAGATTGTGGTCAGTGGTACGAACCTGAGACATGTCCAATATGCTGCGGGTCTGTCCAGGTTTCTGTGATTTCGATATACAGATTGTGCTTCCCTGTTCCCTTTACGTTGTTGTGGGTTGGTTTGGGTTGGTTTCCAACAGGTTGGTTCGTTCGAGTACGCTCTCTTGTGTCTCATCTCGCCAGTGACATGTTTTGCACGACATGTCAAGTTTTTTTTTCTCGCTGGATCGTGGCCATACTTTCAAACAGAAACATCTGGACGTTTTTAGTCCTTTGCCCGTCGCTGCAGTGCTGCGGCGACGAAAGTTGCATAAGATTCCCTCTTCTGCGGCCCTTTAAGTTGCAGCGCTTTCTGCAGCTAGTGTTTCTCGCCGAGTCCTCATTCTCCAATTTCCAGCTCTTAATTGGAAAAAACCTGAAGACCCCATCCCCACATCTCTAACGTTGAATACCTTTTCCCAGGGCGTTCTATCGGCCATCGTATTGTCCATCGTCCCACTGCTGCGGCCCTTCATGTGGCAGTGCCTCCTGTTGCCCGTGCTCCCCGCGGACCTCCTAGTCTTCCTCGAGGCCCCCGTCCCCTTCCTGGTGAGTGAGGCTTAAGTAGTCGCTTGGACTGAAATTCCGGGCGCAAATCCAGTCGTACCGCTTTTCTGCACCCACTTGTCACTCGTCTTCCTGTTGAAGATTTGGGCTCATGTGAGTCGTTCAGGTCAGATACAAAAGATTTCTTTCGACGACGGGTAGCGAAGACAATACCTCTTACAGTTGTCAGCTCGAGCAAAGTCTTGGCTGTACTGGACCGGTTACAAGAGGCAGGAAAACCAGGCACCTTCTGTGTTGGCGCATAACCTACGGGTGGAAAACTCTTTTCTGATTGCCGAGAACTGCCTAATTTGTAGCTTCTAATGAACTGAGGGTTCATAGAGGCAAAAACTCCTGGGGATGCCGGATGGCTTGACAAGCCTCTTTCTGGGAATTCAGGGTACCCGATCAAAGCAGAGCATCTTGATTTGATTAGAGGGTGGATTATATGGTACAATGTATCCTCTGTATGTGGTGACGTTACTCGCAGCAATGGAGCCTAGAATAAGGGAGTGGGTGTGTCTCATCGTTTTACTCACTGCAGCTGACGTTGCGGGATTACAGCACAGATTTCTTAGTCGCTAAGCCTTTTTCCAACACGCAAACGTGCCGGCGATTGGAAACTTCGTTACACTCAGTACTCGCTTTGATGTATTCTGGAATGTCTTCGCAGATTGGTTTGCAGCACAAGACGGCCGAGGTGCGGTCTAAGATTGCGCCACTGATCCGAGTCAATGTATATAAAAACAAGGTAAGTCTTCTTCAGCAACCGATCGTTACCCGAATGCAAGACTTTGGCTGTATTTTTATCGGACGTCCTTCTCAAATCGGCGACCGAACATAGGGCTAGGTCTTTGAGCATCCTTTCTGCTATCTGGTCACCCTCATCCGAGTCTCGGCGCATGAATGATTCTAAGGATCTACATCCAATGCTTCAATGTCTGCGTAAGGGCTGTGACAACTCTCGCTTGCCTTCTCTGCTTCAAAAGGGCTCAAAATCGACAGGTTCAATGTAAAGCAACACGCATAAACGGTGCCCATCTGGCTCCTTTCTCCTGATTTCACAAACATCTGGTTTGTTCATGGCCTTGCTTTGTGCTCATTTCTTTTTCACAACCTCGAAAAGAAGGAGAGTCTCAGGCGCTGTCCGGCTTCATCTATAATCAGGTTCAGAGTCTGACGTCACAAGTCTTGAGCATTTGCAGTCGATCCGCCACCGCTTCGTCCATTTGAACGGTTCCCCACATGTCGGTTGTGAGCATTTCGTCTCGCACTTTAAAAGCAGTTCGATGAAAAAAGACGAGATCCGCATATCCGGAGCATTTGCCCCTGAAAGGCCTGGCTCGTCTTACAGGTTCTGAGCATCGTCCCACCGTCAAGCGTTGCTCGTCACTTTGTTGTCCCTTTGAACAGTTTCTGGACTTTTCCCCCCTGCATTGCTGCAGGTAAAGATGACCAGCACGGTCCCCCCCATCCCGAAGGCCAAGCAGCTAGCAGCTGCCTTGGAACCCTTCCATGCAAAGCTCGCCGCGACGGCGGGGGAGTCGAGGCGCCGCCCCGCATTCAAGACCACTGAGGCTCAGGTAGATTTTCTTTTCAAGCAGGTCGCCAAGTGAAGGCAAGGCGTCTGATTTCTTTTTATTACTTTGCCAATGCTTTAAGCATGAGTCCCTGGAGGAAGAGCTTCCCGTAAGATCGGAAAGGGTTTCTCTGGTTGCCTCGGATGGAAAGCTTGTGGGGACAAGCACTCTGCATGTAGGTGTCAAGCGTGTTGCTGGCCTTACATTAGTCCTGGGGCTTGCTCTTTTCTTAAGACCTGCTCTGCTTTCATGAAAATAGCTTCATGCGTACTTGATTAGCAGGTAGGAGGATCCCTCGGAAAACCCAGTAATGAAGAAATGTACGCTTAAGTCAACGACTTGGTCCTCGGACAGATAACCCAACGTGTTGCACACCAAAGCTGTAGAAAGTTTCTTGGCCGTGTTGAGTGGGTATCCGGAATCATTGGAAACGAAACAGAAGCATTCGGGAAGTCTCAGAGACACAAAAACCAGTACATCAAGGCAATAAACAAGTAACTAAATGCCAGCCGGTTAATCCATTTTTCCTTGCCGCAGGCCAAAGCCGTGGAAGGTTTTTTGGCCGTGTTGCGCGGGTATTTGGAGTCGTTGTGCAGCGACCTGCGCGCGCACACGATTACGGACGTGGGCGCGTCGGGCGACCGAGTGTCACTTCTCCTCAAGGACAGCTTCATAGACTCGTTTTCGCACAAGGACCGGCCGTTCATCAAGGTGAGGAACGTGCTCTTTGGCGGTTTCGCCTTCTCTTGATTGGACCTGTTTTCCTAGACCCGCGTTTCTGCAAGGTTAAAGGGGTAAGATTTCCATTTTTCTTGCTCTTGCCGGCCGGAAACTGCTTTCAGGCTGCAACAGCAGATTGGAATGACCAAGAAGAAGATTGGTTCGCGAATTATGGCAGCAAGCCAAGTCCTTCTGTCATTGTTTGGTAAGGGGAAGAGGGCAATTTTTGTTGCAAGCTGGCAAGTTGCGTCATTGCTTTTGAAGCCTGAACTGTTTTAGGACTGACATTAGTTGGGGCCGAAGCAGGAGAAGTAAGAGTGGGGGAAAAGATTCAGCAAGAAGCAAGTGCGTCTTGTAACCGTGCAGGTCTTTGTAGAAACACAGATGTTTTCCATGTACACCGACGGCGTGCTCTCCGCTCAAGATAGATAAGAGCGCTTGAATACTGAGGATTTATTTGAACTATAGCACATACTGAATGGACTAGCCGACTCTGGTTTCTTTGCGGCTGGTGCTTGCAACTCAGAGAACGTGGGAAACCATTGACATTGACGTTGGCTCCAAATAGCAAACTAGACCTGGTGCAGAGCCGTGAATGGTATTGTTGTCAATGGTATTGCCGTCAATCGTATTGTTGTCAATGTAAGACGTGAGGGTATTGGCATCTTGTTGCATTCAACCTCGCCCTTGCAAGATTTTTGTTCGCTCAGCTTGTTGCTCTCAGACCCACTTGGACGTAATCAGCATCATGACTCCCTTGTATCGTAATTTCGCGGCAAGTTTCTATTGTATATGCAGAAAGTGCAGACTTGTTAGGTCACGCGCATTGTTCTTGCCCATGAACACGCCACAAAGGTACCCAACTGTCGTGCCGGACTCATCGTTCCCAAAGCGTTCTTGTTGTCTGGCGAAGGCTATACGGATGTACGGGGGAAAAGGAACATGCATACCGTAATTGTGCGTAATTCCAGGGGCCATCTGCATGTGCAAACTCTTTCCATTACTATTAGGACGGTACAATGGAAATCTCATGCTTGGCACAGAATCTGAGAATGTGCTTCCAGGATTGTACTTAACTGGAAGAACAACAATATGTCACAAATTACAATCAATATGCCATGTAGTCCGATCCTAGGCGTTGGCCAGGCCAATTACGTTGCCACGATACAGTATGCAGAAACGCCGTCGCAAATCACTTTCGACGATCAATCTCAGCCGTCGACAAGGGTCATCCGAGAGCCAGTAATGGCTCAGTGTTGCTCATGAGTCCAATCATGGAGAAATGCCACTGTCTAGCTTGTTCATTCAGAATTCACAGTCTTCTTGTTCACTGTCAGTGTCACACAGGTCTGGGCAGGGGGTCCTGGCTGGCAGCAGGCCATTATTTGTTCATCTAGCATCGCTCAGGTCTACATTCTGGGGAGCCAGATGCTCGGTGCTTCATCAGGTGAGCATGTTCCCAGGTCTTGCAATGGCAATGGCGTGTTTGCTGCTGCTACAGTGCTAGCTCTGCTTCTTTGAGGCACATCTCAGTTACTGCAGCGAAAGAAAGAGTTTGGAACCATCATTTGGCATTACATGTGCTACATTGTACCTTGGACAATGCCAGACGACCTTAGTTCACCAGTCATAATGTACAGTTTTCCAAGTTTTGAGAAGAGGATGCGACAAAGAAGAGGACACTCTGACGGGCTTTGATTGAATCTATTAAACTGTAGTTTTTCAATCTCTTAGCTAAACTTGAAAGCCAACTATCATGAATTTAATCTTTCAGCCAGCAACTGCTCCCCTAGCACCTTCATTCTTTGATCTTATTTGTGGGGGATCCGTATGGAAAGTGCACCGCATTTCAAGAGATTGCGTGTATTGAGTAAATCTGAGAATTTCACCCATCTCAGGTACACTTTTGGTTTGAGGCTCAAGATGCTTCCTTTCCACCAGATCAACATTCTCTGAAGTCTGGCTCTTCATCGAGTTACATCAGAAGCTCAAAGAACGAGTGTTTCTCTGATACTATATTGCAAAGTTCTCTAAATGTTGCTCCTTGCAAGCCCCAATGGTGTCAGCCAGCAACCACTTCGGTATCAAGTTCATTCTTTGATCTAGTTTGTGGGGGATCTGCATGGAAAGTGCACCGGATACAAGAGATTGCGTTTATTGTGAATGCTGAGAATGTCACCCATTTAAGGTAAACTTTTGGTTTGGAGACTCAAGATGCTTCCTTTCCACCAGATCAACATTCTCTGAAGTCTAGCTTTTCATCGAGTTACATCAGAACCTAAAAGAAGGTTTTTTTCTTCTTTACTGAAAATACTGAATTGCAAAGTTCTTCAAATGTTGCTCCTTGCAAGCCCCAATGGTGGACAATGTCCGATAGCTGGCCATCTGAGTCAAGGTCTGAGGTAATCTCCACCTGCCGGCTGAACTTACGTATTTTCATTCCGTGGATGCAGTCCTGGCAATGTGAACAGATGGAAGGGAGTACCATTATGGAGAGCCCTGAAGAACAGATTGACCAGGTATTGAGACTTTTTTATAAGACCAGGGAGAACACAGCATCTGATGCTGTGGATGACGGCAGCGTCAATATTGACATGAACCTGGCATACTATCAACGGCTCGTCGAACTCCTGGATGGTCTAGAGTCACTGGAAATAAGGAACGTGTCATCTAATGACGAGGGTGCCAACGCGCTGGCCAGGGCGTTGAACAGCAACAAATTGCGGCTGACCTCCCTGTCATTGGTCGGCAATGCCTTTGGGCCTGTGGGTGCAGTGGCTCTAGCAACAGCAGTTGGCCAGGTGACAGGGCTGAGGTCTCTGACTCTGGTAATGTCAGATATACCCCAGGAAGATATTCACTATGACACCGACTACACCAACTGTTTCAAGGCTCTTGCTAAAGCACTTGCGACTGTGACGGGACTTACCTCCCTGACTTTATCGACTGATAGGATCAGGGAGCAGGGGGTTGAAGCACTTGTTGGGGCATTGCATTGTGTACCAGCACTAGCAACACTGAATCTGGGCAATATCATGATTGGGTTCAAGAACACCCAAGCCTTTGCCAGGGCACTGGGCAAGGTGACATGCCTTACCTCGCTGAGCTTGGAACTCAATGACATCGCAGGTCCAGGAGTAAAGGCACTCGCGAGAGCGTTGGTTAAGGTTCCAAATTTGCTTTCGCTTGAGCTGAGGCTTTTTAACGTGTTTCTTACTCTTGGGAGCATTAAGGAGCTTACCACAGGGCTCGGAAATGCTAAGGGCCTCACTTTTCTGGCCCTAGAAGTCACCAGAACACACTTTAGCAGACCTTTAGGCTCTGAAGGGGCCCGAGTACTTGCTAAGGGGTTGAGCAACATTGCAAGTCTCACCTCCCTTAGACTGCGTGACGTTGGCTTTGAGAAAGAGGCCATAATTGAACTTGCCCCAGCAATCGGGACAATTGGCAGTCTTACCAGCCTCAACTTGGCTAAGAATGATATTGACGATGAGGCCGCTGAGACCCTTGCTTCGGCATTATGCAAGTTGACGGAACTCAGATATTTAGACCTCAAGGCCAACAAACTTCGTCACTTGCCAACGACGTTTGGACAATACCAAGCTTTGGAAAAGCTTGTTGTTGATGGAAACCCTTTGCTTTTTCCACCAGCAGAGGTGGTCTCAAATGGACCGGCTGCCGTGCTTAGCTTCCTTAAACAAGCTGCAAGAGACAGCAACACAAGAGCGATGGCAAAGCTTATGTTTGTTGGGCCGGGAGGCGTAGGAAAATCCAGCTTGTTTAAAGCCTTGAAGACAAAAGCACCAGTGCCAGAGGGAACGGAGACAACAATTGGCATTGACGTCAGATTCTGGGAGTGGAAACCAGAAGTGGACGTCTCGAAAACGCCGATCACATTTAGAGTTTTTGACTGTGCTGGGCAGGAGCAGTACGGGGCCATGCAGCGGCTTTTCTTTACTGCTGACCACTGTATCTACGTTCTGGTGGTTGATCTTAGTGAGGAAGGAGCTCCCAAGGCGACCATCAAGGTGAGCTTATGGATCTGCCTGTCATCGTACTCTGCAACCAATCTCCAAAGCTTTCCTGTATTTCAATGACTATGCAGAATCTACAGACTGAATCTGCTTGATGCTGGGCGTGAATCTGCTTGATGGGGGGCGATGCAAAGCCCTGATTTGGGGTTTGTGAATTGCTTCGAAGGCAACCTGAAGGGAAAGGGATTTGGAAAGCCAAAGACTTTTAAAGATCTTCAATCACTGTTGAACTTTTTTTTGCACTGTTGAGCTTCTACTTCATTGCGTCCCCTACACAACTTTCCTCGGTCTTTATATCAAGAGAGAGGCAAGAGAGTCCCAAACTCTTAGTAAGGCACCACGACTTTCTTGGAGTGACGTCGTTAAACATTCTCTGACCGGCTCATGACCACATGTACTTCTCCATATCTTCAGCAAACTACTCCGTTATCCAGTTTCTTCGCGTGCGAAGTGTTGCAGCCCGAATTTCAAAGCAAGCTTGGCCCTCCCTATGTTTGGTTGTTGAATCGCCAGCCTCACTTGGCACCATCATTCCCATAATCTTTTTGATGCAGCTTCTTCTGCCTACAGTTTCAAATTCGTGTTTCTATTTGCAGGAGCGACTTGACTCCATACAAGCCGTTGCTCCTGGATAAAGTATATTTTGGTCGGTACGAAGTGCGATAAGTTGGGGCCAGGCGAAGCGGAGCAAAGGTTATCTTCCGTACATGCCTATCTACGGAAGTCCCTGGCAGAAGACCTATCTCGAATCGCAGAGCGTGCGGAAATTGACTTGGATCTTTATGTGAGGCAGCCTCCTGAGCTTTGGGCCAAGACGTTCTCAGTTAGTTCGTCTGCATATTTAGGCGTGCTAGAGGTTGAGACAGAGCTGGTGCGTTTGGTTGAAGGGGATCCGGGCAGCTTCCTCCGAAGATTGCCTCAAACCTGGATCGACCTATTCGCTCTTGTAAGCGCCCTCCAAGAAGATCTACAAAAGGCCGACCCCCAAAGCGGGATACAGGATTTGGCGGGTGCCCTTTCAGAAGTGGATCTACACGGCTTCTGGCTCCAATTTAAGGGGCGGCTCAGTTTTCAGGACGAGCGGGAGTTTCGTGAGGCGTTAGGCTACATGAGTGCCCTTGGCTACATTCTTAGGTTCCCAGAAAACTCGCGGTTGCGTGGCGTCGTTTTTCTGGAGCCCTCATGGGTGGCGCGGATCCTAGGCGACCTTTTCAGTCATACGCTAGAGGCAAAGGGAGACTCCGATCTAGAAGATCTCATCGAGCGAGGACTCTTGCGGGAGAGTACCATCCCAAAGCTGCCCAAGCTGAGAGCACGGGGGGGTTCAGTCAACAGTGGGCACCTTCTTAGTCTTCTCACGCCTCTGAAGCTCGGATACCCCAAACCGGAGAGCGGGAGTTTGGGCGGAGGGGGACAAACGTACTACCTGCCAGGAAGATGGCCGGAGGGGAGGCCAGATGCTGTTGCCGCCAAGTGGGCTCCACAAGCGGGGGACCTGGTACGGGGTTGGCGGCTGACAAGTCGGGGCCGCCTGCCGGCGGGTTTCTTCGAGACGGCCCTTGTGCAGTCTGGCATCTGCGTTGCGTTCCCGCCAAAAGCCTCCGACCAGTGGCAAGGAGGGGTGCTTATCGAGGCGCCCCGAAGCGTCTCGATCTTGGTAGAGAGTCGCCGGGATGCGGACGGCGGGTCGTGTCTCGACATGCTGGCCAAGGTGGGGCAGAAGGAAGCGGCTCAACTGGTCCAGGATGGAAGTGGGGACGAAGACCTTTGGGGACCGCTCAGTTCGATCGTGCTCTCCGCCTTCTCCCTCCACAGAGTGGCATTCCACGGGGACCATCGGATAGAGTACCTCGCGGTCTGTCCTCTGCATCAACCGGGTCACTTCCTCAGGCTTACCCCGTCGGTTCTGGGCGAGTTGGTTCAAGGGAGGCATGCCGGCATGCTGCGGGGGGACTGTCAAAGTGTGGGCAATCCGAGCACATCCCCTCACAACGACGTCCCGTGGGCGCAAATAGCCCCCAGCCCCGAGCGGCTGAGAGAGGCGTTCCGCCAGGAGGAGGTGCTAGCTGCGTTGCGGCGCATTGACCAGATGCAACGGGGGTTCCCGCTCCTGATCGAGCAGGCGCAGCATGCGCTGGGGGCGTTGATCGTTGCAGCGAAAACGGACGTCGCGCCGCGGGTGTTCATCGTCCATCGGGAGGGCCTAGACAAAGCCCGCGCGCTCGAGGGCATGAGGGCGGTGATCAAGGAGGCGGTGGATGCCGGTTTGGCTGCCTCGAGCGCGGACTCTGCGGTCGAAGTTGGGGCGCGGAAGTTCCTCGCCGTTGCCTACAACCGCCTCATGGGGGGCCTCTTCCAGGACCACGCGCGGCTGTTCCTCGTGTGTGAGGAGTGCGGGGAGCCGCAGGTGAGGTGTCTCGTGCGGGCGTTTCTTTGGAAAGAGTCCTGCAAATCCTTTGTGCTGCAAATAGCTTAGGGCATACTGGACCGGGTGCAAGCAAGTAAGCAGAATCAACTTTTGATTTTTTGGCTCCCTGATTCTCGACACAATGCGTAACAAGCGTCTGCCGTTTCTAGATGGCCGGATTCACATCTGTCACAAATCTAGCGGCCAAAGGGCAGCAACTTAACAATCTGCTTGTCAAGCCTGAGATGACAGTCTGCTCGTTTTTAATTTTTCCATTTGAGCTACTACGTCCCAAAGATATTGCAGCGCAGACAGTCGCCCATGTGTACTGGTAGAAGCTGAGAACTGATTGCAAATCACTGCTTCGAAGAAGAATATCCCTTAAGCTGCGACAACGGTTCAAGAATCAGCCGTCGAACAAATTTGCAATCAGACCGACCGTTCGGAGTTTCTACGAAGTTTGTTTTCTGTTGCACTATCTGCGGTTTAGCTCTTCACAAAGATGGCAGCGATTGCCGTCCCGCGCGCTTTACAGTCTTACAAGTGGCCCAGAAACCGCCTGACGTTGGCCCGAATCGACGTCCTTATGCAGGGGAGCGGTTACGCGATCCGGCGGAAGTCGAAGTGGGGCAATCGGCTCGCCTCAGCGCTCGGAGTCCTGCTCGCGCTGGGCAAGTTGAGCAGGCTTGTCGCCCCTGCATTTGGAGCGGAATCGCTGGCGGACGGGCTGGTGAAGGCGGTTGAGTTGGCCAAGGGACCGCTCGACGCGGTAAGCGAGCTTGCAAGGCTGGCAAACAAATCAGCAGGAACGAAACTTTGGAGACGAACGGCTCACAAGGCAAACTGATTCATTGGAGCACATGGCCGGTCAACCATTAAAGGCTGAATGTCACTCTGAAATAGTGTCACGGGCATTCTCGCCGTAGGTCTAAATCCGTGTCTAGATCTGCATCTACGCCTCATTATTCACAAAGCAATTGCTCAGTAATATTTCTGCCAGGTCCTGGACCGTTGTTTCCTTAGAGCGACTGCTTCCACTTTGCGATCTTAAGGGCGGCTCGCAGGCACCGTCCCCGTTATGCTGGCCTCCGGAGTCCTCAGGAGACGAAGCTATCACTTTGAGATTTCAAACGGCAAGGGCAGCTTTTTACACCCATATGGATCTTCTCTTCTTCGACTCGCCCGGATCCGAGTGATGAGCCTTTGATGCAAGTACCTGGTGGCCGGGACACCAGTCTGACTGCCCTTGCCCTGCCCGAACGCACCACCCGAACGCCTTTGCGCGCGACCAGTACGTTCAATCTCCACTTCTGATCCTGCTGGCACTTCTTTTCCTTTGCAGGCGGAGGGAGCGCTCCCCGCCAAAGTCCAGCGGGCCCTGTCGGCCTCCAGGAGCATCCGGCAAGTGAGCAGGCGGGGGCTCGAAGCTTTCGAGCTGACGAGCTTCCTGCAGGAGCACGACAAGGAGGGGGCCTGGAAAGGACAGCTGTTCTTCGACAAAGCCCGTCCGGCTCCGCCAACCGTGGACTCGCTGACAGGCGACAAGTCGGTGGCGGCCGTGCTGGATCCGCGGAGCGGCAACGCTTCCGTCTGGCTGTGCCAGGCGTGCCTAGACGGGGGCAAAGGGATCCCTGCACGGGGCTCGCCGGCGGCTGGGCAGGGTCGAAGGCGGATGTGGTGTTGCGGGTGAGGCGCCTTTTTCTGTGACTCCGTTCTTGCAGACTTTTGTCGCGATTTGCGTCTGACGCCGTCTATCTTGGACAAATTGGATTCGCGCACAAGGTATTCTGTTATCTTGCACCTGCTTCACTCCCCGATCTTTGAATTGCAAATACATCTCGCTGCTGATGACACACCACGCTAGTCTGGGGAAGGGCAACCGTTTATGAGCTCAGTTCACGATGAGAAGCTAGCACCAAGTTAGCCTTTGAGAAAATTTGCTGGTTCCCATAGGATCAAATATTTGCTCTATGACTTTCATCTTACAATTCCCTGCAAATCTGTCGTGCAGCTGATCCCGAGCTCAGGAATGGCGACTGGAGGTGTATCGTGTCGAGAAAGAGCGGGGTGATTGGATAGCGTCCGGAGGGTGACGCTGGTCGAGGCGTTTGGTTGTTTGACACCGGAGGCTGGCAAGAAAAGGTTTCGTTTCGTAGGTTCGTTGGAATCTGCATCCGCCTAGATTAGCCCGACATTCCGAGTTGACTGAAATGCATCCGCCTGGTTTAGACCGACATTCTGAGTTGACTGAAAGGTAGTACGCGAGTTTGTTGCTTAGTCCAAGTCCATCAACATGCTTGACACAGAAGGCGTAGATCCATCAAAGAGCAGTAACTTTATTTAATCGACACCTCGATTACGAACGCCAACCTAGGACTGTGACCCTTAAGCCGCCGTCAGATCGCATTGCATAATCGCGTCCATCATCTGTATCTAATTTACTGCTTCCGCCTCTTGCACGCGCTCTGATTGATGCACTGGCCGGCGCTAAAACCTGATTTGAAGCCTACCGGTTTTGGGGCTTGTACCATGCAGTTTCAAGTTTCCTAACGTCATGAGAAGTCATGCACAATATGTCTGCGTACGGTACTCTCCTGAAGGAATGCGCGAATTGAATGGGCGCAATTACGAATCCCGTGCTACCAAAGGAATTGGCTCGATCTGCCGGCACATGGACATGCATGACATGCTTTGAAGTCTGGTGCATGCATGTGCATGCAGGCGCCCATGGTTGTACGAATATATAACGGCTCATGTTCGCTTCTTTCTAAAGACTCAAGCGTATAGGCGCCTCGGCGCGACCCAAATTGCGCAGAGACATGCACAGGCAACATCAAAGTTGTGGATCGAGTTCATATAATTCGTGTTGTTTTACTCACGACGCACACACTTCATGGTCGATTGCGCGCCTGTCAAGCCTGGATCTTGCGGAATTTTTGTGTTTGCACTGACGCATGCATGATGGAGCGGAGATTGAAAGACTTCACCAACGGGAGTTCCCAAAACCAATGCGACATGGCCAACATGCGGATGGCTATAACACGAAAAATGACTTGCAAGCTTCATAACAATCGCCTTGCACCACATCCAGATGGACATCAAATCGCGGTTATATGGGTTCAGGAATGACTTTATCTGCTGCATGCGAACATCTCTGGATAGAAAGCATCCCCCATTTTAGGTCCGAATCGTGCCGCAGATCACTGCTGATCTCCATTCTCTGGAAAACGGATGATTGACCAAACAGGTACTTCATGGCGACCAAACACAGCAAAGCATGAATTTATTCCAGGTCTCAAAGACGCCTTCTCAAACTACGCCCTCAGGTCTAACAAACGCATCCTCTTCCAGTCTCCGCCGCTTCAGTAGTTGCGGGCTCTCCACGCTTGCTCTCTTCGCCTCTTGCCAAACCTCAACAAGCTCCCGACTCGCAGCGGGCCGCCCAGTGCCCTTCAACGCCACCGTCACTCTGTCAAGCAGCTCTCGCTCTAGTTGGTCCAGCGGCGGTTCCCGCTCATCTCCATCGCCCACCTTCCTCTTTGCCGAGCCGGCCGTCAGATCGTCGGACGTGCTCTCGACTTCGGCCGACTTGACCGCGGCGCGCGCGAGCACGGCATCTGGCATTCCCGCGAGTTTCGCGACGTTGGTGCCGTAGCTCTTGGGGCAAGCGCCCGCCGCCAGCTGGTACAAGAACGTCACTTCCTCGATGCCCGCGGTCGGCGACTCCCCGACCTGGACGAAACGAGAACCCTTTTCGGGAAACCGACTAAGGCTGTGACTAAATAACCCGGATGAAGTTCTTGCTGGAACGAATTGGCTTAATCAGGAGTTTAACCTTTTCGCACCTTGCAAGCAATGTGTCGCAGCTGAATCGCCGGGTCGGCCGCGCGCTCGTCTGCGAAGCGGTGGCAGTGCTTGTTGAGTCTGCCTTTGAAAGATTGGAAGGAAGGATAAAGAGGCCTTCTTCAGAAGACCGCTTTGAGAAAAAGAGCCGTATCGCTGATCCGCACCTTGCACGCCATGTGGCGGAGCTGGATCGCCGGGTTGTCCGCGTGCTCGTCCGCGAGGCGGTGATAGTGCGTACTGAACATGCCCCGGCAGCCCACCGAGTGCGCCAGGTGGTCCAAAACCGCATACGCGATCGCGGCCCCGTCGGTGGTGGCGGTACCGCGGCCCAACTCGTCCAGCGTCACCAGGGAGCTCCTGACGTCAGCAAGGGTAACGTCAGTACTGTCAGAATCTAGAGGCAATTCCATTGTCAGGATTCTAGAGACCGAGAGGCGATTTTATTGTCAGGATTTTAGAGACGGCGTCAGGGTGTCAACATTGTCAGGGGTCTAAAGGCGGAGTCACGGTTTCATCATCCTCGTCAGGAACCCTGGGTCTTCGGAAATGAAGGCGTTCACGAGGTGAGGCATTGAAAGATGGAGAGCCTGAAGGTTAGGGCTTCAAGAGTTGGGGTTAAGGAAACGAGGGGTTTTGAACGACGATGTCAGATGAGGGTGGTCAGACGAGGACGTCCTTCGGGGAGCCAAAAGCTTTTGCTCACACTTGATCACCTATTCTTTCCATTACGGATGATTTACAAAACCTAGGCAGAAAGAAAACTCCCAAGCCCTGCCTGAGGTGAACCCAGACGCCATTCCTGGAATTTACAAAGGAAACTAAACGTCCCTGACAGCCCGTGGCGTTTTGTTTCATGCGCTGACGTCACGCTGGCGCCTCACCTGGTGGCGCTCCTCAGCATTGCGGCCGTCTCGGACAGCTCCACGAAGAAGGTGCTCTGGCCGGACATGATGTGGTCGCGCGCCCCCATGCGCACAAAGATGCGGTCGACGGGGGAGAGGCTGAAGGCCTCCGCAGGAACGTCGGCGCCCACTTGCGCTAGCACGACGGCCAGGCAGACCTGCACAGAAAAGCCTTCTGGATTTGGGCTTGGTTATACTTACATGTTGAGTTGCATGGATGTCCCTAACTCAAACAAACCAAACCCCGCTTTCATGCAAGTGCAGCGCTGTGCAGCCGGATCTGATTACCTTGCGATCTTTGACTTGGAAGGGGTCTGCGGAGCCCCGACTTCGCAACGACACTTTTGCTGCATTCTGCGTATCTTCGTCGCCACGAGACTTGTGAGAGAATTCTGATTGCAATTCCCGCAGGCGTCGAACTGGGCAAAACGAAGCCGTCGGCATCGTGGGCCTGACGGGCTCTGACGAGGGGGGACGTGTGGCAGACGCCTCTTGAAAAAACAAGCGTAAAAGCAGAGCACAAAATGGCAAGGACTCGCGCCCACCTGCCGCAGGAGGGTTGACTTCCCGCCCATGTTGGGCCCCGTCAGGAGCATGAACGGGGGGGCTCCCGCAGGCTCCCCGAGACACGTGTCGTTGGGCACAAACGACCCCCCCGAAGCGATGGTGGCCCCAGAGTGGAGGCACGGGTGGCGCAGGCCCTTGGCGTACAGCCACTGGGGGGCTTCGGAAGCTTTAGGGGTTTCGAAGCTGGCCGGGACGCCTAGAGATTCTTCGGAGGGGGGTGTGAACGTGGGGCGGCACATGGGGGTGTCGGAGCAGAGGCTTGCCCCAGCCAGGCTGCTGAGAGCGTCCAGCTGGGCGATGGCCTTGATGGCGGCGGTCCAGGCGGAGTGGTCCCTGCAGGTTATAAGGGGAGTGTAAATGAGCAAAACGACCATTCCGGACATTCACGCTGTTGATGTGTGGAGAGGGGGGGTGACTTCAGAAGACATGTTTTACCGGCACCTTCAATGCTGAGAACAGCATGAGAGGGGCTCTCCTAACCTAACGGAACATAATGATCAAATGGATTTTGCTCAACTCAAAAACTCAGATGGAAACCGCATCTCGCATTAATCTAAAAACGAGCCGAGCCCAGCTTTCCGATGGATAACTAAGGGTCCTCAACCTATCCCGTTTCACCTGGTATTCTCAAATGTCAGTCAGTACATCTTTTTTCGCACGAGGACCCAAACAAGTTCTGTCCCGGAGAGGCGACATTGCACCATTAGAAGGCATCTGGACGTTGAAGTGTCACAGCGACGTCAAGAAGGAATCAGTCTGTGTAAGCAAGACCGGAGATGCTGCTGACAGTGATGACTTGGCGACTTTTAGTGCCAATTTCACGTCCATTCTACCAATCATTGATAGATAAAGCCCTTCCAAATCCACACCGCGCCAAGTCAACACTTCCAACATCGTCCCCGGCATCAGACCCAGATTGACTAGTCTCCTCGACTCTACCCTGCAGTCAGCCCAATGTGCAGCTTGTCTGTTTGTCCAATCACAGAAAAGTGGGCGGCGCTGTCAATCAGACCCTTATGCAGCCCGCCTATTCGGCATAGCGTATGAGAGTGCGCGATCGCACCTGCAAAAGTGCTGCAGCAGCTTGCGAAAGATGCCCTTGAGCGCGTCCTCCTTCTCCACCTCCGCCTCCGCTAGCTCCGCCAGCAAGTCCTTCACGACCGGGGTGTGGTAGCGCAGCACGCCCTTCTTCCCGGAGCCGCGCTCGAAGTCCAGCGGAACCTGCGGGGACGGAACCGGAAAAGTGGATTCGTCGTGTTCCCAGAATCGACCAGCTCCGCCATGATGTTTTGGGTGTTGTACCGCGAGCACGCCCTTCTTTCCGGAGCCGCGCTCAGATTCCAGCGGAACCTGCCGGGACGGAACCGAAAAAGTGGATACCTCGTGTTCCGAGAATCGACCAGCTTCGCGAGAGGTCCTTGACGATTGGGGTGTGGTAACGCAGCACGCCCTTCTTCCCGGAGCCGCGCTCAAAGTCCAGTGGAACCTGCGTGGGAGAAGCGGGAAAAGTAAGTATTTCATGTTTCCAAAACCGGCCAGCTCAGCCAGCAGGTCCTCGATGATTGGGTGGCGGTACCGTTGCACGCCCTTCTTTCCGGAGCCGCGCTCAAAGTTCAGCGGAACCTGCGACGTAAAAGTGCAGACCCCATGTTCCAAAACCAAGCTTGAATCCAGCGGAACCTAGGCGGACGGAGCCGGACTTGAGGACTCTGTGTTTCCAGAACCGGGTTTGAGCGGGAGGTCGCTCTTTACTCTAGTGCCGCCCTCGAACTTTCGCGGCAACCTGCGTGGACCAAGCCATAATCTAGCGTAGCACGCCCTTCTCTGAATTCGCGCTCAAAATCCAGCAGAAATTGCGCGAAGGGAGCCGGATTAGTTCGTGCCCAGGCCGAATCGGGCTAAAGCTCAAGCAAGATTGCGGTGGGCGGAGGATGGGTCTTTGCCACTTTGGGGACACGAAGAAAAGGAAGGAAGTAACGACAACACGTCAACAATGTAATACAATCTGCGCAGAGACATTCACTGCCAGAAGGTCCACTGTCCCGGACAAAGGCCCGTGGCATTTTTAGAAAGCATGCCGCTTTCGGGTTATTGTACAATCACCGGCGCCCGCGTGTTTCTCAACCGCTCCGTTTCGCTTTCGCTGCGGGCATCACCCGTCCAACCGCAAAGAGGTGTTGACAATCCCATCGAGCATTGGGACGCCTGCCTTCGACCCAACAATGCCCAGAGCTTTGCTTAAGATGTTGAAAGCATTTGCCAGAGCTACTCCACGGCCGAAGAACATTACAGCTGCCAATAAAGACATTTGAACTGAACCCTAACTCAAGGGACTTATAACCCACAAAAAAGAAAACCCTCTATCCTAAACCCTAAAGCTCTAATAGAAACAAATCGCGGTATTACCTTGGTTGTCTCGGGCATCTCGAGGAGGTAGCGGTCCTTGTTGACGTTGACATAGGTGATTGACCGGCACTTGAGCTTCTTCTTCTGCTCCTCGAGATACTCCTCCAGCTGGCCCTCGACCGCGGCGATTCGCTGCAAGCAGGAGACCACGTCAAGCTTGCTGAGAAGAGCCCATGCCACCGGTGGGAGTTAAGGGCAGATCTTGGGCCATCACAATCTGCACACGACTTTCTAATCAGCTCCTTCCTTAAGACCTTCCATTGAACTCTTTCACTGCGTCTCGGAGGGAACGCGTTGATTTGCGGTTGAGCGGCATCTGACCGGCACTTACTTGCCGAAATCCAGTGCAATATCTGCGCTGCGGCATCAATTTTGTTGTCGAACGCCCCTATGGGCACAATGTGATTCAATGCACTCTTCCACCGAAACCTTCCACTGAATTGTCTCACTGCCTCTGGTAGACAGGACCTTAACCGCCACTTAACCAGCACGTAACCAGCACTTAATCAGCACCTAAACAGCAGCTTCCAGAGCCATACCTCTGCCGCAGCGTCCAGCTTGTCGTCCACCGCGCCGGTCGGCACAATGCGGCCTTCCTTCTCGGCCTGAGCCCAGTCAAACGCCTCTTCGAAGTGCTCGAGCGCGGGGACCACCTCCCGCGGGAACAGCTCCCCAATCGTCACCAAGCGCCTCAGCAGGGGTGACGTCAGCTTGTCCTTGCAGGCCTGGAAGCCCTCGACGGCGTCGACGACCGCCTTGCAGCCGCGCAGGATGGAAATGAACTCGCCCAACTTCTTCTTGGCCTCGTCCTGGGGGAAGACTCAGGGCTTCAGGTTCCAAGTACTTCCATTCCTGGCGGTATTGGGGTCAGAAAGTCGGGGTGTTCAAGGGCAGATTCTCAAGTATTGACGTGAAGGGGTTGCGTTTTGAAGGCCATCACACACGGGGGGAGGGATCTAAGGGATTGGCAATGTCATTTCCATCCCTGGGTCAAGTCTGCGCCCTGACAGCAAGCATGTTGATGGTGAAAATAGATCCCATTTCTCGTCTTTCTTGTAGAAAAGACGTGGAAGGTCGGCTGGCTTGTCAACAGCCCACTTTTGAGAGCCGGGCTGACGTCGGAACAACGAGAGGCTTTTTTAAGGGTGATCCTGAACCCTAACAGTGAGAAGAGTGCGTGCTTCACGCGGCTCACCTCGTACAGGACCACCTTGTCGGCATGACGGCCGCTGCCGCTGCTGACTGCGTGCAACCTCGCGAGGAGCCTCTCCAGGTCCGGCAGCCCGGCGAGCAGCCTCTTCGCCCGGCCCATGGCATCGGCCCCGGGGCCCTGCTTGAGATCAAGAATCGCTTCCTGCACAGTTAAACATACAGCTTCTGTTTAGATATAATTAGCTTCGGGTATAGTAAGCTAGCCTGGGACGGGTGGGGTTAGGTTGGGGGTTTAGGGTGGGTACGGGTGCGGATAAGGGTGATTTTAAGGGTTAGGTTTTTAGTGTTAGGGTAGAAGCTTACAATGTTCAAAGCTTACTGAACCTATAATAAAGAGGAGGATATACAACCGCTTGTTACCAGAGCTTGGGGTTGGTACCATATCAGTATTTTGATCGAGATTTTGTCGTAGCCGTGGCATATTGCAGAGCTATGCACTATCTGGCGCTGTATGAACAACCGGTGCAGAGGTCGACGACTGCACAACAGCGCACCCCGCCTCTTGGTGTTGTCATATTTCTACCAGACTCGATTCCAAGGTACGGCCAATGCGAACCATCAGATGACTTTGAAGGGGTTGGAAATCAGGGAACGCCGCATCTGGCTGCATTGATACTTCCTTTGTACAATCCCGCTGTGACAGGGTTTCTCAGGAGCAGACTGCGTGCGAGGTTACCTGTCGGGCTGTGATGGCCTTCACGCTCTGGAGGGGCCGGCAGAGCCAGGCGCGGAGCATCCGTCGCCCGATTGCTGTCGTGCAGTGGTCCAAAGTTGCCAGTAGCGTACCAGAGGTGCCGCCATCCTTGTTGTTCTCGAGGATCTGCATGAAAAAGCCCGTAAACAACGTCTATAAACCTGCCCGTATTGAGCGGCCTTTTCCCAGTCAGGCGGTTCGAAGATACTTGTACAAGGCGACCAGAACTTATAATGCACGAGCCACAAGAGTTATGCGCGCAAGCCAGCGGACAAGTACCGTGACTTTTCAGCAGCTTTTAGAAGGCCTGCAAACCCCAGAAGCTTTCATTCACTTAGTGTCCAGTAACACATTTCGCGGCTGACCCTCAAATCGTCCTCGACTCTCGATGCTCATGCGAACGTGACAAGACCTTTCGAATCATGCGAGCAAGCCACTTCTGCATCAGCAGCACACCGATCGAGATGCTCAGCTACTCTGCTATAATGTGCACGAACACAGCAGAAATAACACTTCTCTCAAGGCCCATGCCTATCAGGAGCGTGGGGCGCGCAGTGGTACATTGGCGATGCCAATTCACGGGATCCACCTGCTGGCCTCTAGGTTCCCCAGAGCGGCGCTAGCCGGCTTTCTTCTTCCTCTCTTTCTTCTTAGTGGTTTTTTGGCCATACTAGCGATAAAGCTCAGCTCCGGATCCTCCAGCGCTAGTAAGTTTCCCGACCTCCCCCTGTCACCCCATTTCTTTTCCGGATCACTGAAAACAAGACGAAGCTCACCTCCAGGTTCTCCAGCGCAGCGCTGTCCAGCACCATGTACACGTCCCGCCCGTCGTCCTTCTGCGCCTGCGCCTCCAGGCACGCGTCCGCGCTGCCCGGCAGCGGCTCAATCCTCCCGAGCGCCAGGACGTCCGACTCGAGCAGGGCCTGCCGGAATACCCGGTTAGTGTTTCGAACAGATCCAATAAAAGTATACGCAAATACCGAGACTCCGGGAACTTTCGATCGTTTAAGGGCCGATTTTGAGCTATAAGCACCCGGGGGACGGGTGGGGTCACTTTGGGGATTAGGGTGGGTGGGGTGCGGAACGCGTGAAAGTTTGGGTTTATGTACGTAAAACAATTTCCTGATAAAAGCAACCTAGAATCACCAGTATAGTAAGGGATGCAATGGCTCAGTCGAAAAGGCTAACCGAAAAAGGTGACGCGCTCCGCACCCGAACAACTCGTAACCCGATATCAACCTCACCCGTCCCCCGATGTGAACTGACGGTATTAGGTCCTTCCTGGTGTCGAGATTTATCTACCTGCCGGAGGTAGAAGACGGCGCCCCCGAGCGCGGAGATGGCGGCCGCGCCGTCGGCGTCGGACTGCGCGAGGCGACGGAGGTAGGGCGGCCACGAGGACTCGCCGGTGCTCAACTCGAGCGAGCCAAAGAAGGTGGTCAGCTCGGACTTGGTGCGGTCGGCCGTCCAAAACTGCAGGGGCAAAAGCCCACGGAGGGCTGTCAGAGGACCGCGAGAACAAACTAGCAGCTTCAGACCATGCTCGTAAGGTCAAAGTTCACAACTTGCAGATTACAGACACACGTTGGAGAACGAGTTACGTCAGCTGTAAGCCAAAGCCACGTGCTTTGCTTCTACCAGACCGTTCAAACGTGCCAGATGGCATCCCTTAACCGTCAGGGCCTACGTGCTTGGATATCTGCAGACGACCATTGTCTGGCCTTTGTGCGCATCGTCGCTGCCGTTCGGACGTTCTAGTAAATGTGGCTTCGGCAGAACTTTGCCAAAGACGTAGCAGATCAAAAATGATGCGTCCTTCAGGCAGGAAAAAGCACTCAAATGACAGGCTGTCGCACAGCTCGCAAGTTGGAAGACGACCATGCTTCCCACAAAGGAAAAGCAATCTCGTGAGCACCTTCGTGACGTTTGTTTAGGAGACTTTTCTGTTGAAACCGACCCGCTCCAGAAAAGCGTCGTTTGCCGTCGGGTATTGGCTAAGCCATTCTGCCGGCTTCCAGTGAGTCGTTTGGGAGACGAAGAATAGAGCTGCCGCTGCCTTGGCAAAGTTGGCGGGTCCTACCTCGTCCTCGGGAGCAAGATCGTTGACGAGTGGCTGGCGGGTGTGGTCCTTGAGCGCCCGCTCGGTGGCCGGGTCGAGGGCGCCCCGCGGTTTGATCAGTTCGACGGGCCGCAGCTCGGCCAGGATCGAACGCAGCCGCCCCCGGTGAGCGTCGTCCACAAACTGCAGTTGACGTCAGTATGACGTTAGTAGCCACCTTCCGCGTTGGGTTGACAATCCTTTTCAGGAGAACGGAAACTTAGCTTGAGCCGTTCTACCCTCGACGGGCAGTTGAGCAATCAATGCCTCTATAGCGCAAAAGGGCGAGTACGTTGCTGAGCAAAAGAGGGAGCACTATTTTTGCGAAAGACGACATTTACCTGTAATCGGAGAAAGAAACCTCTGTCGTGGTACGGTCAGGAATCATGACACCAATTTCACGTACCTGTCCAACCAAGAACGTACTGGTCGCAGTGTCAACGGCACACACTCCAACCACTGCCGACCCGTTCTCCAGGTCCGATGCTCGCTCGCTCGTCGGCGCAAGCTCCGTCACTGACAGGATGTAGGACGCCTCAGGATGTGACGCCAGCATGTCGGCCTCCACAAGCGTGCCCTTGGTCAGGACAGACACAACTTCTCTCCTGACAACCTGCAAACAGCAGAGGGTACGTATGAGCAGGGGACAGTGGGTGGCTCTATCTTGCAACAATTCGTGGTATGCAAAGGAAAGCTGGTTGACGAAGAACCACTTTTCACGCATCCAGGCAAGCCGCCACCAAAGTAAGTGCAAAGCAGGGGAAACGTTGGGCCGACATCTCGACAATGTGTGTTGCAGGGCAGGGCGCTTAAGCGGCAAACCCCACATCAAAGCCGTCTCGAGAAAGGGACAGCCAGGCGGCCACCATATTATCACAGCCCTTTGCAGTCACCCACTACGCTCTGAAGTGGAGGAACACTTGAGAAAGAAGGAGCCATACCGAGTCCCTAGTGCCTTTCTCCTTGTTGCGCTGCGCCATCTGAGCTGGCGTCTCGACTTGCTCGATCACAAGGACACGGTATCCCTGTATCACCAATTAGCGAGCTCCTTGAGGTTTTCGAGCATCTTGACCACGCAACCACTCAGGGACAAAATTAAATGAAGGCATGGTTGTCTTCGCTTCTATCAGGAGCTTCGAGAAACACGGAACCTTTTCCTTGCGTTGCTGACTTGCAGGGCACAGGGCGCAAAGCTTGACACCTTGCTCTGTAACTAGCTTAACAGAGGAATCTGTGCTTTGTCCATCATGCATATGAGAGCATAGACCTTCGTGAATTACCTTCCTTGCCAGGGCCTCTGCGTTGGGCGAGAAACCCTTCTCTGGGAATCCGCAATGAGGCTGGTCTCCCTGCAAAGCAGAGCATGCCGGGTTGTGAGGCTGACAAGCACACCAACGTGATGCTCCAAGCAAAAGCTACGCCAAAGAACCAGCGAAAACGAGGGTTTCATTAGGTGACAGCATACCCAACCTAAGACCTCAGGGCAGGCAACGATTGCGAACTAAATTTTACGTGGACAGTCACTTCGTATAGAACGTCGTCCAAATGGAGCGCAGATAGTGCAAATCGTGGGCCTTTCCATGCAGCAGGAATGGCTGAAATCTAGTCAGATGAACTTCATCTAATCTAACCTTAAAGTAAGCCCTGGCAGATCACCTTACCTTCATGTAAATCAAGTTGAGCTCTTGTACGCCAACATGTGCATCCATTTCAAACATTTCGTAAAACTTTCCCATCTGCAAAAGACGGAGCGTGCATCAAATGACGCAACATCCTTCCAAGGAGAGCTAAGCAGACCTAAAGTGCGGACAATCTTTCAAACCGCTTTGTTTGACTCTCCGCTGACTCTGTTGTTGAATGAAGCAAAGTGCACGTTCCTACCATGTTTTCAAAAGATGTTCTGCCTCGAAAGATGTGGTGAGTACTTCAATCTGTACTAAGCATCATAAGAAAGCATCAGGTTGACTGGCTTACTTTGAAAAGAAGGACCTTGTCCAGATGTTGAGCCTTAAACTCCCACCACTGCCGCTGCAACCACGACATGATGGAAAGCATCAGACTCTCGTCTTTGGGTCGACTTCGGTAAGGGATGGACAGGCATGGCCGTCTCCAAAACGACGTTTGCCACAAAGTAGCAGTAGCGGAATACCATTTTATCTATTACTGCCCAAGGAATGAAGAAATTGACACCATTTAGGCATTTGCCAAGGATCTGCATCACACTGCAACATCATCCTACGAACTGTAGTATCTAGAAGCAGGTAGTAACTGACCTGACCAGGAGATAGCTTCTTCAAAAAGTCTTTGGTCAAAGATACAGTGTGAGGATTGTATCCTTCATCCCCAGGACGCCTCCCATCGGCATCTCTTCGCTTTTTCCTGCAGAGGAATTGATCAAAGCAGACTTGGACTGAGAATGTAGCCTGAGAGCAAGCCAACCAGAAAGCTGCGCCAGATTGAACAGCATTGAACTTGAATTTACATCACACTTTCACAGTGAAGCAGGCCAATCAATCAGATAAGGAGGCATGAGTGATAAGAGTGTGCTCACGGCAGAAGGAAGTCGAAGATCTCAGCAACTCGGGTCCCAAATCTTGCACTCGCTTCTCCATACAGCTCAGGAACTCCAACTCCGGCGGCGGGCGGCGCTGCTTTCTGCTCTTGCTTTTCTGCTTCAATTGCTGCCCGAAGCATACTCCCGTCAGGTGATCGCCGGGTCTGCAATGCGTTCAGACCGTCCGTGTATGGCTGTATCACAGGGACAGCACCTGCATGGAAGGTCAAGCAGGAAAGACTTGCCAACTGCAAGTGGAGCAAGAGCAGAAGCTGATGCTGCACTCAAACGCCTTGGATTGTAAGCTGTTAGAACCAAGAGCTTCAGAAGGCCAGTACCGCAGGCACCGCAGGCGAAGTCTGTGCTGAGTATGGAACTGCTCGAGCTTTGAACGACTTCAGAATGATGCATTAGACCTTACGCAGTAACCTAATCCACCGCACTCAATGGAAACGTCAAAAGTTTGAAGCTGACTGCCTAGCCTGCCCTTTGCTTGTGTTTCTGAAGAATTTCGTGCCAAAAAGGTCGGTGTACGTTCGATTGAAAACGTACTCGGCAAGTTCTCGACCCCAGGCGACGCATCTGTAGAATTTTTCTGTTCTGCACCCTTCTTGGGAGTGAGAGTCTTCGCAGTCTTTCTCCTCTTCTGAGCTTGTTTCTTTTGCTTCTTCTTGCCACCACCTTCATCATCGCTGACCTCGTCATTGTCCATGTCCATCATCTCTTCCTCTATATCAGCCTGCAGGAAGCACAGTGCTGTCAGACATCGTTTTCTCAGCAAGGTAACTCCGGCTGGCAGCTCGTGCATCTCATCATGCTTCAGCAGAAGAATCTCATCAAAGTGCGAAAGGGTGAACAGGAATTGGTGTCCTTCTAAGGACGAGACGCAGATCTCACCTGAGCTGTCGCATCATTCAACTCGACCACAAAGTCTGCGTCCTTCTCCTGTTCTTTGATGTCAGATCCATCGTCTTCATCATCTTCGCTTAAGTAAGTCACCCTTCTACGTCCCCTCTTCAGCCCCCGACCAACAACCGGGGGACTCTTCGCCAGCGCGCTGTTCACGTGGTCAACCACTTCTCCACCATCTGACCACCTAAGCTTCTCATCTGCCAGAACCAATTCCTCCACTGTTTCATCATCATACAATACGGTGTGCTTGCCCGTTGCTGAGTCATACTTTTCTACTACGCCCCAGTACCAAGCTTGGTCTGCAGGCCAGAAGATTTCGAGCCTCTTGCTGAGAAGACGGGCACCTAAAGGTGTCGCAGTGTTTGAACCTTCCTTGGTCTTGACATTCCTTGGGGAGCTCCTGAGTGAATCACCATTCCGCACAGCAGCAGGAGCCGTCTGCAGCAGCCCGTTCTGCTTTTTTGGGGTGGTCTGGTTGTCACGGGCCAGACTCGGAGCACCTTGCTCCTTTCCAGCATTATGCTTAGCAGTGGCAGTGAGCACAGGCAGCTCAGTGGAAACCCGTGCTATGGCCTCTTCTTCTGCGGCGCCAGGATTTTTTGCAATTGGTTGATTCTCCGGTGCTTTCTTCGGCTTCTTAGGAGCGAAGAAGGAGTTAATACTTCGCTGAGATACACCACCGGAAGCGCCAGAGGATTTCCGGGCGCCTCCTGTCATCGTAAATCCCTTTCAAACGACGAGTGCACTTGCGTGCTATGCCAAGAATGTGACCAGGGCCCAGCTTTTCAGGATTTAATGGCTGCAGCTTCTTTGGATCATTGCATAGTGGTCAGAAGCTGACTGGAAGGCGCTTGACGCCTACGTATGTTGATCCATGTTTTGAGACGTCCAACCGCATAGGTAGATGCATGCGAGCCGCAACCATCCCACTGGGTACCTTAGTAGGTACCGTACATATTCAGCCTGCTCTTCAGACTGCATGACCATTGACGTTCGTACAGAAGCAGAAAGGCCTGCAAACAGTTCCAGATTTGAGATTTCGCCACTCCTTCAACTTGTTGTTCAAGTTGCTTCACATGTTTTGGAAAATTTTGGCGCCAAAGACGCCTCGGCTTGCGCCAAAACCCTAAAAGCTGTTGAAACTCCAAAATCCTTTGGTAGCAGGGTTTGGGATGTGACACTGCCAGAGCGCGGCCGCGGCGCTGAGCCGGCCGCATCCCTCCGAGTCGCGCGCCCAGATCAGAGCTGCTGCATGATGTGGCCGATATCGGATATATGATAGAACAGAAGCTTTTTATATACCGGTAATCAGGCTAGCAAGCGCGCGCGCGGCCGGTGCACTTCGATCGTATTGTTTGGCTCCTTAATCATGATTCAATCGTTATTGGATGTAGTAAGTTGGCCCGGCTTGCATAGGTACAATGAACGGCATATACTAGCCTTATCAAATGATGATGGTCCGACGATGGTCTCATCCGACTGTCGATCTTCATTAAATGGTACTTGGCAGACCAATCAGGCCAGCTCAACGCGGAGATTGTGTTGCACATGTGGTTCGTATTGCAAACATGGGTATTATAGAAGCTTATAGACTTTGCAGTATAGATTCGACCAGACCGCCGGGCCGACCTTTGTTGTAAGCAATGTTTGCGCTTCGTCGTTATGCGGCCCGAGCGCTTTGTGGCGGTTCACCGGCATTATCTTTGCCTTGCAATGCGTACTCTCGCCAAACTTAAGATAGTTTGCATTCCAGAAAAGACGTCCAGACATCACCTACGTGGATGCACAGTACCAATATACGAGCCTAGTCCTCAAAATGATGGACGATGACAAGACACCATATGCGCTCAGGTGACCATTTCACAAGTTCTGCCTGCCGGAGCTGCTTAGAATCTGAGCAAAGATGTGCCAAAAGGTGCCCCAAACATTGCAGCTCCGGTTCTGGAAACACGATATTCCACTGCACGGGCTCTAAGCATCAGATTGCCGTATGAACTTCTGATTGCTGGAGCCCATAGTCGACCAATCAATTGATATGTCAATCTGGCGTGCGCAACTCGACTGTCATCCTTGGTCTTCGTCCTTGTACGGACGCTTTGACGTGCAAAAGTTGGAAAGGGTCCAGCTTATGCACGAGCTCGGCGGACAGCGAACTTCCTTCCTTAGCATCATGTCCGTATGAGCAACTCCATCTAGTGGCCTTATCGCCTTTGCTGGGATCTTTCACATGCACATGGTACCTCCTCTTCCAGTGCTCGTCAGCTACAAGCCGGAAGTGTAGCTCGCCATTTGCGGCCAGTGGGAGCTTCAGATCGGCACTGCACATACAGGCAAGATTAGGCTTGGCACAACAAGCTGAGATAGTGTCTTGTCCACTTTGAATTATTGTCAATTCTGTAACGGCCATTATTGTTCCGTTCGCCTAGTTGAAGGCGACAGAACATCATTGCTCGGATGACAGCTAGGAGCGGCGTTGCTGAACTTGAGCCTTGCTAAAGCAGTATCTAGCGCTGATAAACGGAAGAGCCGGCATCTACTGAAGCGACCAGAGCAAGCAGCGGCTTGAAGAAAGGAAAGCAAGGGAAGCTCCTGCAAGACGGCGGTCGGATCCAAATTCAAAGGATTGCATGTCCAGCGTAGGTTGCGAAATAGCTTAATTAGTAGGAGAACCTGTATCTCGTCTATACTGTGTAGGGAAAGTGGGTAGCACCCAAAAGGTTTCGAACAAAAGCTCCCGCTCCTGCCTAAACAAGAGCATTGAGAACTCTTCGCTCCGCCCTGTCGTGACCACTTGCCGTCCGTGCCGATTGGTGAAAACCGAGATCGAGAGTCTCCTAAACAAAGAAATAAAGACTCCACAAAGCTTCCCGCAGAAGTTGTAATGCAGTCCGAGGCAGAGCCAACTGTCCCTGTGTCCGAAGGTGACGTCACTTGACCTCTTCTCCGAAACTCTCGTTGTCTTCCCAACCTCTGACTTTCATCTCCCCCTTCTTCCATGTCTCCAAAAAGACTTAGTGAGCGCACCTGAGCTTCCGTTCCTGTTTCAGGTCCGTTGCGAGCCCTGCTTCGAAACGGAGGACGTCACTCCGCTTGTGCGACGCCTTCCATTCGATGCGGTCTTTCGACCGCAAGTCCGTGCTGACTTTCTGTGCAAGGCTGGTGCGCCCCGTGATGGGCAGTTGCGCGTCAATCACCCACTGGGTTGCTAGCCTGGAAAAACACCGTAATGTAGCGTCAGTGACGGCCAAATGGGATGTTAAGATCGCTTATCCGAACATCGCAGACATCAGACGAACTCGAGAACCCGAGGAAGACGGGCCACTGAGCACGTTACCTGGTTTGGGAGTCGAGGATGTCGACAGACCTGAACAGGACTGATGTCAAACTCGTCATACCCAAAACCGCTTCACACTTGGAAAACGATTCTCTAAAGGAAGCTGAAAAGGTCATGCGGACTTCAGTCTGCAAATCCAATGAGACCACAAGCTTTGAGCAAACTCTGCAGAAAACACTACTGCAGCAAGTCAGCGCCGCTGCATAAGCGTCTTCAACCCAACAATCAGATTCCACAAATTCCGCACTGTATTACGGAGCTCTGTGGAACCCCTTGCTGATATAAAGCTACAAGAATGACCAAGTTGCTGGCCGACCTGAAGCAAGTCTACTCAAAGAGCAGGATCTTGTAAGCTCAACCAATGGTCTCAATGGCTTCATGGAACCAAGCGCGAGCCGCATGCTCAGATGTGAGCTTCTCAGGGGCTGACGAAGTGCAAGCCTTCTAGTTGTCAGTGCAAAGTAGTCCTCTGCATTTTGAGTAAGCTGAACAGTAAAATCGCGCCAACAAGCCAAGATAAGGTCAGGCCGGCTCACTTTGACGTGGTCGATACACTGCTCTTTACGACGGGCCCTCCGTTCGACCCGTGCTGCGTTTGTAGCCTCACGGTCTTTTCTCTGCCCTTGAGTTTTGTTGTCACAGTGCCAGAATTGAACTTGCCCTTGTTTGAAAGGTGCAACTCCAGAGTCCGCTCCCGCTTGGGGCCCCCTGCCTGACACGTGGCACCAAGGGAGAGGGTCGGCGAGAGACCGTAAGAGGCCCCTGCCGTAAAGGACTCACCTGCGAGATGATAAATCGCAAAAAGTTTGTTAAGGAGGAGGTGAGTACCTGACTGTGATGACCATGATCAATGAGGAAGACGGTTGCTTGTACTAAAGTAGTTGTCCACAAGATTCTTTCCTTCTTTTTACGGGAGGTCGGAGCTTGATGCGATTGATCAGACATACATCCTCTTGGATTGGCAAGAGCACAATGACGAGATTACGCCTCAACCGATTATTTCAGGCGCATTTTAATAAATTTGCTCATTTCGCTGGATCCTGGGGCTGCAGAAACAGAGTTTTCTCACCATTCTGCTGTTGGTTGGCGAAGGCGACATTTGCTTTGTTCCTTTCAGTTGGCTGATAGTGCAGCGAGACAGCGACCGACTTCTTGACCTCTCCTCTTCCCTCATGTAATGTAATCTGCACTGCAGACATCAACCGTGCCAGTAAACATTTGGATACGACGAAGGTTTGGTAAGCTACATTAATCATATTGGTCACATCTGTAAGTGAGAAGATGAGGTATGGTGTTACCGGCTAAAACATGTTGAGTGGTTGGCCATTGACTGAGTCAATTACTGACTTTATTTTTCCAGCTTCACAGTTGGATTAGAAGACTTACACACCTTATAGGATGATCTTACTTGAGGTGCGGAATGATTATTTTTGCAGATAGGATCTCTGAACCCCCTGAAATGTGTTGCAAGTCTTAAATGTGTGCTTATGTACGATCCTTCAAGCAAAGATTTCCTCTGAGCTGTCTCTCTGCTGCCCTATTGTGGAGTTTATCAAGGACACTGCTACTTGTAGAAGCAGCTCCTTTGGCAAAGTGAGGCGCTCACAAGCTGCTGGCTTACTTGTGCTCTGTGTCCCCAGATTGACAACTTCCTTCAGCTGAAGCCCCTCCACCAGCCGCCAATCTAGTCTGCCCCCCTAGAACAATCAGAAGGTGCATAAGAACGCTTAAAGGAATGCAACCATCATCAACTGAAACCATCATCACTAATTTTAACCATTGGAAAGCTTGGGTTCAGAAAAAGTACCAAAGAGCAATTTGAAAAATTTCATTTGCAGCAGGTTCTGCTGACTCTGAACGTTTCAACACAGGTGCTATGGTTTCGAACTGAAGTGTGATCGATTCTGTAGCTTGAGCATAAGCATAGACTCTGGCCAAAGGGCTGGCAGGAGCAGAAAGATTTTGAAAACCGCCGCTGAAAGTATGTATCAAACACTGCTAGCGATAGACACTTCTCACGTTGAGGAACAGTATCCGCCGGTGGAAGCTCAGAGTACCCCAGTCTGGTCTGATCCTCATTTGCGATGCTGGCGGAATACATGCAATGCCCACACCACCCCCATCGCCGCCCTTTCCTGGGCAATTTGATATGTCGACGTTCTCCCATCCCGGCCAACGTCCTGCACAGCGTGTTGGACCTTCCAGCAGAAGCAAGCTCGACTTTGCCCTGTTCACATCCACCACCTCTTTCCACACGTCCTCCGCCATGCTTCGAGGCTGATTTCTACACAATTCACATCTCGCTCCTTTCCATGAACAATGAACATCGAAGATTGAAAGCTATGTAAGTTACTAGCGTACTAGGTACTAACTTCCAAGTACCGGTATGCCATTTACTCATGTAGAGCGCCCGGGTTTCGCGGTTCAGCTCTGTGACAATTGTCCGGTGACTCCGGTGACCGGTCGCGTCGATCGACGGTCGCTCGGTGGATCCGAGTCAAACCCCGGATACCCCCGTGACAATCTCAGTCGAGCCAGGCCTGCGGACCACTAGGATTTTCCTGGCCCGGGAGCTGCTCTCCCGGCTCTACATATCGGATCTGTCAGGCCGGGCAGGAGCCTGGAGGACACGAAGATCGTTGCTTCCCTGAAATGCACACTAGAGTAGACAGAGACCATATACCATTCCATAGCGTTCAACTTGCATGTAATTTCCTTGCTCATCAGCATGCACAAGTGCGCAGATAATGCACGTGACAAACACGATCTGGTTCCGATGGTGGCTAACTTCTTTGGTCTCTACGGTGGCTAAGTTCTTTGCACAAACTAGAGTCAAACCCGAGCTCGATATCAACCATGAATTCCCAAAAGACCGATGCACCAATGGATTGTCACGCGCACTTCTGTGGATCGAACATACATACACTAGAGCTTATCTGATCGTCTGATTGCAATCTGATCATTTAGAACGGACAGAAGGCCATCATCGATCTGAAGTCTTTGCTTGGGGCTAGGCAGGGCCCAATATACACGTCTCTACGATCTGATATCAATGGCATGCCATGGTGCTAGTCTAGCAGAGCCAAACATTGTCATCCGAGCCAGGCACATACTTGCCAAAGACAGCTGTCCTCCACGACAATCACGTAAAATACCGCCAACCACTATGTAAGCCTCATCCTTTCTGAAAGACATTCCGTATCATTAAGCTCCATAAGGTGAGTGTGTAAGATGGTAGATAACGAGTCATACCTTCTTTCACCAGGTCTGTAATCAACTCAGGAAACCATACCAAAAGATGGAGTATTCATCAAATATCGGGACCGAGCAGCTGCTGTATCGAGCTGCAACTCTTTAATATTCCACCACAACATCATTGCGATGCTGTGCTTTGTTGAGCGGACACCCGTCCCGATCCAGTTCTAACAAACGCTTCTCTATTTCGATGGTGGCCCCGTTGACTACGGCCTCTTCCGCCACGACGGCTGCAACCAGCAAGACAACAAGAAGCATAAACGACGCGTCCCACTCTGTACAACGATAGGACTCGAGATTGTCTCCTCTTAGTATAACCTCCGTTTCGGTTCACGAATCGCAGAAGATCGACCATAATATTTAATACAAGCTCGTAGCAACACCTTCAGGACGAGTGCAGATGACACGTGACTCCGGCAAACCTTGAATCGACGTAGCCTGCCCTTATGGCACATCAAGGACGTTCGTTGAACGAGCTGAACGAGCGTGCTCCGCGATATATTGGAATCTGTCTGTATACAAACAAACTATTTTCAATCAGCCTATGGTTACACTATTGTTTCTGAGCCTATCAATTGCTAGCAATTAGGAAGAAGAGCCGGTGTGCAGTTGCCAGTCACCAGACTGTAGCATGGTGAGTTTACTGGTGTGACAAGTGAGACTGAATCGACCATGGACGTACCTGTATTGGGACGGTGGCAGCTTCAAACCAGCCGGCGACCGCCAGTACTCCGGCCCGCGGGCTTGCGCATCCACCGCTGGTAGGCTGTCCAGCCAAGCAACATAGTCTGCAGGTCGTCGAGACATAGGGTATGTCAACCACATATAGCCAAAAGTTGTTTCAAATTTAAGCGGAGTTGCTCGAGAAACTGCGACTGGGATGCCGATCCCAAAGCCTTACTAACAGACATAGAAGTAGAAGATAAGAGGGCGGAGCGAGACCGCGACATGGTCTCAACAAACAGCGGAACGCTTAGCCGATTACGAGCAACTGCCCTTCCTAGAAACTTCACATAGACGCCCTAGCAAGAACAAGCTCAGCCGCATGGGATAGGGGCGGAAGAAAGTTTGATTGATAAGAGCGAGCAATCGAGAATGATTCACAAATCAAAACAGTCGACCAGACCGCGTGGAGACATGATAGAGCTTACTTGGATGAAGCCCCCACTCTTTGGCCCCACTTTTGATGAGGTTCAAGTAACGGGTTGACGGCGGCAGGCCGTCTTGGATGAGCTCCTCTGGTCGACTGCAGAAGACCACTGCGCGTATGCTCCCTCTGCATAAAGTACAAAGAAGATCCTCAGCAAAGGGACGAAAAAGTAAGCAACATTCATATGGAGAATCTCGACACGATTCAACGACGGAATACCTGGCAAGGCACATGCGTAGAGCATACCTCCTGAAAGTAATTGGGCCACAACAAGGGGGGCGAGAAAGCTCGACCAACAAGGCCGAGCAACCCAACAGTTGCCTTAATTGCCAGGTACAGGCCGGCGACTCCGATCTAATAGAAGCCGCAAGGTGTGGCTGCCAGACGAATTCGCTGTTCAGCTCCGACGTGACACGTGTCCCCGTAGCTTAGTCAGAAACAGGTTCCGCTTGCAGCCCTTACAGGGGGCAACAAGGAGAGCATGGGGAGCACCCTTGCGACCATTGCGTGACTGTCAATCCGCCTAACCAAACGCTTACCGGCCGTCGTACGGCTCGACATCGACGTCCACCGCCGAGTACCCGTTTTCCATCTCCCGCAACCGGTTGAACTGCTCTCGGGTCACTTGATGGAGCAGCCCGTGGCAGGCATCCCCCGGGGACTCAACGACGTTTCCCATAGCGCCTCTGACGGGGACAGAATTTACGTCAGGCTTACGTTGCATTCCGGCCATTGAATCAAGAGTTTCGTGCGTGAAAGAGGGCGTCTGCCCCACGTGGCTTGCGGCGGACACACAGACAACGGGTATCGACTGCGTGTCGCTGCAATTTGCAACCACGTGCTTTTACAAGCGACTGGGACAGTGAGACTCTTGGCATTCGGTCGCCCTTTGGAACAGGTCCCACAAGTACTCAGATGCCGTATCTGCCGTATGAAATTGATTTTCGAAGCCAGGGCGATCCTTGTGGTCAACTGAAACGGACTCGCACTGCAAAGGCGAGCAATTATCGTTCATGTGTCTGAAGCGCATCGTTTTAGGGTGGCTTCACCGGTGATAAAGGCAACGGAGGTGTTCACTAAATGCAGTGGTCACTCACATAGGCACCCGGAAGACGGGTAGGGTTGGTTAGGTGGGTAGGGTGGGTAGGGGTGCGGAGCGTGCGATATATAGGTTAGGGTTTTTGGTTTGTGTACCCGGGGCTTCTGAAACTGGGTAAAAACTCTGTTCGGTGAACACTTCCGTTGCCATTACCCACCGGTGATTGAAGGCCAGCCGGTATCCCGCGAGCCGGCCCGGGACAGAGTCCACCGGCGTAATTCGACGGACCACCTCCAGCTTGTGCCTGGACGGAGCGGGAAATAAATCATCCGGTTAGTCACTGAAAAGACTGAGAATGATTGTGAGTAGCATTGCTGGACTTTAATACAGGTGGAACACCTTTAGTTGGCACCGTCGTAAGAGTGGAATACCTTTAGTTGGCACCGTCTTCTGGAAAAAGACAAGACCAAGTTTCAAAGCCCTTGTCAGACTTTCAGAAGTAGACGGTGCAGTTGAGCGTAAGCTTTTTCGCTGGGTACGGGTTGCATAGAATGACACGTTCTCGAAGTTGTGTCCTGTCTTGAGCGACGAAAGCTTCCGCCGAATCAAGGAAATACTCCAGTCAAGTCCAAGTGGAGAATTCAACCGCTTACTTGAGTGAAAGTTCGAAGCGAGCATGAGAAACGGTGCTGGTAACAACTTACTTCAGAAGCAGAGCGTGCATTCTTGACCTCCAGAAAGTACGTTCGTAGTTGCAGAACGGCAGATCGGTTTTGAGTGCGGCGCCAAACGCAGCAGGCAGCAGAACTTCATTCCTGTCCGATGTCCTTGTATTCCTTTCAATGCCAAAACTCTGTCAGTACCTAGTATTTGGCTCACTTGTTTACGTTGGCCCCGTAAGCGAAGTTCCACACTAGGTCCGCTTGCCCGCTTGTGCTTGGTTCGGAACCTGCAGAAGCACTGGCTACGGTCACGTCCTCTGGAGTACACGAGAGGAAGCGCCAGGCAAGTGACTTGCCGTAATCTGGGTTTGAGTCGTTGACTGTAAGGACAAAGCAGAAAGGTCTCTCCAGAGTATCCACGAGAAGATGAGGAGTATCCCACGTCCTAGGATTCAATACGAATGGACCTAAAAGGCTCCCGGATACCATTCGAATTGACCTAAAAGGCTCCCAGATAAAGCGACAATGAGTGACCCTCAGCAAAAGGAATCGAAAATCCTTTTATTCCCTAGAAGGTGCCAAAACAACTCACCGACCTGCTCACGAGAGCTGGTAGGGTCTTCTGCACCATGCGCATTCCGAGGTCCGCTTCCGTTGCGTGTTCCGGTTCCGTTGCTTTTGTTAGTGGAATCCGTTCCTGTTCCGCTCGCTGAGGTGGCTGGAGTCCAGAGCAACTTCGGCGACGCCCCGACCTCCGCACCCAAGGGGATGGCAGATCGCTTATGAAACGGGTCGTCGAAATCTGCAAGCAGTAAGGAGTTTTTCGCAACGCGAGCCTTTGCGTCCTATAGTTGACGAGAACTCTCTGATAGTTCGCTTTCTCTTTGGGTTCTCGTTGCGCATTGTGTTCCTTCGTTCCAAAACAAGCACGTGCTCTTGGTTTACTTGACTGGTCAGACATGCACGGCATACCTGATTTTAACGCTTAAGCTCTTCGATTTTGAACTTAAGCTCTGCGTCAAAAACTTCTCCAGTGCCTCGCTTTCTGGCAAAGGGCTATGAGTAACCATACCTGCCCTGCTGATCAGAAACACCTCTTTCAAGGTGAACTCTAGACCCGGCCACGTGTCTCCGAATGCACGCATCCCTTCTTCTGTCTCGCGCTTGTTCCTCCACTGCAAAAGACACGAACTTTGACGCTTCGAAGACACTCTTTTAGTTCTCCCACCACGAACAGAGTTCTTTATCAGGCAAAGGCACATGAAAAAATGGCTCCACAAATCTCCAAATCACGTTGATGAAGCAAAGAGGTGCAAGGCTTGAGAACGCTTCGTGCAACACCAATCTCGCATTTTCAAACACTTTGAAAGGGAGGTTGATGAGAATACCACTTTGTTCACTTTCATTGTGGCATGGTAATGTGGAAGTCTAGGATCCTCGCATGACCTTGAAGGCACAGTAGATGCAACAGTTCTTCTTTCGCCCTCAATTTGAAGTGACCGATACAAGGCCCTACAACGGTCTGAATTTCCAAATCCAAAGTGAAAAAGAACCGAGAAGAGGCAGCAAAATACAACTCCCACCTGGACACAAGAACGTTGTGACAGCTCTCCAACTGAGAATTAACGGAAGAGCAGACAGGACAGATGCAAGAGGGCAGCGCTCACCTGGCCAACCGAGAGGTGGGGCTTGAACGAGTCGCTTATTGTGCTCAGCTCAGTGCACTTCGGAAATGCCTCCTGCAACGCCGCTTGGAGCGTCTGCAGCTGGGCAGTGGCGTCCGTCGGATCAAGCCACATCGTGCAGCTCCTGTTGAAAGTTGAAGAGCCAGTAAGATTCAAGCTATCTTTCGGCAGTGCCCTTGTCTCAAGCTGGCGCACTGACCGTGAGTAAGGGGAGCCACTGCTAACTACAGTCCGCAAATTTGATAAGATCTACTGTTTTCTCAAATGATACGAGTGGATCGGGCAGTTTGCAAACCGTGGACAATTGTTTTCAATGACTCCCAATGCTCGAAATCCCCAACTAATCAGCCTCGAGCCCTAGGGAAATCTCTTGCAGATCGCAGGTTAAGACTCAAGCAGAAGAAAATCCAAGCTCATGATTGCAGCCTTCGAAGGGAGCTATTGGACCAAACGTGCACTTACCTGTTGTGTTGGAAGTAGTTAAAAGCTTTTAAAGAAAGCTGGAATGGCTGAATAGAGCTCAACTTTGCCACCTGTGACCACAAAGGAGTCAACTGAGTAGGAGTGCGCTATGTTCTGAGATACTCGTCTGCTGAAAAAATTAGACCTTGGATCCCCCTGAAGACAACTACTTTGTCAATGACACCTCTAAATCAGAAGTCGCAGGCTGGGTGGACATGAAGAAAAGGTGCAACAAGTCAAGAGGCACCCCACAGACCTAGAACATCTGCATGACCTATCCGAAAGCTTGTAGAAAACATAGACCCATCTCAGAACTTTGCAACCTTCACAGCGCATACACAGACACAATCACACATGACTTCAACCCTTGATGATTAGAGAAGGGCGAACCCCAGGGGACCAGGTACAGTGCTTGTAGCAAGGAATCAGCATGATGACGACCTAAACTCACAGCACCTCCCTCCAATGCCAGCTGAAAGATCTTTGATACGACTGTACGCATAAGCCTGGAGGGAATTTGAGCCTGTGCTTTACTCCATCACCTCAGATGTCATGCAAAGGTGAAAGTTCAGCGGACCATGCGACCTTGCCCTACCGCTCTTTCAGCCGCCACTTGGAAGTTGTCGCCTTCGTCAACCCAGAAAGGATAGATGAGGTTGATGTGTGGCATCCATCGTTTGTAATGCTGTGGACAGAAGAGAATGAACTCGCAACGTGACTCATATTAGCTTGCAAACCTGGTTTCTTTCAAAAAGGGCGGTGCAGTGCATGCGTTTCACTTGAGATAAAGAAAGCAGGGCAAGGTGCTCGTTTTGTTGAAGATAGACTCAATTCAGCCGCGTGCTGCACACCAGTGACATAGGACCCAGACGGTTCTGTACTTGTTGCCACGACCACAATGGTGGTGATAAGTACATAACCACTTGCCTTATCATGTACGCGTCGGATGTCCTGGATGGGGCCCCATAGCTCTTCAGGCGGCACAATACAGATCGCACTTTTGTGCACTTTCTGAGGCTCACTCCATCTTTTTGAGAGTTCTGCACTCACGTCTTCTGCTTCAGCAGAACGGCTGCCCTGCTCAGCGTTCATGGCGGCTGACGCACGAGCAATGTTTGAGACGAACCTTGAAGAAGGAAGGATCCTCTTTCTGCTGCGAGGTGCACCAGTGGCAGAGCTTTTGACGGAGCACAAGAAAGTAGGCAAGCGCCCTGATGACCAGGCCAAGGCAAGAGCCATTGCTGCCTTTCTGCAGCACGAGTATGAAGATGATAGGCTCGTGAGTCTGCTGGGGGATCGACACAGATCGACGGTACTGTGGAGCTTCTTGAGAACTCGAACGGCCTCTATTGCACAAATGGGGCCACGTCATCGGCTACAGCACCTTACCTAATCTACATGAAACGTGAGCTCAAAAGCTTTGCACTGTTTGGAACACTACAGCCTCAGGACGCCTCATCATTTGGGGCCCTGGGCTTAGCCTTAGGGGTGGCGCATGCAAGAGAAGAAAAGCTTCTTCGTATAGGCAGGTGGATGGTGCTTGAAGTCGTGATGTGCCTTCTTGAGAGCAAAATGATGCAGCTAAGGAAAAGCCGCCACACGTTCTTGAGTGATGAGTCCGGATTAGGACTCTATCTTGCCTGGCAAGAACCCGGTTCCGTGCAATTATTGATTTCTCGGAAAGAGTTGGTCAGATCGGATTACAGAAAGAAAGGCTTTGGATCAGCCAAGCTTGTTTACAACTGAAGCCCTAGAATGCTGAGAGTCTGCAGCATTGGCCCAAAATCCTTTCTACCAGTCCTCATTCCAATGTGGTGCAACGACGCTAGTGATAAACAATGGACCCCTAAAACCGAAGCCACAGAACATTAAGATGCTTGTAGAACTCTTTCAGCAGACATACCACCACCATAGCTAGAAAGGAGCGAAAGCACTTGCAGCGATCAGAAAACTGGCCGACCAGACTACACTTGATCGTTGCAGTTCTCTGATAGATTCTCTGTCCGCACGCTTGCTCGAGTACAGCACTCATCTTTTGAGTATAAAAGGGTTGGTTTTCCACAACAGACAAAGTGTCAGGCGCTGAGTTGCTCAAAGTAGAATGGCCTCGCTTTGTCCTGTCAACGCTGGTGCTTTCGTCAGCACAGCCGGCACCTGTGCCTGTCCGGTGGGGCAGTATCTAGTAAACGCTTCCTGCCGAGCTTACATGGACGGGCCAACTCAAAGACCAGAGATTAGTCAGGCTGACTTCATTCCCCCTCTGCCAACTGCAGCATCCTGGACTAACAACCATGCTCAGGTGAACCGATGTTGTGTCACTTGTTTGGGCTTCGTCTCTTTCCTGGCCGTGTCTCTATCTCTCTGGCTGTGCTTTACACTTCACTTGAACCTGCGTTTCTGCACTTCAAAGGCTTGATAATGCAATCAATTGTCAGGATGAACTGCAGCCTTGCCAATTCTAGAGAGTAGAGCCAACGTTGCTGAACAAGAGGACCAACTATAGGTAAGGGTGCACGGGTCCCCTGCAGATGTGACAGTCTCAAAGGCTTGCGTTTGACCTTGGATCTAATCTTTTACTCCTGCTGCAGCTCATCTCCTTTGAGATTACCATCATCCTCGTGGGGGTGTGGTTCCTCTTCTGCCTGGGCCTGCGCTTTGCCCCCTTGGAAGGGAACTGGTTCCGCCTCCGCTACAAGATCAGCCGGTGTGATGTCATCTTCTCGAAGCAGCACTGGTTCGACGAGCAGAAAGTATTGGTAAGGTCTCCGATTTCGCTCTTGCTCCTGTCTAGAGATCATTACTAGATTCTAGGGAACATGAGATGGCAGTACATTCGAAATGCTACCGCTTGGCAAGAATGTTCACGCTATATACAAATGAAGATGCGTATACAAAGACTAAGTATCTTGATCAACAACAGGAACGGACTTGAAACGGTATGGATAGATCACACCATTCCATGGCCGCCACCACTTTCCATTATTTGTCTTTTGGGATCGTCATTTGTCTGCGCTGTGTGTATCAAACCAGGCCGATGCTCATCCTTTTTCATGTCCGCAATTTGTCAGTTGCTTCTCATGGCTGTCTTGCAGGTCAAGAGGAGGACCGAAATGGGAGGGGCTTTATCCTTGGCCAGCCTTCTCTTCTTTCTTGGCGCAATCGTTGGGTAAGAAGCCACTGCTATGAAAGCATCATCTAGCAAGGTCTTACCTAAGAGCCTCAGGGTCGCACATTCTTCTTATTGTCTCTCATCTTGGCTGGCTCGCGAACGTCTGCTGTGGCGGTTCAATCGAAGAATCTGAAAGTTTCGGTCGACTTGCCAGCAGTTTTGCAATCGACCCCTCCATTTCATCGTTTCCCTCACTACACTAACCCCAGGATGACCTCGTTACATTGACCGTCGGCACCTTCCACAGGCTTTGCCAACAAGATGGATCCTCGAATCTGACCTTGCAGTTCCATGTTGTACAGCGATCCGGAAGCGGAAGTGAATTGCGCTCACGCGTGACGGTCGGTAGCAACCAGGGCCCTGAACAGAGGGGTAACACCCAGTTAAACACCTGCTTGCGTCGAATCTGACGGACCAATAGTTTTGACTAAGCTTTGGCCTATGTCCAGATCTCACATCAGTACCCCACACAATTTGATAACTAAGAGGCAGAGTTAACATACTCCGCCGGTGTACCCTCCTTAATATACTCCGCAGGTGTACCCTCCTTAGCTCCGCACGTGTACCCTCCTTAAGCCCTCGAACCAACCCCACCCGTCTTCCAGGCACTGGCCCAACTCTACGTAGCCGTAAATCAACATAGATACTTACTTAAGGGACGTGCTGTTTCCAGGTTGATTTGGGACCTGGAGACCCAAAAGCAGTATACCGTGGAGAGCGTCATGATCGCCTCCCACCAGGTTATCCAGGGTTTCGAGAACGACCTGCTCTTTAACCTGACTGGCTACGGCAGCCTACGGTGCGAGATGCTGCAACAACCGACCGTCACGACCGGGGAGATCCAGGAGGAGGTGCGCACCGTGTCGGCGATTGCGGCGGGCGACTGTGAGCTCTCAAAGACTCGTTTTTGACGTTTCATCTGCAGCTTCGAAGTCGGAATTTTCTTCTACCATGTTTCGTACCCACCGAACAGGGCCAGCGCATATCTGATGTTCAAATAACCAATCTCTTACTCGGTCCTGAACATGCAACGGGATTCCGAGTTAGTGCTCCGGCCCCTGGAGATATGATGTCACAGCGGAGAACCCAACAATATGAAATGTTAGAAGTGTGCAGCAATCTGCTAGAACCTATGACAGCCGTTTCGTCTGACCAGTGCTAAAATGAGTCGGATTTCCTCCGTCGTTCGCATGCTTTTGTTACATTTGTCGGCTCAAAGTTTGAGGACCAAAGGTCTCCACCGGTCTTATGGTACACTGTCTCCTGTTACGAGGCACTTGTGAAATTCTGGTCGCTGTCGTTTGTCTCTGTAATGCGTGCACAGAATTTGTCGCCGAGAAATTGATACCGATTCGAGCTTTCTTTCTGCAGCGTATACCTGTGTCAACAATCCGGACGGCGTCACTCTCCGGGTGACGTGTCCGAACTGCACAGCCGGACGGGAAAACTACCTCATTCAGTCGGAGTTTGCGGACATCGTAAGCTGGCTTCCAGATGCGCTCTCTCTGGTCGCGGCTGCCTTTCATTTGCCCTAGGCCGCATCGGTTCAAAACCAGAAAGGCCTTCTCGACCGGTTCAAGCGAACGACGTGACTGATGAACGTATCCTGCACCCAGCACATGTGGCTTGTTTCTTAGTAGTGTCTGACAAAGTTTGGCTGCTTCAGCAGCTTTTACAGGATTCGTCAATGTTGAGAAGGGATAACAAACACCGACGAAATAGCATGAACGCAAGCCAGTCCTTTGGGTCTGCTGTGCTCGAGTGGACCTCTCGATCTTCCATTTTAACGTCGAAACCTGGATCACGTACCAGCATTCACACATCCACTAGAATGAAACGAGAGCTTTTCGAATCCAAATCGCCCCTAATTCTTGAGTATTACCAAAATGACGTAGTTCTGAACTTATGACGTCACCGATCTACCTCATGTTCTGCAGAACGGTACCCAGGCGTACGCGCTCGGCTGGGCATACGACGCGTGTGCGGTCCACAAGTCGCGCGAGTACAAGAGTTGCGTAAGCGGAAAAATCGCGGGCGCGTCGAACGGAACATACGCGCCGATGGCGACGTTGCGGGGGGAGCTGCCCACCGTGCTGTCGTTCAGCTTCTATCCGAGGATCTTCCGACAGGTAACGCTTGATCGTGCTTGACCCTTGCATTTCATTCTCGTTTTAAGGGGCGGGACGAGAGAGAGCTCGAATGCTCCTCACGAAAGGTATCTTTTCAATGGCTTGACTTAATCCGTAGGCATTCCGCTCTCCCAGGAGACTCGGCAGTCAAGGCTGACGGCGATCCAAGAGGGCGCCCAAGAAAACAAAGGGAAAAATGGGATCTTGCAAGGCAAATTCGACAACTTCTGCAAGGGGACAATTTTTTGACTTCCCAGGAAGCATCATAAGTCATGCCATTGTTCTCTATTTGTCCGTTCGGTTTCAAGACGCTGCTTTTCGTGTAATGGTTCGGTTGGCGCTGTTGGTACGTCTTGTGACAATTTTCAAGAGGCAGTACAGGTAGTACGTGAAAAACATCTGCTAAGAGCAGCAACCGGTCGTTGACGTTGCCGAGGTACTGGGCCCATTTTCTTTCTTCCGTCCAAACTGAAATGAGCACGTGCTTAGCGCTCACTTTCAAAGAATATAGTAACCCTGAACGGCGATGTACCTCAGAATTTTGTTTACTGCACACGTTTGAGCCTGAGTTGCCAGTGCCTGCTCCTTGACACCCACGTCCGTGTGACCGCAGGACTGCTCGCCGCGGACAACGCTTCTTTTCTTGTTTTACCTACTTTTCAACCGGTAGAAGCTTTCCATAATCCTGGTTTGTCTTTCGTTAATTGACCCTTGCAGTTCGAACCCGAGGTGCTACTTTTCGACACTAGTTCCGCCACCGCACGCCGGGAACTTTCACCACGGATTACGGTATCTGTTTTCTTCTTACTGGTCGGTACAAGCTTTCCTCAACCACCTGCTTTCAAACCCCTATTTCTCAGGGCTTCAACCCCCTACTTCTCGGAGTCTCTCGAAACCCCTGTTTCTCAAGACCCAGTTCTGCCAGTACAGGGCGAGACTTTCGCCACGGACAACGGCATACTTTTACTTTTTGAACTCTTTCCTTATGCGTCGTTGAAGTCTCTAAGATAAGACTTGTACAAATGCAGTTCGATCCCGAGTTGCTGCTCTTCGACACCCAGTTCCGCCAGTACACGGCGGACACTTCCGCGACCGGGCAATGGTGTGTTTTTTGCCGTCTCTTCACCTCCTACATGCCTCCATTGAACATTTTCCCAAACCTCTTAGACTTTCACAATCTGCAGTTCGATCCCGAGTTGCTGCTCCTCGACACCCAGTTCCGCCAGTACACGGCAGGCACTTTCGCGACCGACAACGCCACGTTGCAGCCCCTGCTGGCCGCTCCGACGGGCGTGCGCGTCGCGTTGCTGCTGGAGCTCGCGGGGTCGTTCGTGTTGATAACCGAGACGCAGAGCACAAACGGCGTATGTAAGTTTGAAAGTAATCTGTTTGGAGAGACTTCTCGGTCCACGAGATTATGTCTGGAGAGCATCTGCGGAGCGGGGCCGCGATTTTGCATTATTTGGAGGAACCTCAGAATAGAGTTACCAAGCCCGCTGCTGCCGGGAATGGCCAGGTCCTTCGTTGTGGTGTCAGAGAGGTCAAGCATCAATAGCTTCTGGAAATGCATCAGGTCTTTCTATAGGATGACTGGTCCCAGCATCTTCAGGCACAATTCGAGTGTTGGTTGCCTCTTGGAATGTGGCCGATGTCCGTTCACCCTATTCACCGGCTTTGAAGTATCAAGGGCGTGAGGAAGCACCACGGCTCCGCTCGAGGGCATATGGGAGCACCAATCCAGTACAGACGGCCGTTTGATGAACTGCCAACTCCTGAATTTTGAAGGTGCATTACTGAAGGTGCAAGTCTTTTGAGTATTATTTTCGAAGTGTCGTTCTCAACGGTGCAGATTTTGTGCTTTGAAAACGCGGAACGACATTTTCATCGATGCAAATTTTTGTGCTTTGGAAGTGCGGAACGACACTAAGGTTAGGAACGCAGAGGCGGGCACTTCTTGACGCTCTCTGCGCATGGGCAGTCCCGATCTCTTGCTGACGCATTGCTGACGGTCTAGTTGCATCGGCGGCCCTCTTCATGATTACCAGGTCGTCGAGCTTTAATTGGCGTTTAAAGTTTCTTCTCTCCACATACATGCCAGCATATTTGACGATAACAGTCCCGTTCGTTTGCTTCTGCAGTGACATTCCTTGCCAAGGCTGGCGGCCTGTACACTATCAGCTATTGGCTGTTCTACTTCATTCTAATGCAAGTGAGTGACGCCTCACCCGGCACTTGTTTTCGACCCAGGTTTTGAACGCAATCCAGGTATGTACCACAGAAAAACCAATTGAATACAAACAAGCTAGGCGGCAGGATGATTCCTTTCTGGCTATCGACCAAAACGTGGGTATGCTTTCTGAGCTTTCACTGAGAGTTGGGCAATATAGGCGGGTTTACTCATCCTGTCCTCTAAAGCGTCCCCACTCGGCTTCACATACGGTATGCGAAAAGGACATCGATCGTGGGGGCTACATCGATCCTTTCCTGGACCTTTCCTATCTTGGAAGACAGTGGTTCCCTTTCGTAATCTCGTTCCGTCGTATAAGGGGGCTCAAAATGTGATAAAGCGGTTCAATCGTCGCCGTCTCTTTCCAACACACGTATCAATCCGAACCCGCCTGGACTAACCAAAGCCCTCACGCCTCATTTTCCGGCTGTCAATGACTCTAGCCCCAGCCTCTCCACCCTTATTCCCTCACACCCTTAGTCTCGCGCTGGCAGTTCGAGAAGCGCATCAAGCGGCTGCGCTACGACGACAAGCGGCTCAACAGCCTCGAGTGCACCCGCATCGCGCGCCTCCGGTGGGACAAGGTCCGCTTGTTCGTCAAGTACTCACGCTTCGGTACGCGCCGAAAACCCGGGCGGCGGCCCGGCGAGGTTGTCTTGGATCTGGGAGACGACGCGTCACCACGTGGCGGCGCCGGGGAGGCGCCACGTGGCGCCTCGGACGGGTCAGGTTTTGGGGAGAAGCTGAAGCAGACGCTGTCCAAGCTTGCTGACGTGGTAAGTGGGAAGAATCAGCTGGGTCCTACAGGGTCTTGAGCACGTTTTGACATACGAAGGATCAACAGAAGATCAACAGCCGTCGATCTGCACCAAATGCAGTAGTACCACGTGTGCAAAAGGGCCTCGAAGCGTGTTAAGCGCCCCCTCCTTCTCGTGTACCTATTCCGACGCTGTCAACATCCATCTGTCGTCAGAGGCAAGTTCGGAGTAATGGTTGGAAATTGGAGTACTCACTGCCTTGAAACGAAAGCTGGCATGATTGCTCGCAAAAGTTCTCTGATTTGGAGCCATATTTGCGTGGTTCATCGCGTGCTATCAGATGCCTTGTACCTCTGGTTCTCCAGTCACTGCTTATCTTGTCGAAGTTGGCTGCCTCTTTGAATGTCAAACCTGTACCAGTCCTGGTATCTATGACAATGCACTGCTTGCGTTTAGGTCGGCTTACACCGTTGACAGCGCTTCGCGCTCAAAATGTATAAACAAACAAGTTGTTCAAACAGCCCGGTCCAAGAAGACCTGCAATACTAGTTAATCAGCCGCAGGTAATGTCCAGCCGGATTTCATTTTCAGCCACCTTCTTCGCAGAAAACGGACGAAGAGCGGATAAAGGACATCGCCGAAAACGACAACTTTCTCAGCGACGGCGTCGTCAATCCACACCCCGGGTCGCGCAACCTCAACCCCTCTCGCGCACCATTCCCGGGAATTTTTACCGACTTCCGTGCCAACGGAGAAGCCGGGGAAGGGCCACCGATGCTGATGCGGGCTGCCAGTCTTCCGGGGGGCAGCATACGTCGACAAAGAAGTGAGTAAACTTCACAAAGAACGGTCACAATAGATGATTGCGGACTGTGAAGCCCTGTTGTTAAGTTTGCCGCTTTTATTGTTGTGTTTGGTCCAAGGATTGCTCTTTTAAGTTGGAAGGTCGAGTATTAGGGCAGAATGCAAACCCTGCTCGTATTGACAGCTTGTCAGCCGGTAACCGAGGACACTCTGCATTTGCCGAGCATGACGTCACTCGAACTGGCACAACAGTTTCTAGGATTGAAAACCTTCGCAACTAACTCAAAAGAATTGGATTGAGCTAAAGGCGTTTCTTCGATATATTCAGGCAACATTTTGACTGCTGCTCAATCGAGCGTCAGTAAGCGCCTTTTCGTTTCGGGTTTTTCCGTGCAGCGACAGCGCATCTGCTTGTCTTGTCCCAGGCACGCATACTCAAGACTTCGGATTGAAGTTTGTACCTTACAAATACTCAAACCCTGAACCTCTAGGGTGCTGATCGAAGCTTTGCCTCACTTATTCCTCCTCTCATTTTGCGCCTTCATCCACGTCGCCTTTGCTGGTCCTTCTAGCTCAAAAATCCGCAGAACTCCTGAATGTCGCAATCGAGAACCCTAGGTTTATTTCCCTTCCCTCATCTTCTTCACGTTGCTTCCATACAGCCACGGGGCCTCTGCCGGACTTCTCCCTCGCTCAACACATTCCGCCCCACGGAACGACCGTTGGAACCCAGAGCGGAAGGAACGGCCGGCCCCACGACTATCTCCTTGAGTCCCGCAGCAACCTGCGAGATGATACCCTCACAGGAGACCCCACCGAACCTTTTCGCCCACCTGCCCGCCTCCGGGGGGGTGCGCCTTCACCCCCCGACAGTCCCCCCGGAAGCGGTGAAAACTCCGACCCCCAAGAAAGTTCCCGCCTCCGGGGGGGGTCGTCGCCGCTCTATCGGGCCCCCTTCTCCGGCGAGTTGGCGTCTCCCCACGGCGGGGGGGTAGGTTGCCGCTCGGATTCGTGCCCCCTGTTCAACGGGTTCGGGAGCGCGCAGACAAGCGCCAGCGAGGACGGGTGGAAACAAGCAGCCAGTGAAAGCGTTTCTTTCAACGGGAGGGGGCGGGATATGGCGTCACCGGCAGGGGGATCCCCCCCATCGAAACGCATCCACGTGTCGCCCCCTCCGAGGACGCTTACACCGCCCCTGCCGCCGACCCCGGGCAGCACCCGGCCGCCGCATTCGCCCAGGGGGGGCGCTGACATCAGCAGCAGGCGGCGATCCAAGAAGGTGACGTCAGCAGTCTCATCCAGTTCTTTTCGAGGAGTGCTTCCAAATCGGCCGATTTCGTCCTCACCAGAGAGTTCGTTATTGTTTCCGCTGGGTTGGATAGGAGTTCAGGTCATGGTCATCGCCTTTCTGGATTTTAAATGTGTTCAGGGATATCTGATGGAATGGTGTCTTCCTACTGGTGAAACGCGGTGCTTTCTAAACGTTGATTTATTCGTAGTAGGTCAACTCCCCGTCCATCATCGAGATCGTCTTTCGGCCAGATTCGAATAACGATTCAATGCAGCGAGCTGGGTTCTGCAAGAATCATCTGTTCGACGCGTCTGTCTTCAAATCCGTTTTCTTAACTCTCTTAATATGTTTGAAGCGGATTCTTATTTTTCGAGTATCACGCACTATTGCAGCGGCCAAAGCCCATCGACGTCATTCGCAACGACAGCGAGATGTCGCTCGCACGCAGCGAGCCGGCCTCCGCAAGCACCACCCCCCCCAGCGAGCCCGGGCATCACCGCCGCAGCTCGAGCGGCTCGGGCGTAGCGCTCCTCGCAAACATTGGGCGGGGCCTGAGTAAAGTCATCCCAGGGTGAGCAGAACGCTAGCGAGCACCTCGTTTTGCTATTTTTACCATATACAGGGTTTTCTGTTGATCACCGGCGCGCCTCAGAGATGCTGTCGAACATTGGGCGGGGCCTGAGTAAAGTCATCCCAGGGTGAGCAGAATCCAAGCGAGCCTCCGTTTTCAGGGTTTTGATTTTCTGCTCGTCGGTGTTTTAATTTTCTGCTCATCATCGGGCCCGCTCCATATTTTTGATACTTACCTGAGAGGCATAGAATCCTGCACGGAGCGTGGTGGAAGCACCAACCACAGTTCCATGTCCCACAGGCAATTGACTGCCAACGGGCCTCCACAATGCGCCAGTCCCTTTGGTTTACAGTCAAGCTTTTCTTTCGAACACCACTTTACTCTTTTTCATGGTCTAGTGCTCAAGTGTACTGAATGTATTCTTGAACATTCCGGATCTTGGGATCGGACGGCCACAAGGCTCGCTGAAAGGAAGTTCAGTTCTCAACATATATCAAAAGCCATCAGAAGATCGGTTGCTTTGTTCAATCTCCAATACTTCGGCCAAGTCCTTTTCTTACACGTTGGTTCGAGATGCTTCCTCGGAGCGCCACACATTTGCATGTTCTTGTTCTGCTTATCAAACGGCAGTGGACTACTTCTCGACGTGTGTCGTTTGGTGAACCAAATCTACCCCTAGATTATCGGCATCGGCCACTCCGGCTTTCCAATTAGGCAGAAGGGATAAATTTCTCGAAGTTCGTGTTCTGCTTTTCCGCCCCTGCTCGTACTTCGACAGCCAAGGCCATCCCATATCTTTCTTCCCTCTCCTCTCAGGAACCTCACGCACTTGCACATTCCTGGGTTCGGTCCATCGGACAGCCAGAAGCCGTCCGAAGAGGAAGTGCACGAGCGTATGATGCGGAAGAAGCGGAAAAAGCTGCGGTATCGCGGGATGGTGCAACATACGGTATGCGTTCTTAGCTTTTGATCCTCGTCCGCGCTTTGTAAAGCACGGTCGCAAAGCAGTCTCGAGGTCCGAAGCTTCTTCGGCCAGTTGCCTTTGCTGGTTGCTTGCGACGGATCATCGCTCGTGGAGTTTCGATTCGTGTCCGACCCTCCGTCTCGCTCCTGAAATTTTTTACGAGTTGCTGGGGCATAGTCGCGTCTTTTCTGATGTCGATGGCCCGGAGGGTACCTAAACAAAAGGTGCTGAAGGACGTCTCTAAGTTTTCAACAGAAGTGAAGGCAGGCGAGCTGGCGCAAGGAATGGGCAAACAACAGCACCCGCAAAGTGTAGCCTTTAGAGCTCTTAGCTGACCCAGTCGTTGCAACCCTGACACGGTTCCGTACGCTTCGCCACCCCAAACGCCTTCGTACGTTCCTATCCGCCCTCATTTGCTGCCATACGCTATCTCTTGCAGGGCCTAGTCGTCCGGCGTCTGAAGCGGCCGTCGTGGCTGGGACACAGCTGCCCCCTTCCGCCCGTTCCGAACGCTCCCGAGGGGCAAGAGGACGATGTGAATGGGTCCGATGAGATCGAGCCTGACGTTTTTGCGATGTATAATCACCTGCAAGTGAGAGCTCATCCTTGCTCCTTACAAGGAACTGCAACTCGTCAGAAGCAAAGGCAGGCTTTGTTTAGGGCCGACAGCGCGACGACTGTTTTGCTCTGGTTGAACGAGCCCACCGTGTTTGCAATGCATGAGCGCCTGCAAGGGAGCCTTGTCTTTTGCTTGGAGCCGATGACGAAGAAGGGTTGCAGGAGCCAACACTTGTTGATATCTCTTGAGTTTCTTTCCACTCGCTTATCGTTATCCCTTACGGAGCGTATGCTAGGTCTGCAACAACGGATTGTCAAACCCACGGCGCTTTCTTCGCTTTGCTTGTAAGGTCAGCGGAGGATCTCGAGTTGCTGCACCAGCCGCCCTTCTACCTATCCTTTGGATTCACAGTGAATGACCTTATACAGTTGGATTGGTTTGACTTCTCATATCCCGGTCGCCAGCACTTCAACTTGATTATCTGCTGAAAGGAAAGCTGCTTCTGGATGCAGGATTTGTACGATTACAACGTTCGCCTACGAGAGGATTTCCTGCTTGCACAGTCTATGCTTGAAAACGTCGTCCAGCGTTTCAGGCCCCACAGCGACTTATAATATCTCCATACTTTGTTCGATTTCTTTGTTGAATGGCAAGCATCAATTGTTGAGAAGCCGGACAGGAGGCTAGCTATGCTGCCACGCAAGTTGTGCCTCTTATTTTCCTCAAAACAGACTTTGTGCGAACTAGCTAAGCTGAAGCTCGGTTCCTGATTGCTGCAAAGTAGAAGCACGCTTTGAACTGTCTATAATAATATACATTAGAGGAAGCTTGTAACGGATGCTTCAAGAATTCGATGGATCATATAAACACCTGAAATTGAAAGGACGAAGTTGTGTCTGCTCATTCATTGAATACTGCATTTCGCGCTTAGCTGGCTGCCAGGTCACGCTTTGACATCAGGCGGCTATATAGCGGTACATGGCCCGCAGACCTGGTTTCTGATCGCTCCATGCAGTAGGTTGAGTGCATCAGGGCTGGAGCCTCGTATAGCACATGCGGTGCTGCATGATTGGCGAAGCCTGTGCATGCCATGGTACGGTGCAGCACCACCTAGTCATCTCTAGTTCGAGCCCCTGCACGTGTGCGGAAAAATCTCATAGAGATCAGCTCAACTATCATGCAGTCAGTCTGCGCACGCCCCGTGCAGGCCATGTGAACCGCTCGTTGCACCAACTGACATTATTGAGATTCAATACGGTACGTATGCACTTCTGTGATCATGCATGGCTTTTTGAGCTCTCAGAAGTGAGTGCTTGTTCCCTAGCTGGCCAAAATCTCGCGGCTGCGCGGTTGACTAGTTCACTAAGTTATATGCATGTACCCGATCGCATCTTCTAGAATATATAGCTTTTTCAAGTTTGCCTGTTTATTGAAACCAGCTAGCGCCAATGATGCTTCAATACCTAAGCAAGCTGGCGGTACGCTCACGCTACCGCACAGTCATGATCTCCCTCAGCACAATTTCGGCCAGCTAGTACGCCTCTTCAAATTGTCTTGCAGTGCTAATCAGGTCTGAATTAGGCCCATACCGGATACTGGCTTAGCAATCTCCTATCTAACGAATACACCGAGCTCAAGTAAATAAATCACCTAGCTCAGATTATCCAGCTCTAAGATTCTTTCTACCACCTAAATGCTACAGTCTATGACCGTGGCGCTTCCAGGAATGCAAAACGCGGAGACCGCTGATCTGTCGCTGTCATGGCAAAAATCTTTACTATTGGAATGGTGAACACAACGGAGCTCAGTTGGCAACTATAGAGGTTCTCGAACCTTTCCAGGGAGCCAGACTTTTAGCTGGGACAGTCCTCTTGCACTCCACACACTTGAGGTAGTTGTCGAGGTACCCGCTCTTTCCGCCCGTCAATCCTGCGAAGCAACAGGGCACAAGGCTTTGCATACTGAGAATAGACTTAGTAGGACCCGTCCCCTACTAAAATCAAATAGACTACCCGTTTTACAGGTACAGACTATTGGCCGACTCCGCCAAATAGACATTCTCAGTATCTGTTTAAGTTTGCAGCAGAATGGTATAGAAACGTCTCCTGAATGCTAGGCAGGTGGTGCAATCCGTCCACCATTTTCCGTTATCAAATCAAGACAATCGAGCGACTCGAGCCGAAAGTTGGAAAGTCTCCCCCTTTCTCTTGATACAGTGGGGCACAGAAAGGTTGGTGAAACTCGTGATCGCAACAAGGCCAACGTGTTCGACTTGTATGCAGTGCATTCAAGAGGGCACATAAGCATCTCAATAGAGCATTGATCATCAAATTCCGTCAAACCGCAGTGTTTACTGTTTACTCACCAGAGGACGCTCCCTTGGCAATGGCCCGAATTGTCCCTGCAACGCTCTGATCACAAACGTCGCCGCACCACTCCTGATAGTGAGACCGGCTCTCCTGCCTCTCGAGCCGCTTCTGGTTCTTCTTCTCGGCGATCTGGCTCTCCAGAGCATGTTTCTGTAAAGATAAATTGAAGTCAGGTTGTTGGGTCCGTTCAATGCGAAGTAGGTATTTTGCGTCCATTGTTTCGTATCAATGAGAACTCAGTCGTGTGGTGTTACTCTTCAGCAGTTGAAAGCCTTCGAACGCGTCTAAAAGTTTCGTCTTTCGCATTCAGAGACATCTCGCTGACTGACAACGCGTCAGATTCAGGGAGTAGCGATCCACGCATTAGGATACGAAAACAAATTGTCGGAAGGCGCGAGATCCTCGGCGCTTGCATAGAAAGTGGCGGGGAAAACTGGTGTGACTAGTCTCTCACCAGGGCCTCCTTTTTGACGCTGTCGTAAGGAGGTCCGCTGAAATTTATCCTGCAGGAAGGATGACAGTCAGTACCGGAAAGCTCTGGACAGTACCGGAACGCGTTAAACATTAGAGATTCCGTACTGAATCTCTTCTTTTGAACTAGAATCTGACTTGAAGCGTGCCAAAAGGGCTTAGAAATCATAGGCGTGGGAAGTTACAGTGAGTGTTCCTAACGCAGAGGACAGGTCGGGTAAGACGGAGCATTTTCCTCACCTTGCCGCTGCCATTTCACGAGTTTGAGTCGCAAGCTCTGGTTTGGCAAGGCGCTCCTGCTTCTTCTTTTCGTCTTTTGCCTGAACCTGCAAAGGATGAAGAATGAAACCCTATGTCAGACAGGAAACCAGACATGGTTGTAATGCAAGCCACAGCAGCATAGTTGATTCTTCGCAATCATTTCCAACCGCAGATGCCGGCTTTGCTGCCTTGTGAGGCATGAAATGCAAAGTCGAATCAAGCGATGTATCATTTCAACTCAGATGCGAGGCTCTGATTGAGTTATACCTCCTTGAGCCAGGCCTCACGCAACGCCATCTTCTGAGCATACCTGCAAAAGGATGAATGTAATCGACTCTTAGTTGCTCATGGAGCCTCTCCGTTACACTACCAAGCACAGCTGACCACCGTTCATTGTCTCCGACAGCAGCCAGAGAAACGGCATGATCGAAGCGGATGCAGCCGGATCAGCCTAAGCAAGTGAAGGACATCCTTTGAATGTGCACCAGAACCTCTCATCAACCTTTTACATCGACTCACGTCTTTGTCATCTCCTCCTGCTTGGCTATCTGCGCCTCTCGCCGGTCCTTGGCAATCTGCTCCTCTCTTGCCGCCTGCTCCTGCATGAATCGCGCCTGTTTCTCCCTCTCTCTCTCCGCGATCTGAGCTGCCAAGACCTCCTGGTAGCTCTTGGTCTTCTCATGCACAAATTTATCGTGCTCTCTGGCAGTCTGATCCCTGTCGACACGGCCCCAGACGGGCTCGTCCCCCAATGGATGGGCCCCACTCTCTGTCAAGCGCTTCCAGGCCTCTCTCTGCGCTACCTGAAAAAGAAGATTGAAATTGTCAGGGCCAGCTTACTCTAATTAAGAATTGATGCTTGAAGTGAAAGGAGAGGATCGCTCGATTCAGGTGAGAGTACCTTAGCTGTCTCCGTCACGAACGTGGATTGAAAGAGGCACGATTACTGTCAAAAGCACCTGCTTCTTCCAGAGTCACGGTGTCAATTTTGCTGATTGATTGCGCTGAAGTCTGCGCTTCTTTAAACAAGCGTTTTGGCTACTGCACTTCTCAGATCGCTCTGTAGTAACAGACAGTTCCCGGTACGGAGTCTGCGCTCCCTCTTGGTCAATTTGATGTGCAGTGTAAGTCAAGCTCTGTAGTCGTTACCTGCTCATCAAGAAGCATTCTGTACTCTGCCTTCCGTTGCAAAAGCAGATTCTCTGATCCGAAAGGCTCCCCTTCACTCCTCAGCAGCGTCTGACCGAGTGGATGAGCGGCAGTCTTCTCCATCTCCTTGCGCATCTTTTTCTCTGATACCTGGATCCAAGAGATCTGAAAATAAGGAGACATATATATGTCCAAGCTCCCATGCTCAGGGAAATGTCGCTGCGAACTCATTTCCAACCTCTGGCCGAGACTGCTGCCACCGGCTGCTAGCAGAACCTCTTGGCGATTGCATGCAGTCGAAAGTCTTCTAGAACGAGAAGAAGCTATTAGCCTCTTCTTCCTTGGAAGATGTAACTTTTACTTCAGTGGTATATCCGTTGAATTTGAAAGACTTAGTGTCAATTGGCCACTTGCCTGGCAGTCCAGCTCGGCTCGTAGGGCCATTTGGTGGTCGAGTTTGGCCTTGTCAAAGTCAACAACAGTGAACCTCGGGCTTGTCGGGACGTCTCCGAGAGGGTGAGACCTTTCACCGTTCTGCTGCTCGAGCACCTCCTTTTCCTTGAGCTGCAGAGAGAGGGGACTCTGTAAGTACGCGGTATGTCCACTTGTATTAGCAGGACGCTGCAATTCTCTCAGCTGTTCAACTAGAATGAGCTAATTACACAGCAAAGGGAGAGCCAGGATCGAAGTATCTCGTCGTCACAAGATGCTGATGATGCTATTCATTATCCACTTGGCCTTGTTGATTGATGCCTACGCGACACTACTGCAAACTAATCATTCCTCTTCCGCGTACCTGCTGCGCAAGTGCACCTCGAAAAGCCGCCTGATTGCTCAGCTCAGCTTGACGAGTCGGGGTGTTTGTCACGACTACCATGTTAGATCGGCCCAAAGGATGAGGAGCACTTTTCTCTGCAGCCCGCATGGCCTGCTTTTCAAGCACCTGCGCAAGAAGAGGAAATGAGATCTGGGATTCACTTAAAGCAGTGCGGTCTCCCGAACCTTGATTTGCCGTGGTTGGCTCCAGACTTGCTTTGAATCTGTCTAACCTGTCTATGCAAGTGTTTGAAAAATGTTTCACATCCTTGGGATTTGTCGCGGTTGATTTGAAAGTGCTCGTCAGAAAGACTCGTCAACTCTCATTACTTTTCCATGAGGAGCTGCCGATAAATAATCTTGACAGGACAGGCCCACCTGCTTCGCCAGAGCGTCGGAGTAGCTCTCGTGTTGAGCTTCGACATAAGCATCCAGTTCCAGCCGACTGGTCTGCAGAGGTACGGGGATGTTCCCTAGTGGGTGCTCTTTTGCAGCCTCTTCAGCCGCTAATCTACTTTTGAACGCCACCTGGTAAGAAGCAAGGGACACCATCAGGTGGCATGTCGAACCGGAAAATCCTCCAAAAGAAACTGAGCTGTACGGGTCCTCTTCTCAAAGAAGCGGGTGCTGCTACATATTGGAATCTGAAGCGGATTGAGGGCGCATCTTTCAGTTGAACAGAGGCGACCTCGAGCTGCTTTCAAGAACGTATGATTAAGGGTTGCGAATATGTGCTCCCCGTGAGCAGCATCTCAGGAACCAAGGCCTTTCTGAAATTGAAGTGAAACAAGGTACGCAACTGATGTGGAATCGAACACTTTCAATATCCACGAGGGAAGGACATGTCCTGACCTGCCGGTCAAGCTCTTCTTTGTATCGAGCGTGTTGCTCTTCAGCTGCTGTTCTGGGAGTGCTACCCTTGAACACCATGCCTGCTGGCCCTTCTGGCTCATAACGTGGACTGGCCACGTACTCTTGGCGTGCCTGCTCTTTCTGCACCATGTACTGATCACGTTCCTGCAAGCAACGAGGCACGGACCATGCCGTGCGTTAGTATCTTGGTCACAGAAAGGAGTAATTCGAAGACAGACTCCTAGAACTTTTGATGTAGACGCAGAGAACTAATAAACGCAAAGTACTATCCTGGGTTCATCGTCCTGATGGAGTTCAGCTGCAGCAACCGCGTCTAAGGATCTTGACTTCAACATCCGCAAAGAGTCCCTGGTCACGAGAAACTGGTCAAGACCGGTAGGGTATTTTTCAAGTGTCAAAAGGGGACTCAGTGTCCAGAGGTCTGCAAAATTTACCTGTTCTTTCGGAGCGAGTGCAACTTACACTCTTTGCAGGTCTGATCAAAAGCTAAGGTTGAAGGAGACAAGAACTCACCGCCTTTGCCTGCTCAACGGCTTTCACTCTTTCCTCCACCATCCTCGCCTCCCACTCAACCGTAGCCCTTTGCGCTCTGAAGCTCGCTTCAGCCGCCTGTCTGTGCTGCTCTTCCCTCTCACGCCTTTGCTGCTCCTGCTTGGACTCAACCATATGTTTGTTGATGCAGACGTCACAGACGAGGTCCGTCGCCCCATTTTGCCCCTCTGAACTCCTCTCATTCCTTTCCGAAGCAGCTTCAATGGCCCCAGACTGGAAGAAAGCATCTGCACCTCTTACCGCCTTCTCCTGTCCCACTGACAAAGCCTCTGAGCGGTAAGCCTGCCTATCCATCGCTATCTGAGAAGCAGGGGCAGAGTCCGACAGCCTCGTGCCAGTCTCGTGTCGATTCATCTTGGCAAAAACTGGTAGTTTTCCAAGAACAAAAGGCTTGTCCACGTCTTGGCTGAGTGCTGCTGCCGTTCTAGTGCCATACTCCTCCCTTTGTTGCAGATTCTGCTCCCTCTCTATGGTAGAACTCAAAGTCTTCTGCGCGGACACCTCAGCATTGCCCGAGGACAGTCCGATGAGCCTCAGAGCATCCTCTTGGCTTTGCCGAGACACACTTTTCGCCGTTGCAGACAGCACGTTCCCTGGCAGGTCAAACGTGCCCGTACTCCTAGCACTATTTACCGATTGCCCCCTTTGCACCCAACTAGGGGGCACATAACCAATGCTGGCATTGGTGGTCAAAGGAAAGGCCCGTGTGCTGCCAGCAGGTGTTTCCGCCCTGCTGCTTTGTGTGCTGGAAGCCGGTGTTGCTGACGCACTTTTGGACCAAACCACGTAGGGCTTCCCATTGCGCGAGATCCTGACGTTGTATGCTGCAGTTTCGCCAGCGGCATTGCTGTCCCCACCCGGGATGGCCACCGTCAGGGGCGCCATTGCCAAAGTTGCCTGCTAAAGAATTCTCTTTTCAGAGCATTGTCCTAGCATTAAGCCCTTGGTAATCTCGTCCTAGCCCTCGTGCTTTTCCATCGCCATTGACTGTGAAAGGATCTCTAAGCCGCAGAAGATCGGTTGCCTTGCTAAAGGCCTTCGTCCGGAGCCTGGATGAAGTGTTGAGTTGTCTGTCAAGGCTGTGTTCCCGTGACAGCCTTCATCCATGCATGGCGGGGTCTGCGAAAATGCTATCCATGGATTTCAGTCCATCTGTGACTACCATTTCATATTCTTCAGAGTGACATAGCTTGGTCGAAGCGGGCTGACACTGCTGGTCGAACGGAACCGATCTGATGCTCTGGTGGCAATCAGATCACTGCTGATCCTATCTCCATCATCTTTTATCTGCTAACTGCAGATAGAGTAGGTCAAGCGCCTCATGGCCGTGTCACTCTCATGTAGGTGACCAGCTGAGACGGTTCATAGCTAGCATCCTTGCTTGTAAGTATCACAAATATTCGACCGCCCGCACTGTAACTTTGCCAGATACGACCGTCATTCAAAGGCCCTGTCTGGGTGAGCCTGATACCGTTTGCAATCTGGCTTAAGATTTTGGTCGGACCTTGATTGGTAAGAGCATGCATATACGGACGGCATCTGGCTTGTCGACCGGCGTCCTTTTGGTGATGATCATGTAACACTGCAACAACAGTCTTTAGGGTTCATCTGGTTGACTACGTTCACTGAAAGCTGGGGCTCATGAAGTTCGGATCCGCATGCAAGCTTCTGCGAGAGTACCCGACGTCAAGGACCTTGCACGCCAAAGCTCAGGCTAGTGACACCGTCCTCAGTTTAAGACGCCTTTAGTATTACTAATAGATGCTCAGTTGGACGAGATCCCATCCGAGTACCAGTAGAGTCAGTAGAGCGCTGCCATCGGCTGTCCATCTGAGCTGAGAAGTGCATAACCATGTACCTTAAGATACGGTAGTGCACCGCCTGTGCAGCACTATAATACGGTACATGAAGCACACATGGAGCTGTGACTTGGATCGGCCTCGGATCTCGTGAACCTTCGGCTGAAGGCCTCAGCCGGCCGTTCGCCACGCGCGCACAATATTCCAACCTGCTATAAACCGTCCACTCGGGGGCACGGATAATCATCGACGGCTAATTTCTCAAGCTGCGATTCTGGATATGGACGGTCAATTGTACCCCCAGATTGCCCTGACGATTCTGAGTCTAACTCGGGGCAGTCAAAATCTCAAAGTGCCTTCAAATCAATCCATATTTCTACCAACGCATCCTGAAGATATATATCGGATACTAAAGTATTTCATCTGAAGATGGGGCCCATCGCATGCAGGGCCATTACGATTCCAGACTCCAACGAAGCACCTCGGTGTATCAGGGGGATTAGCTCATCATGGCCAGTACACCACATTCACCACATGCTCGATCCGACCAGAAGGAAATTCAGTTAAGTCCAAACTTTAGCTAGTTTGTACTTTTGCATCACCACGATTTGGGTAACTTTCATATATGTTATTATCGAACAATCTGACGTTATAGAAGCTCCCGCCGCCGGCCTGCTAGTAAAATTTGCTAGCAGCCAATTGTGTCAACCACCCACGGAGATCCGTGTCAATTCAATGTGAGGAAGCCCCAAGGATGGTGCAAGGAGGCAGAATACTTTGTCATACAACATAGTTCTGGCTTAGCTAACCTGGCCCTTGCATATTTTTTGCATTCGTCAGAGTGCAGATTGATGTTTACTTGAAAAACGGCGGCCTACACATGCTAGCACATGCTAGTCGATGTACCACAACTTGCAAGCTATTCGGGCACACCACCCTATGTATACCAAGCCGTGCATACATTGGCTTTATATGATTGCATGATCAGCCAATTTTGAGGTCGATATCGACCAGTTAAGCACGCAACTGGATGCAAAGACATATTAGACTCAAGCAAGATAATAGTAAGCCAAGATAATAATGCTATCCGACTAACACTAAAAATCCTAACCCAAAAATACACCCGCTCCGCACCCGTACCCAGTCTAACCACCAAACTAACCCTACCCGTCCCAGTGCGGTCACCATATTATTATCTCGGCTTTACTATATTTTTCCTGAGTTTTATTGCAAAGACGCGTTCTGAAGTCCTCAGCAGACCATAAGTATTGATACTCTCTTAGACACCTTGCCGGCAGCACGACACCTTATCCCACGCCTTCATTCTTCCAAACAAGCTCGAGCAGATCCAGCTACTTGACCAATCATCAATCCAAAATAAGGCGTGCTCAGTGGAACCTTCTCACTACTATACCTCACCGCTGTAAGCATCCTTCACAACGTGCCTGATGACAATAAGTAACAATGAAAAGATGGACACAGAAACTTATGTCAAGTGTATCCCCTCACATGCATTTGAAAATCTGGGAGCACTGGATTCACTAGATGCCAGTGTGTGCACAAGCTCCCGCATTTCTTGCTTGAGTGCTCCATTCCCAGCGCTCAGCAGACCGTTAGGGCCGTCAATAACGCCGAACGGTTGACACGTCACCTCCAAATACTTGCGGTACCGAGGGCAGATGTTGTGCCACAGGTTGCACCCGAAAGTGCTCGCCTTCAATAAGTCGACGAAGCGCTGCGAGTCGTCGCCCTGCGTCGAAGAGATATTTACGCGTTTGGCAATCAAGTCGGGAGCTCTTGAAGTGACTGAGACGGATTGTCACGGTCGGCACAGGATCTCGGATTCTGACCCCGGAACTCTACAGGACGCTGTCCCAATACTCGGAGCTATACAACCGGTGAAGTTTGTGTAAGACTGTTCACAGGAACAAGGGAACTTTCAGCGCCTCCGTAGAACATTGAACCCGTGCTTGTCACGTACAAACTACGCTACTGGCGGATTCAGACACTTGTTTCTCGTCACACGCGCGGGGGCTTGATCTCCCGCCCTAGAATCAGGATTTGACCACTTTTGTTGAAGGACGAATGGAGACACGTTTCGTGCTGAGCGTTACAGTTCTGGTCCGTGCAAAACAGGTTCCCAGACGCCCCTCCTTGATCGCTAGAGAAGGGAGCCGAAAAAGCGAGCCCAAAAAGGCACATGCATGCCACATGGTTCTGCTCTTCCGGAACTCCTGAAGCAGAGCTGCGGCTATTTTGCAAGGAAATATGCAGCCAACGTGCGACGATCCCAAACCGCAGCTCCTGCAAAGTTAACTGCCTAAGAATCTAAGTACTAGTTCCTCACATTGAGTTGTCGTTACGCGGTTTGTGCGGAGAGAGTCCATGGATGACGTGGCATCGAGGGCTACAGATTGTACATAGACAAAACATGTTCCTATCGTGGCCGCAGCCTCTGCCACTTGAGTTTCACACTTCCCTTCAAACTCAAGGTAAAAGCCTTAACTAGGTGAAGAGGTTTGATTTGATGCTGAGGAATAGAGGTCACTGTAAAAAGGCATCTCACCTCCGTAGCGTCTTCCAACCAACGTTCGGACTCCTCGCAGAGGCAGTCAACCAGCGCGTTATGCATGTCGACGGCGCACCTCGTCCCCACGGCTTTCGTGAGATTGGTCTGCCCCGCGGCCGCGTCCTTGGCCGCCACGAACGCGTCGTTGAAGCAGCACGCGAGCAGGCTCGCGCACACCAGCAGCGGCCGCGCCCCGGCAAAGCGCGCGTCGCTCAACCTGCGCGCGCATACCTCGACCCAATCAAGCTGTGAGTTCGTTGTTCAATGAAGCGCGAGAGACCCCAGGAGTGGGATCCACTGTGATGGCGAATGAAAGTTATAGCTAGCTCCCTCCGAAACCTGCGGCTTAGTTCGGAACGTTTTGTCATGCAGTTTTGCAGCAGCGCGCGAGTAGGTGCGCGCGCACACCAGCGGCCAAGCGCGTCGCTCAACCTGCTCAACAGTTTAAGTCATTACAGATGTTTGGGCAGAATGGGACTAGATTGTCACCAAAGTTTCTACGTTCCGGAACTCGAACTCCAAGCTCAAAGGTGTATTCGGCAGAGTGACGTCCATTCGCAAAAGGGAAAGTGACGAAGAGACGCCATCAGAGCGTGAGGGCTTGCCGAAGATTACACGAGAATCCCAGAAATATGATAGAAAGGCTTCATTCACGCGTTATCGAAAATCGCAGGTTGGGGTGTGGGCGAAACACTGGTAGTCAAGCTCGTGTCAACATGTGGCACAACTGCGCAAGTCACAGGGGCCCGACAAGCCGCCTCGATTTTAAAAAGCATCCGGTAAGCTCCTATAACGAAGTCTCCAAGATTGTAAAGAGAACCGGAAAGCTTGAAAAGCCTCCATACTTCAGCCGGACGATGTCAGCCTGACGCCAGCATTCGCTTTTGGCGGACTGATTGACGGGTGGCCACAGAAAGGCCTTGCCGGGAGGGCTGCGGCCAGGCGCCGGCAGTGCTCTGTACCACCTGACGTCAGCGCCACTTTCACGTTGGAAATCGGCAGCAGAGTGACGTCACGATGCGCTCTCCGGAGGCCTAGTACAGGACCGTAAAAGAGTGCCAGCGGAGAGAAAGTCGTTGCGCTTAGGACGCGAACGATGCAAGGACGTCAGCGGATATGAGGAAAGGTGGAAAGGTGACGTCATGTGCTCACCGGAGGCCTTGCTGCAGGGCCGCCAGGACTGCCAGCTGGATGAAGGCACTGCTGAAGCAGCGGTAGGCGAAGTACTCCACGACGGCGGGGTGGGTTCCCGTCTCCAGGAAAGAGCGCGCCGCCGTGATCTCGGAAGCGACGGCCTGAGGCAAATAGGTTTAGATTTGGTTTGGGTCGGTTAAGGTTTGGGTTAGGCTTAGGTAGCATAATAAAGCTAGCTAGCATTGGGTTATGGCTCGTGGAACGGATGGGATTCGGCAGAAGACTTAGGGTGGGCAGGTGTGCGGAGTGCGTGGATGGTCGGTTCAAAGATTTCCTTGTCGATTCCTGCTCCCAGGGACTGCCTACGAATCACGCTTAGAGACACTACGAGATTCTGAGGCAGCAGAAAAGAACATCAACAGGCATGGTGCAAGCGCTCTGGCAGAATACCGTGGTTCATTTGTGGAACTGGACTAGGTATGCCTCGGAGTGAGGCCGTCTACATTCCCGCCAATCACCACGGCTCTGTGGCTAAGTGGACACCGACACTCGAGTGTGGATATTGGAGACAAAGACTTCAAGAGCACCATCGAAAGTAAAGCAACGAGCAATTGTCAGAAAAGCGAACATTAGGGATTGACGCAACGAAGAACGTTAACTTTGGAAAGGAACAATAACAGCGAGAGAAAAAGGAAGGACGGAGGCAGAGGGAAAGGGACGGAAGAACGGGAAGGGAGCGAGACGTCTCACCTTAGCGTACTCGTGAATGGCCCATGCAAACCGCCCGAACCATGCGGGGTCCACTCGCGCAGCACGCGCGAGAAAGTACGTCAGCGCAGAGCAGCACAGCTCGCCCGCTTTTCGCATGCTGGCGTCAGCAAGTAGAGACGGAGGCAGAGCTTCGAACGCCCGCTGGGCGTCAAAAGCCACGCCGGCGTCGCTGCAAATGAAGAGCTGCCACGTGTCACTGGGAGGCGCGCTTTGTGAAAGACGATTGAAGGCTGCCAGTCTTGGGAACCCAGGGAGTCGTTATTCTGATCGTAAGCTGGTTGAAGACCAGAGGGATCTTTACTGAGCGCGAGTAAGTTAGAGCCCTTTGAGGGCAGGCCAGCGGACAAATCGGATGGAAAGCTCTGCCTTCGAGGGTTTGCGTGGCAACTTTTGCAAGAAGCGGTTTGAGAATAGCGGAAGGGAAAGGTGTTTAGTGCTTTCGGTGAAGAAGTGAGTCTGCATATGTTTTCCGCCATCGAAATTTGGCCGATGGAAAGATTCGTGCAGAGGCGAAAAGCCCGTTCGCAGTATGCATGGCATCGTAAACTTTGTTGCAAGCAAAAACGCGGACGTTACACTGCAGGTCGAAGTCGAGAAGCATTTTGTGAAGTTTGTGGATACTTTTTCACTTGCGGAAGGGGCCAGCCTTTTCGGAGATAAAGCTCTTCGAGAAGGCGCTCCGCACGATCGTCGAGTGACGCCTTTTGCGGAGGCAGTGAATGTCAGGATCGCCTCGCTTAACCTTCATTTGTTTCCTACAGCTCTGGTGCTGGAGATTGTAAGCCGACATTCTTGGCGACTCCCTAGCCGTGAGCGCCATCTTAGAACGACTTTTCAGCCACATTTCTACAAAGGTCTCCCGCTTCGGAATGTACGTGATATTTCTCATCTCGATTCTCAGAACTTCAGAACCGAACGGGCGAATCTACCTTGAGACAAAGCACTGAGCGCGTATGATATTGATCCAAAGGAGGAAACGAAAGAGAGGAACCGGAAGCGACTTTTGAGGAACGTCAGATCGAAGTCAGATCTTGAAAACTTATGTCGCAAAGTTCGAAAGGTGCTACAATCGACAAGGGATTCTGAAGACCATAAAGAGGCTTGGGCTCAGTCCGGAATGAGTCGCACCTCTGGATAGCTATCGTCCTCCACCATTCAGCCAGTTGCTCCGCTTCGTCGGGGCCTTGCTGCTCGATCCAGTCGTCCACCAGAAACACGGACAGCATCAGATCTGACACTGCTTTAAATGAGTCCGGAGAGTCCGGAAAGCACATCATGAATCCAAAGAGTTTTGTCCCGCCGCGGCTCTGACGAAGCGTCTGGGCACGGGTGCCAAGGTCAGGAGACAACCAGGAAAGACCTCCCTGCAGAGGAGAGGAGGAGATCATGACTGTTGATTCGCAGGGTGACATCAGCTGCCAATTGAGTTGGTGACAGTGCGTTTCTGTTGATAAAGACTGGATAACATCTACTTGTATGGTTGACAATTAGGATCCTCAGACCAGCAACCAGTGCTACCGAAAGCTGGTTGAGTGTAACCTCATATCTGATGAAACGCGCAGAGACACGTGGATAGATTGCCTACTACTCTAACTCGTCGATTCAAGAAGTTCTCCAAAAGTATTGGCATGAGAGGCACTTGTTACACAAATCTCAGGTGCTTTCATTGGGCTCCTTCAGAGCAGCTAAGCCCTATGCTTGAATGCTCTAAGGTTTGCTCAATCTGCAAGGTCAAGCTGGGCTTAGCTTTGGCAGTCCTCTCTTCATCGCAACTGGATCCCGTCAGAGCTGCTTTGCAGCGATATCGTCTTCTCCATCTAAGCTTAAAGTGACCAATCTATCTCACCTCTAGATCCGAGAAGGGCCCTTCTCCACGCCCCCACAAAGACTCTGAGGCTCGAGCAGCATGCTGGACAAAAAGATCATAGAAAGAGCGATAGTACAACAAATGCTCCTCCCAGGCGCCAAGGGTCAATGCCTTCCAGCTGCCAGCTCGCAGTGTTTGTGCTCCACTATCTTCAGATGGATCTGACCATGCTTCACCTCCCCTAGCAACTGTCAGAATTTTGAACTGGTCAGAAAGATTGCTCTCTGCCTCAAGAGCCTCCAATAAGCTCCCACGTTTTGTAGCTGCTGGAAAACGAGTGAAGCTTCGACAGAAGTGATTCAATCTTCGTGGTGATACATTTAACCACTGCTTATGATTTCTCTGCCAGCTTCCGGGCCCCACATTGCTCTGGGCAAAAGCTGTCCGCTCAGTGACACAAGCTTGAAAAGTTGTAAGAGGACCTGCACCTGCGCATTGTGCCCTATGAGCTGGCTTGTGTTGTTGCAGATCAACAGGGAAGCTCTTACAGGAAACGGAATGTAATTTTTCAGTACAGCCAGCGAGAAGAGGTTGAGCATAGGACAAGGAGGGTACTGCATCGGCTGGGGGAATTACATGAATGCAATCGTTTTGAAAACTTTTGAGAGTGCTTTGCAGCATTTTGGGGCTTGGTTGCAGCGCCACCACCCGCTTCAGCAGATTGGACCGCATTTCAATTGCTCAAAGACCCGCCCTACCATGGCACTGCCTGTAGCTCGGAATTTTCAGCTTCTCTAGGCTGTCGACGAAACGTGTAATACCCGCACTCAAAGCAGGAGCTCCTCTTGTTGCGTTTTGCCGTTCCAGCACAACTTTCAAAATAAAGTAAAATGCTTGAGCAGATTGTGATCAAGCAGTGCCACTGCTAGCCCCATTTGGAGTGGCGCCAAGTGCGAGCTGCTAGCTAGCTGCGCGCCAATGGCAAAATGCGCTGTCTTGTGAACTGCAAAGTTTCTCTGCAACTCTACTTGTACCGATCAGTCCTTAGTGCCGGTTCACACCTCGTCAGACGGTTCAACTTGCTTGCTCGAGCCTCAGGATTGCTATCATGACTGGTTGATCGCCGGAGTCGAGAAACGGTTCCGCGGGTACAGCCGTTCGGTTAAACGTGGCCCCGGGGATCAACTCCCTTAGCTGAGAAGAAGAAGCTGCATGCAAGCGATGCTAGAAGCTGATTTTCGAGGTGAAAGGCGCTGGTTCACGCTTCGCAAGGTGCTCACAGCAGCATTCTGTAACTTACTGGCATAGGGCACCACATTCCTGGGAGACAGCATGGGGCTTTGGTCGGAATTCTTAGAACGCCAAGAGGCAGCGCGGTCTGCTGGCACGCATGCAGCAACTTTGCAGCGATCGGGGCAGTTCATTCCTCAGGTTGTGGAGAGGAATGGATTGTCCGAGGCGGAGGAGAAGAAGCAGAGGGTGAAGCAGTGTACAGATGGTGAGGGTCCAGCCCAGCCAGAGTGTTTCTGAATGCAATTATTCAGATTATTCGCGTGCTTGTTGTTGTCTGCCTCAAAGTATATGTTCAGAAGACGTCTGCAAAGGTGGCTTGCATGAGATGCATGCAGAAATTGGTCGCTGGGGCTGCAATTACTTCAACAGAAGGTTGGCTGTCCTGTACCCTAGTACTCATGTCTTGAAGGGGCTGTCTAGAGTGCCTGCTATCAGATTGCAAATGCAGCCACCGGCAGCATTGCGTTGCCGCCAGGTTCATGCTTATCGAGAGTCAATTGCCAGATTCATGCAAGGCAATCCACCCGTGTGGGGTCGTCTACAGTAATTTGAGACGGATTGTCTCGTCTCACTCTCAATTGTGCGTTATTTGTATCAGAAAAGGAATGCACATCAGTTTCCCTATGGAAATGTTGGTCGTCAAATCCCTGAAAAAGGGGGCTAACGCCCGAGTATACCACAAGACCCCTCATCTGGTCTCTCAGCCACGTCTTCCTCTGGATCAGCAAGACATTGCTACTGGACAGGATCCAGCAGCATTCTATTTGACACAATCCCTTACTACTTCCTGCAAAAGAATCTGCAGACAACTCTCTCGTTCCAACCTTCTTGTCGACTGCTGCAGCTGGCGTCTACAAGGGTCTGGAAGCTGCAGCACTTTGGGGGGGCTTGGCCCTAGCAGGCACGTTGGCAGCGGTCCGCTTCTCCCCCTGGTTCGCACATAACTTCAACTACACCGGCAGAGCTCTTATCCCCTGTGCAGGTAAGATACCATTGAGTTGCTGAGCTTCTCAGCTTAGCTTCAGCAGCTTTGTTTACTCTCTGGATGATGGGGCTAGACTAAGGTCATTCTGTAACAAATCTTGAGACTGCTCTTCCGCTAGCAATCAATTGAATGTTTAATCGCCGGGACAAACTCCTGAAACAAAGGGAAGAATGCCTGAACGGAAACTTCCATCTGAGTACCAAACTGTCGAAGCATCATAATGCTTGGACTTCGATGGCCAAGTATGGTGTCCATGCTGGCTCTGACACAGCGATATGATAACCTCAACCTCGGTGTTTGAAATATGTTCGGAAGAGGTTGTATGTCACGGTTACAGAAGCTCAATAAAGGCAGGGCCAATCGTCCGACTTTCTCCAATTCGTGTTTGTCAAGATATGATGGGAACAATGGTGTGTACGGGAGTGTGACTGCTTCCCAGCCTCAGCATGCGTTTCTCAGGAGCTTGTTCAATACTTGGTGTTCTTGCTCGAAACAGCGATAGTTACGCACCTTTTGATACAACGATCATGTTCAAAGTACTTGGAGCTAATCTAACCGTTCGAGTGGATCAGCGCTCCGAAACCTTCTCATGATGGTGCGCAGCGCATCAACCCTTCTCTGGCCTATGATACATACTCATTGAGTCTGGGCAATGTTCTTTCACCAGTAGAGGGAGCCAGAGGGAGCCAAATGTGTCAGCGAATCATCAAAGCGTTTTTCGATCTTGTTGTGTTGGCTATGTTGGCTTCAATCCACTCGATTGCAGAGCTGCTTCGGAAGTGAGCAAGAAAACTCAGTCACAAGGGGCCCTTCCACAATATCCTCCACTCTCGTTGAAGAGGTGGTGGACTTCTCTGAACCTGTCGGTCGGCATTCGGAAGATTGGGTGTGACACAATTTCCAAATCGATGTTGGGTACTAATTTGGCCGGGTCAAACCCCAAGTAGTAGTGTGTACCATATTGAAGTCTCCAATTCTCACCGACCAGATCCGTGCATCAAAAACTTCGGAGTTCTCGTGACTCGCGCCAGATTCCGACTCTTCAGCCCAGACAGGTTTGACGAAAAGTGCAGGATACTATTCGCGTTGCGTCCTTGGCTCCGCTTGCTTAGTGCATTTCGATGTTGGTTTTCTTTCTCGATTTGAAGGCCTGGCTCCCAGAGGCGTTCGCTGGCAATATTCTCTGTGTGGAATAATTTTGAAGCACGATTTGCGATGGTGCGGCAGTTCAAATACCGTCGGAGGATTGCGCTTGTGGTGACTTTCCCTCATCATTGTATGCTCGACTGCTTGAGAGAAAGTTTGAAAAGCTGGTCCAAACCGAATGGAAGATTGACGATCAGAGATTCTTATAAAGGCCGAAATGAGTGCGAAGCATTTGTCTTGCTTGTTGTAGGCATGGTGGGTGCATACTTTGTTGTGTCTGAGAAGACCATCCTTGAGTGCACAAGGCGGACTTCCAAAGAAGCAAACGACGCAGGAAGGAGAGCCCGCGCTCTTCAACAGCAATGAGTACATAGTGAGATGACAGCTATATAAGCGTAGCGGGTTTGATTCAATCATTATACCTCAATCTGAGCGTAGCAGTTTGTTTGTGAAAGTTCCAGGCCTATCCGTACATACTCGAAGGGGTCAGCAAGCGGACGAGAAAACTTAGAACTGGGTAACGTTTCGTGCAGAACAGAGGGCCCCACCCTGAGTCCAACTTAGCCCGCGCATCATATAAGCGAGTCCGACTTTCTGCAGCTAAGACTCGGCCGAACGTGGAAGTCGCAGTGTCAACTTTTTGTTGAAATCCAGAGGACGAAGATCTACAGTGCACTTAGCCTGCCCATATTGTTTATCATGCATGTTAAAGACTATTTTCTTTGAATAGTCTCATTATCGACAGTTTAGGCTAAATTTGCCAAGGTTCTAAGTCGGTTTTATTCACCATCGTCTCTTCAAAAGATCGAGGACGACGCTGCGCCACGCTTGTAAAACATGGGTAGTCCTGCACATGATTTCAGACGAAGGCCGCGGCCGAGAAGATCTAGCAAGCTGATCATTGGTCAAATACATGCGCTGATGCGTTCGATCTGCCGTGCATTGGAGCTCGATCCGATATATGAGCGCGCCATCAATCTATGCTCCGATTCCTACATGTGCATTGCCAAGATAGGATCATGGTTGTTGCGACCATGCCAAAGTTGACGACTCAAATGTTCTACCAAAGTTTCTAACATACCACGGTAGGCTGCGAACTACCGCAACTACAATAATTTGAATGACGGAGTTCGTTCAATGTTGGTGACGATTCACGCATCAACGATCGCCATGAGCCGTGAAGAGGTGGGCCGCAGCGCTCCATTACGTACTGGCACAGCTTCACCGCGAATTGTATTTTAGTTGAGCCTGCAGTCTGGCAACCGTCCAAGCTGCATCAGTTGCAACAACGGTGTTCGAACGATCTTGAGACACGCACGAAGTGACCCTTCGAGGTGATTTCCAACCGTTTACTTGCGTTGTATACCCTCGAAGCACTGCGCAGCTCCACCTTCTGTACATGTAACACTATTCGGCTGAGCGCGTCGAGAACGTAGTCCCTTGTGACCAAATGTATGCCCTGAGCTCATCAACAACCGCATCAAGCCAAAGGATGCACACGGCGTCGGATGCGTCATCCTCCTCACTTGATTGAGCAATATTATAAGCTGAAGCTTGGATAAGTGGTGTGCTTCCCAGTCGTATCTAGACCGTCGTCACTCGACGAACACTGTTCGAGTATAGGACTCAGCTCGGACTGGTGAGAACATGTGCATCATTTACTAAAGCCGCCGCGCTGCCTGTTCTTTCCCATCGTATGGTAGAGCGCATATTCTGGGAATGGATTCAAAGATTGTGGATATTATCAGGTTGATTCAGACAGTATACAATGAAAGCACGCGTCCGAAATCACTCTCGAACAGTGCCCGTTCAGCAATGGAAGCAACCGAAGTCGGCCGCACCCGTCCTAGGTCCTTAGAAGCCTAAATTTAGGATGCAAGCAATCGCCCCTGTAGACTTTCCAATGTAGACCACAGGCCGATCAACCTGGCTTGATTCTAAACAAGTTACATATACATGTTTGCGTGGACGCTGCCTCCCAACTCAAAAGACTGACCAGAATTTATGTCGATATCTCCTTATATTGCAGCACTGCAGACTTAAGCGTCACAAAGGCTTTGCTCTTCACGAGGCTCTTACTACAGGATTGAACAGCAGGCTGGCTGCTGAGCTGGCGGCGGGGCCATCAGCAGCGGCTGTGGCCGCACTGACTGTCTAGAGCGACCCACGATCGAACCCATCGAACCAGAGCAGTCAATGAGGAAGCCGTAGTCGATGCCCTGCCGGACTAGCGTCTCCTCTGCTCCAACCAGACTGAACGTCTTCCCGTCAATTTGCCCCACCACCCCCGTGATTGACTGCACCACCTGCGCCGCGATGATTTGGAACAGCGCCTCCAACAGCTCGAACGACTCGAGCCCGACGTGGTTGTACCCGCCCTGCTTTGCCAGCGCCTCAAGCGCCCGGTTATCCACGTCATCACCGACCCCGATGGTAAACATAAAATTATTCTGCTCGTGGTTGAAGCGGGACAAGAGGTACTGCCCGGCGTTGAAAACGGACCGCGTGCTCCCGTTGTCGTCCCCGTCCGTGATGACGATGATGAGCCACGGGCGGTCGCGCCGCCCGGACGTCCGGAAGTAGTCCACGAAGTCGCAGATCGAGTCGCGGAAGCGCGTGCCGCCGTTGGCGTCTAGGGTTGCCAGCGACGCGTGGACTCTCTCCTCGGAACCCGTGAAGGACTGCACCAGAGAGTACCGGTTGTCAAACCTGGCGATCGCGCACCGATCGCCCGCGCCCTGTTGGTGGAACCCGAGAACGAGCTTGTGCGTGGCGACCTGGGCAAACTGGAGCTGGGTCGCCATGGTCGCCGGAATGGCTGCCTGCAAAAGAAGTTTTGTGATACAGTTGAGGGGTCATGCCTTTCAAAGCCAGCCAACGCGTAGAGAAAGGGCAGATTGGAATTACTGCGGTTCGTGATCTTTTACAGAGCCAGCATTTTTGAAAACATGGTGCCCAAAGTGGTGAATCAGTCGGGTTCTGCTGGATGTATCGAGGAAGGCCAAAAGCTTGAGACTGATCTCAGGTTGAGCTCGGGGGTCTGGTTCAAACCCTACTGGACAAGCATGAATCCAGGTGATTTGCATGAGACTAGTAGTAAGAGCAGTCTATTCAAAGGGAGGAAGCTGCTCGTACACTCTTTGTAGACCATTGAGATGTGACATGGCCCTGATTACTCCTGCATGCATTTTGCGGTACTGCTTGCGACACCTTCAAAACTCGACCAAGAAGGGAAAAAGAAGCTCTGCAGATTATTGTGAATGCTTGGAACTCCTCAACAGCTGTAGGAGGCAAGAAATGCTACAGAATTAAAGGGAAAAAAGTCCTCATTGTCTCGTTGACTGCGCACGAGTCGTCTCTGAAAGCAGCTTTCTGAACCCCCCCAGATTCTGCCCACTGTTTATTCATAAGGGAGCTCCTGATTCACCGATTAAAAGACCTGTGAGACGCACCAACTAAGCGCCAGGAAGCATCCCCAGTGCAAGGCACGCTCTTGTGCGGCCAAAGGACACAGACTCTGTTCATCTTGGCAGATTGGCAGGGTTTATGGGTCCAGGCCCTTCTGACCGCTAGCTCCCAGATTGAGCTGGCCTCCAAAAGACCAGTCAAGACTTCTTCCCCCCAAGGAACTCTTTGTTATTGGATCAATCACATCCTGAAACTGAAATCTTTGGGTCAGCACTTCATGGGGAGGCATAGCGTTCCAGCAAGGCAACGATCATTTTTATGGTGTGACACAGGATTTGCTGGCCCTTGAACAATGGTGCAAAGAAATACAGCACTGCGTGACTATAACAGGTGTTACAGGAATGCTGTTGTTTCAGCTCATGAAGGAAGCATACTGACAACCTGAAGCAATTAAATGTTACAAACTGGCAACAGCACCCTGTCAAAACTAATATCTTTCAAAGTAGTACACTGACTGAATGCTCGTCAGTGGCTCAATTGACAAGACATCAGCTTGAAACCAGACAAATAAAAAGAAGGCATTGGAAGGAAAATCGGCAGTGCCAATGCCACTTACCTGGCTTCTGGAGTAGGCGTGGAGTAGGCTTGTTGACGTGTGGACGTTTCCTTGCTGGGGGGACGAGGTCAACTGCCCCCCAGACTCTCGTCCGCTTCTTGTCGGGCGCGTTTCAGTGGCCTTGATTGGATTATGCTGTGCGGTTTCTGTGCGGTCCCCAGCGCGGGTCAGGGATGTCGGGGCGCACTGGCCCACTCGTCTGCGGCAGCCAGAGACTGCCGCTTTTGAGATAGATTATCAGCAGAGCCCCCTTGGCTTCAGAACTGCGTTTGCTTTGCTGAAGTGGTAGCTGGGTGGCAAGACAAAAGATGAGGAGGAGATGGGCAAGGATGCAAGTTTGTTTGCAATGCAATCTGCAAACTTTTATAGACGTCCTGATCCGCAAAACCGCAGCTTCACAACTAGTGTGCGCAAAAGAGGGAAGGCCCATTTGATCTTAGCTGGCAGATTCCAATGTTTTTCATTTCCGGGAAGCTGCCGCAGCCCTGATCAGGCAGCTCAGCAGATTTGGCCCCTGCCAAACTTGACGACTGCTCTGTGCTGCCAAGAGGCCACTGGTCACGGTCGGCGGCAAGCCTGGCATATGCACACTTTGAAAGAAGTTTGGCACATCGACGGGTACGCAAACTGTACTCAAACATGAGTGCACCTGAAACACCAATACGGTACCGTAAAACACATTAATAATTCATTAAGGTTGTCCAATTGCAGCGTTGTCCAATATTTGATTTCTTATGTATGGTGATCTGGGCAGCTGATATGATTGGTGTGGGGTAAAAAAGTTTCACAAGCGTGAGGATATTAGCCAGTTCCACATGTAACAACGTATTCGTACAATGTATTGTTTCAGCAGCTTACTTTACGAAGCAAAAAAAAACATTTTATCTGCAAAAGTAGATGACTCAAACGAAACTCGACAATATATGACCATCCGAAGCCATTTTTGGGCAGGTCAGGAGATAATCTGTTGGCTGCTCGACCGAACAGTTGTTTATACTTCCTTGAATAAATGCACACTGTGATTACTTGTTGAAGTTATTCGTGAATCAGGCGCATCAGGTTCAATTCTGTACGTGATTCCGAGAACGGCATCTTCGGAATGTTGTCATGTGTGCTTTTGTTGCACGCGCCGCGGCAACCCGGCAACCGGGCGATCCCCCATAATCTTCCGACTGTGTGAACAATAAGCTCTGCGTATGTTAGTAGGTCAATCCCGGAGGACGGCTGCCGTTATCCCGGGGGTTAGGGTGGGACTAGTTTGCGGAGCGCTTGAATGTACAGGTTTAAGGGTTCTTGGTTTGTCCATGACCGGTAGAGTAAGCTTAACACTAGTCTCATAAAATCGGGACACCCCTTGTCCGGCTTCTCGATGGGCCTCGCAATTGGGAGAGTTCGGAAGATCGCGACGGATCCGCCGGGCATTTACTTTCATAGGGACCTCCCTGTGTTCTTAGTCGTTGCAAAGTCGCTGCAAAGTCGTTTGTTCCAGGTCATAAGGAATGAACCGGGGGTACTAAATCCTCCATGCATACCGGTATCCCGGTCCGGAGCAGTGAGACTGGCTTTACGAAGCAGGTACGGTGTACCTAGCTAGCTATACGTAATTTGGAAGGCACCAGTAGTATCTTCCGTGCAGACGATGCGGCGTTTCGTATTTGCGCATCATCCCAAAGTCAACATGCGAGAAGCTGCGCATGATTGTACGCCAGCCTGTGAGAAAGTCGCAACGCTTGCCATCTGGCCTCCGATACAGCGCGTGCCCTGGCAACCAGCGTAGCAATGATTGGCATCCTGTCAGGCTGTAGCGTGTACACCAAATACACGAGTACCTGGCCCTGGCCCACACGTACGAAGTTGCAGAGAGCTCTTGGATTTCGGGGTTAGCTCACACACCATGCGCGGCGGCGTATACTATGAAGGCGTCAAGCAGAATGGTGAGCTGTAGAGGTTATCAGCTGTACTTTTCGGTGTAGGCTTGTCTGGTGTGAGGTTCCCTGGCGCAGAGTCATTCCTGAGAAAAACGCGGGTTAACTGGCTGGTTTGCATGAAGCGCGCGCCTGGTTCAAGTGGCTCGCTGAGTCAGCAATCGCAGGCCGGGAATCTGATGGAATTCCCGGGCATTAACGTCCTTTCAATGGGTCTGAGGTCCATTGACACGCACCGCGCTTCTGTTGGTAACCCAGCACAGGTACACTAAACCCAGCTCAATCTGCAGGTTGGAAATTGATGCGGCCGAAAAGAGGGTAGAATATAGTATGGTTACCGTAATCGTCAAGGATGCTGGACATTTGCTAGAGCTATTGCCCAGCTTTGCACTTTGACTTGGTAATTGTGCCAGCTGGCAGTGGCCGTCAGATTCGTGTAAGCTGCGCAGAAGTTTCCCTATTGCAGAAGAGCGTCCGCCCAATTGTGAGTTGCAAACAAGAAGCAAAGCCAGAAGGACGAGATATTAGACGGAGATATCACGCTAGCTAAGACGTCAAAGAAATAGGAAGAAAAATCACGCTAGCGCAACGAAAGACGTGATGGTAGAGAAAACCACACCAGCTAAAAGAAAGAATTAGTGGGAGAAACCACGCTAGCTGAAAGAATGGAATAGAAGGAACAACACTACGATAGTTCGCCCCCAGCACTGTGTGCAAGGGACTGAGCCTTGTTGTGGTCGCCCCCATCCGCGCCTGCTCAACAACAAGTGGTTAGCTGGAGAAAGCAACACAGAGCCGGGGGTGCAGCATTGCGCTAGTGCAAGGGGATTGAGCGGAGGCGATCTTCACTGACTTGCTTGAAGGTAAGTGGAATGCTGAGAGAGCTGTATCTGCCTGCTCCCAATGGTTGGTTTCTCTCGATGTTACTTTTCGTAAGCGGGAATTGGCAATTCTTGCTGGAAGCTCTTGCTTTCTACACAAAGCGGCTATCGGGGTGTTCTTTAACGGCTTCATAAGTGTTGAGCAATTGTAGGCAGGATGCACTATTTCACTCTTTGCTGGTAAATTTCAAAAGGGCGGGGAGTGCTCAGACTGCCAACAAGGAGATCTGGGGTGATGCTGGGTCTTCAAGCCCCAATTGCCTCTACCTCGTCCATCAGATGATGAGCCCATTTGCTGTCATTCAACGCTGTCACAACCCAATTGCAAATGCCAAAGAGAACTGCTATGAAGCTAGCATACCTGATCCATGGCCATGCCATCAGCTATCTGCCCAATTCTTGTTGATCCAATGCTAAGATAAGGTCACTCCCAGTTTCTAAGTGAACTATCCTTGGGCTACAGGGCGCTCCGGCTGGTGCAGCTTTTACAAATAGTCAGCAGAGACAATGTCTTCACTTAATGGACAGTTCAGTCTGCAATGGGTTTTTGTGACTTAAATTTTGTGTCATTGCGCTTAGAAGCTGCAGTGTCGTAGGAGTAGAGTGATGTGATATGTTACGCACCGCGTATGTTCATTAGGACCAGAGCTTGCCAGCTTTCAAAGGCGCCAGAGCTAGTCAAAATTGGATCCACTATTCATTGATTTTCTGGATTGAATACTGCCAGGTGGTAGACTTGTCCAGTGTCTGGCTTGCAAAACGTCCTGTCCTTGCCAGCTATATCATCCTGCGGGGAAGGCCCCCTGGGTCTGGTTGCATCTTTAAGGGGCCCCTTGCGTATCGTAGCTTCTATATATACGAACTCCTCTTGATTGAAAAGTCCTCATGTCTTCTCCTATCCCAACCGCATTCCAATGCTTGCGACAAGGCAGCCATATTCCAAGGTGATAAAACCCCTGAGCGTTTGTGTCTTGTGCGCAACCTAGTATCTTCCAATGCTTCTGATGCATTCAATATCAGAATCCAATTTCGCGCTACTCAAAAGCGATCAGTTCTTCGTAACAAACCAATGTGAGCACCTCAGGCTCAAATCCCCTCTTACGATTAAGTTAGAAGGCTCTGTAGCAATCCTCCCCCCTGATGCAAGGAACAATCTCTACTCTTTTCTGGGTTGGTTTGAAAATGATTTCATTCCACCAGTCTGTCATTCGCCATCCAAGAGAAGAGTTTTTGGAAGGATACTGCATATCTTGAAAACGTTCAACTGGCACATGTACCCTCCCTTGAGTACACTGGCAAGCTCTCAATCGTCATTCTTAAAGTACTGTCAAGAATCCAAAGTCATGCTCAGGTGCTCCATATTTGGCAGAACGGAGAGAAGATGGGCTGCCGCACATAAGTCCTTTATCGCCTTCTTGCCAGAAGCCTTGCTTGATGAAATCCATTCGAATATCCCCGTCCTGTGTCTCTTCAAGAGGTCGCTTTGCTTTGACAGACGAGTCCATAATCTAGGTCTGTCTCTTTTGTTCCTGTAATACACCACTGAGTTTTACATCCTTCCACTTCTTATTCACTCTTACTTTGAGCTTTTTCACCCATCTTTTGCGAAAGTTCACATTTGTGAACTCCTCTCTCAAGGAGGTCCAATTCAAAGTCACACCTTGTCGCTCTCAAATATTGGGTATCGAAAACTCGAATTGTCCAAACATCCCTACCGTTCGTTGTTCCATATTCCCTTCCTAAATCGGCCGACCACAATTTTCTTGCAACTTTACTTGTCGCAAATTCATACGCCCTTCTTCTCCTTTCCGTTCAGTACTTTGCTGCCCAACATCTATAACCGATCGTTCGAATAGGGAATCCTAGGGTTTTCAAGAATACTCCGCTTTACTCCAAAGGAGCTGCCCGCGGGTGAAAAAGATTCGTATGATGTAAGAGAGGTATTCTGAACTAGTTGTTTCTCCGTCACAGGTCCGCCCCTCACTGATGGCGACTAGTTTCACGTGGACCTTTTCCACCATCTTCACCGAGACGAGCGAGGCCCTGCTGCGGCGCGAGCGCGAGCGCCTGCTACGGCTCGCGCTGAACCTCGCCTCCGCGCTGCCCGCGGACGGAAATCCGTCGAGCTTCGGACCCGTTCCGGCGGAAGAGAGCAACGTAAAAGGATACTGGTATAAGGTGAGTCTGGCCGAATATTTCATACGGAACATGGCAGGTTTACCGTTTTTTCTTTTCAAAAGTTGGTGATAGAGTTGCTTCCAGATTCCAGTAAGCCTTGATAACCGCGTACATCGTGTACTTGTACCGGTAAAACCGTGGTCGGCTGAGCAGTAAAACCAACTTCGAAGTTCGTGGCTCCTGTAGAATCATTTACAAAGTCAGAATGGCAATAAGGGATGCGCCTGAAAAGGGACATTCTGATTCGATTCTTGGAAACGCTAAATTTCGCTTGGATACCTCAAGAATGAGCAGATATTGACAAAATTTATGTGAATCAGGTTTACTGCCGCAACCAGGAGAGCTTGTTGCTACTCAAGCTCCTTCTTCTGAGGGAGTCCGACACGACGCTCACCGTCGGGCCGTTGAACGCGGACCCAATCGTCATCTACAGTGCCGCATATGGGGAGGGAACCGGGCGCGGCGCAAAGGCCAGCCTGTTTGTGTATACGCACCTGTGGGTAAATGACACGGCGCGGTTCTTCTGTCTCGGGTATGTACCGACGTGCACCGATTTGTTTTCAGGCGGTATAAGGAGAGTTTCGTTCCGCAGTACAGAGATGTGCACCGTCTTCATTCTCGAGATGTCAAAGGGTGTGTTGTTTCTCCCCGCTTTCTCTTTTCCCTGTGGAGAATAAGATCGGACTTCTAAACACGTACCAAGAAAGCCGTCATCTTAGGCTGCTTGTATCCTCGACAAGGCTTTAGCAGTGTCCGTGCCCTTCAACCGAAACACCACCTTTGCCCCTACGAGCTGTTTGCTTGACTTCACCTTCTACGATCAAACGTTTTCCATTTACTGCTCACCTTTTTCCTTCTTTGTGGGACCAAATGCCAACCGATCGAATTGCGGCGTCGACATCGTTGGTTTCATATTACCGCTGCTAGTCCACCAGAAAAGCAAAGCCTATCATGATCATTTTCAAACGCTTGAGAATCTGCTATTGTGCAGAAGCCGATTGGGCGCCGCGGCCGCCTGCGCGGTCTCCCAACCCTTGCACTCTCATGCCTTGCAAGGAAAACCAGGACAAGCGGTCGACTTGTCTTTTTTTGCCGTCAGATGCTTCCTCTGTCTTACATAGACTCTGAATAGTCGGACGAGACCTCAAATGTTCTCTGACTTCCGAAGAGAGGTCGGTCGTCCACGCCGCTTACTATTGTAGTCTCAAAACGGAAGAGACGTCACCAGGTTAAATGTTCACACGCCTTTCTTCGTTTGTGACGTCGACGTGCTTACCACACAGCATCTTGCCCGTCCGCACAAGCGCCGATGAGTCATCCCTCCGGAAGTAACAGCCTCGGCAGTTCTTCCGCTGGGTCACGATGAATTTCTTTCCCAGTACTCGCCGCTCTAGTTCTCCAGGGGCATGAAGTCAATCAGCCACCTGCCGAACTGAGCGGCCGTCTCTCCTACGACCTTCTTCTGCGATCGCTTTCTCGGTCATGACCCCTCCCGCTTTTCTCGTATAACTGATACATCACAGTCAACCGAGACCCCATGTTCAGACCACTTGTGGATACATGAGAACATGAAGGAAGGTCGAGTCACAGCGCCGATCTGAGAAAGGGAGCTTCTCTATCGACATAAATGTTCAATCCGCGTCAATCTTATAAGGGCATATGGCCTTGAAAACGGGACTTTATAGTCGGAGCGGATCTCGAAGTCCTTCAAGATCGGTCTTATTTGGCTCGTGATTCTTGATAATACCTGTCGAATTGAACAATACTGAAAACGCCTCCTTCGACTTGCCGTCCCCACCCTTTTGCTCCATTCAACGTCTCCTTTCACTCCAGGTACATGCAAGGCAGCGCGATGGAGCTCATCGTCCAACAGCGCCCCACTACGTGGCACGCCGTGGGCGAGAGCAGCGGGCGCATGTGCGCGACCTGCAACCCGCGGCAGCCGCTCGCGGACGCGCGCGCGGAGCAGCTCAAGCCGACGTACGAGGGATCCCCCTCGAATTCGCGCACGATCCCCATGTACTGCGACGGCAGACTGACGGACGTCAAGCACTACAACTTCGGCACTGACGTGGCGCTGTCCGCGATGTCCGGGAGCGCCACGTTGCGGCGCCTCTTCGCGCGCGCGCGCGTGGAGAACCTGACGGCGACCAGCCAGGTCGCGATGCGGCTTGGCGACGTCGCCGCGCTGCTCCACCTGACGGTGAAGCCGCACCACGGCGTGCTGGGCGAGGGTGACATCGTCACGGATGACGATGGTTACGTCATCCTGTACCGGTTGCCAGCCCCGATCGACGGGATGCTGCGGCCCGTGGAATCGGTAGAGGGGCGCCGGGTGCTGATTATGCAGAATGAGGCGGCCAAGAAAATAAGCGTCTGGACGGGGAACCGGGTGCAGGTAGCAAGGCCTTCGTCAATAAGCTATGACACGGACTTCTTCCTGGCGATGAAGACGCTTTCGATGTTTGGGGCCTAGGGGAACTTCGTTACCGTCGGTCGGGTCAGGTTCGCAGCGTGGCGTACGATCTTCACGTTTAAGGATCAAGCTGCCAAGCGCCGAGCCAGAGACACGTGACAGCATTAATTACCCGTGAAAGAAAACACGTCCGTCTCTTACTTTTACTTTGCCTAGTAAGATAAGTGGCTTTTGCACAGGTCTCGATTGATCTGGAAAGATGACGGCTTGTAAGTACCCGCACTCGGACAGACCTTGCATCGGCTATACGTTACCGATCTTCATTAAAATCTCGCGGTTAGGGCCTGCAGTAGAAGTAGCGCGACATGCTTTACGCAGTTCTTGTACAGCTGAATCCGGATGCCTTGCACAATACGAGGTTAGTACCATCAAATAACCAGCACACAGGCAAGAGGCTAGGCCTCTCAACTTTTCAACTTTTGTATGTAGTAGCTTTTGAATGTATTTTTCAAGCAACGATACCTTTCCCTCGACATTTTTGGCCCTGGCAGATTGTACCTCAGTAAAGTCGACCCGCTGATCCAAACTTCAAATCACGTCGCGTGCAACAGTCCGATACCGAGGATCCGCCGAGCATCTAGTACCGCAGTGCTGACCCGGTTCCAACTTCATACTTGCACTGTTTGCCGGGCCCGCACAGAGCTAGAGTCTCTCAGACGTACGAGCATCATTCTGGGTCTTGCTGCCGGCGCGTGACTGATTGATATAGGTGCTTGTGCAAGCACCTACATCAAACGATGTATGGCTGCCTTTACAGCTACTGAGTGGAATCTCCGTGTCCGAATTGCATGGGTCGAAGTACATTGGCATGACCGTTGGTTTCCGTTGCGGTCATTTGAGGCGATTTGAATTATTGCTTCTCAAGGCCTCACCGCAAATGGCTTTGCCCACGTGGCGTATTCATATACATGATACATCTGCGCTATAGTCTTCATGTTGTCAGCAGTTGCTTGAAGGCTCGTAGTACTGCCAAGGTCCGTAAAAGAAAGTATGTCAATTATGCGTCTGCTTCGGCGTCGAGTTCTTCGAACATCTGTTCATCAAAGTCTGGACGACTGTCGAGCACCTCTGTTCGGCACTGTCTCTTGCGCTGCGGCACTCGCGAACGGGACCTCTTGAGTGCATACACACAACTACCATCCAAATCAGGCAATCGGTAGGTCTAAAAGGTATTGGGCTCATTCCCGGTCTTTATCCATTACCGGGCCTTTCAAAAGAGCAGGCAGTCGACTGTCAACTTTATGAATCCGTCTAAGCGGCTCCAACACATCTAATCAGTGAGAGCATACATTCTCAGCTCTATTCTATGCGAAGCTATGCTGATCTCCCGTGTAGCGCGATGCGAATCTCTACACTTTAACAGTTCTCAACTCAAACTATCTGATACGCTAGCTCAAAGTCTAGAAACGTCAACTCAATAAAACGGCCGCTCAGCTTACCCTACGAAAGGCTTCGAGTGATTGAAAAACGGAGGCTCTAAACTAGCTTCGGAATTAACGCCTTGCCATGCGGGAACTCGCGCAAGAAGCTCGTGCCCTTAACCAGATCTGGGTATCGAATCAGACAAGAACCACGTTCTCCCTTTTATACGGGCACTTAACCAACCACAAACCAAGCTTGGTCTATGCTGATCTCTTGGTTAACGCTGTGCTGCCCCCGAATCCTTCCAGAATTAGAAGGTGCTGGTCTCAGTCAATCGCCCACCGGGCGCTTGTCCCGGGCAACTAGTGTGGGCTCGAGGTGGGGCTAACAGCGCCCGGGGCAGGCGAGATTCCGAGAGCCTGATACCACTGACCCTGCACGAGAAAAATCGCAATCCAGGATCAATAGAGCGTCAATATCAAAGAGTGGAAAGCAGCAAAGAGGACATGTAGGGACATCACGGGTTTATTGCGAGGTTCCGAGAGCCTGAGACCACTGACCGTGCACGAGAAAAGAACATCCAAGATTCGTTAAGAGGCATTGAGAAGCGGAGAGCAGCAAAGCCTGAGGGGAAGCGTGAGAACATTCGCTCAAGATATGACGGAAGGGCCTAGTCGAGTCATGCTCTAGTCATCGTTCGATTGAGGAGCTTCACCGGTTTGCCAGTTCGCAGTCCAAACTTTCTAATCCAGACACATATACCCTAACTTCCCAACTTGTAGTCCAAGTTCAGGATCTAGTCCGAAAAACCGTAGCTTCTCCGACCTCTATTCCAAGGTTTCGATTTAGAGGCATAAAGCGCAGCTTTCCCCATTCTGGAAGGACTGATTTGCGCCCACTCACTTGGAACCGGGAGTAAGCCCCAGTCGTGCTCAGCACATCGTCAGCGAGGTAGTCCGCCGGCGAGCCGTCCACCCGATCACCGTGGCCAGGAACGAACGTCTGGCCAATCAGGCCGTGACACGTGTCGCCAGCAGGGACGCCCAACACTTGCACGATGAGCTGCAGGTGGGAAGCATTTGGATAGGAATCAGCGGAATGTAGCCCGCGGTCCAAGGAGGTTAGACTGCCGGCATTCGGGGCTAACTACTTCGTCTACAAGGTATCCATCAATGAGCACGCCGCTTGAGTCGAGGCTACCTCGAATCGTCTGCAAGAAACTTGTCGATGAACACCTAGGTTATGTCAGGGCTAGGTAGAACTGTCTACAAGGAGCTCAGCGATGAACAACCGGGTTAGATCGAGGTGCGGACCACCTCGTTGCAAATAAGCTCTGATTTGAATGCAGGAGACTGATCAGGCAGCTGCAGCCAAGATTACTCGACGAGCAGCGCTTCTGCAGAGCAGTCGTAAGAGGGCGAAAAGCCGATTAGAGGAGGGACCTCATCTAAAAATCAGCACTGCAAATGTTGCATCCTTATGTAGTCAAATCGAAAGTTTCCGGTCTTACATAATCCAGGAAGGGTCCGGTGGCGGAAGCGCCGGACGGAACGATCTGGATGTGGAGCACTGGGCTGTCGTTGACGGCCACGTATACTTCGTTTCCGCTCCGGTCGACGGTCATTCCGTTGAAGAAGTAGCGGCGCTGGCGATCCAGCAGGGGCCTCTGAAATTGGAGTGCAGGTAAGTTGTTGAACGTTAGCGCTCGAATGTTACTCAATTGCACGCATGCTGATACGTTGAGAGGAGAAACGCAGATATCTATTTTGAACTAAAAAGAGGGTATACATCCGGAATGATAGCCGAAGGAAAATCAGCTCGCCAGCCTGGTAACGTTGGAGTTACTTGGCGGTTTAGGATGGGTACAGGTGCAGAGCAGGTATCTTGTTGGGTTATCTTTTAGGTATTTTGGTCATATGTTTGAAGGCTTCCATTCTGAATCAGACCATCACGCTTTTAGTCAACAGGGCCTCAAATCGACGGGTCCGCCACCAGTGTCATCAATGTCTTGTCCGCCCAGCGAAATATGACTTGTCCTATTGTGAGGTAGGTGCCTCACTCTACGTCATCAAGGAGTTGCTGGAAACAGGGCAGCTGTGCTGGGAGTCACTGCAAGTTGTTACTTGCCCTTTATCGATTTTAGACGAGTTTTCCAACCGGCACCCTTGATCGCTTACTGACGGAAACCCTGAAAAGATGTGAACTTTGCTGTCTCATCAGCGGAAAGAAATAGGACGGGGCAGATGGGCTTACGTTCGGTGTCGTCAGCTTGCCGTAGAAGCGCTGCGCGCGCGCGGCCGCGGTGCTCGCGGCGTCGACCTGGATCTTCTGCCACTTGAAGGTGACGCCCACTTTGTCGATGTACTGCGGGCAAGAAGGAAAAGCGCCGAGAGGCGTGAGCTTTTTGAATCGAATTTGCTCGTAAGAGATGACATGCTGCTTGTTCCTGGTGTGGGAATTTCAAAAGTGACATGGTGAGAATTCTTCTGGTTCGATTTGTTGTGCACTGCTCGCGCAGAAAGCGAGAACGGTTTGTGTGGATAAGAACCTTTTCCAGAGATAGTCTCACAGCCGTCAAGGTTACAGGAGAAAGGTAGCAAGACCACCAGAAGACTTGTTGTGTCTGTACGGGTTCTCTTCAAGGAGGTAAGATAATCTTCGGGACGTCGGACCCTGTAATATAATCATTGAAAAATCACCCGAGAAAGCGTGCAATGAAATCCATTCACGGGTGCCCATCGGAGCAACACGTCACAGGAAGGCTGAAAGACTGTAGTGGTTGGCCAAATAGAAGCGTGCGTGGAAGAAGTGTAATTTGCACAGGAAAGACAGCACAAAGGGATACATCCTGACAAACAGAGTGATTTTCATACTTTGGAGAGGAATTGCTCATCCTCGAACGATACATGATTTCCCCGGCTCAGCGAGATACACATTTTTTGGAGTTCAATAAAGTCCGCCTACTTTGTTCCCGTACCTTATCAAAAGTTAGAGCTTACAAATTAGAAGGCAAGGCGAGAATTTTCGCTTACCAGCGTTCCGTCCTTTCCGTTCGTCAGGTGCACATTCGCTTGCAGAGCGGAACACGACAGAACGTTCAGGTTCTGGCCCGTTGCAGCCTCGATCGCGATCGGCTTCCCGTCCTTCGACTGTAACGCTGGCCAGACAGATGGCTTCAGCGTTACAGCCGCTTTCGTGGGCGCGGGTGTGGGCGCTGCAGTCGGGCTCGGCGTCCGTTCCGGCGTCGGTTCCGGTGTCGGGTCCGGTTTCGTTTCCGGCGTGTATTCAGTGGGTTCCGGTGTAGGTTCCGGTGTAGGTTCCGGCGTTGGCTCCGGTGCGTATTCCTGTTCCGGTTCCGGTGTCCGCATCCGCTCGTCATGCTCCTCGTTTCCGTACGCTTGCTCCGTATGCTCTTCCCGTTCCTCGCGTCCTTCGGAATACTGCTCGGTTTGCTCTACCGGGCTCTCGTGCTCGTCACCGTTTGCGTGTCCCGACTCTTCGTCTCGGTGCTCTTGCGGCTCCGCGTAAGCGTTCTGAGTGTCAACCGGTCCGTCAGCGTTCTCAAGGTGATACTCTGACACATCCTCGTGTCTTGCCACGGGCTCGGAGGGCTCCTCCGGGCTGCTGGAACGGTCCGCATGATACTCTGTTTCTGTGTCGTGCTCGGGGGATCCCTCCGGGGTGCTTGGCTGGTCCGGGTTGCGTCCCTCGGCATGAGGGTTCCTTCAAACAGAGAAAGCAAGGTTATTTTAGAATTTGCAAGCTGGAAATAGAACAGACGCACTTACAACTGCGGTTTGCGGATGCTCTCGTGAAGGTAGGCTTCGTGTCAACTTCGAACCGGAAACCATACGCAGAGCAAGGCGAGGCGAGTTCAGCAGAAGCGTATTATACTCCGGCTGACGCGGCGCGTCAAGTGTGTTCGAAAGGGCATCTGTGAGACGACTGTTTACATTCGGATCGGGATCGAACGGACTGCGAGATTTTTTTTTTGATTTCGATCACGTGCATCTTTGTGTCTACGTCTCCGCTTTACGTCCTAGACTATTTTCACAAAATTGCCGGTTGGAGACAAACCGCAAAATTGCGATCATTAAGAACCTACCAAAACTTCCAGAAAACCTCGACAGCGCGTCTGTTGTTTTTCGACGTGTGTTGGTCGACCAGTCGAGGTTTTCTAGTCTCGACTGTGAGGATATCGAAAAAGAAAAGGAATTCAGCGGCAGCGGCAGCGGCTCACTCCGGCTGCCTGTTTCCGCTCCCGATCTGCCGCCCGTACTCCATCCCCGCCTTGAACAGCTCCACGTCGCGGGAGCTCAGCTGCCGGAAGTCCGCGCGCTCCGGCTCGCGCTCGGGCTGCTCGCGCGCGGGCTCCTCGCGCATTTCGTTGTTGTGTCCTGCAACGATAGCGTGGGCAGTTTCAGCGGATGAGTCTAAGATGCAGAAGCAGTTGTTGCGGTTCTCTTGACGCCTTCCAGGGTCTCGTTTTCCAAAGAGTGAATCTAATTCTTCTGTGTATCTCGCTGATCGTAGGTGCTTCATCCTGAGGTATCACCTCATACGGCTAACTCAAAGATCCGGAGTATGCCACGACGAACTCTTGTGCATATCGAGCGAACGCAGAGTTCACTTGGACAGGCAACAAGCTTGGCTTCGGCTTTGCTTCATTCCTCTGGACTGCAATGCAAAGTCATTGAATCAGCTAGGAATGCCTTATTCTCGAGAAGGTTATATAACAGCGCGGAGAAACATTAGCGCGGAGTTCGAATGTTAACACTCCTTACCGTGACCGGTAGGATTGGTACTGGAGGGGAACTCCACCAGAGACCCGGGCCCCCAGTTCGCTTGACCCGGCCAGTTCTGGCCAAACCCGGCACCGTAACCCTGGTTACCGGGCCAAAAACCCTGGAGGTTAACTCCCGGCCCGCCGTATTGCCCGGCGCCCCCATATCGGGGCCCGGACTGCTGGTACTCGTCGTTTTCATCCCAGCCGGTACGGCTCTCCCGGGCATCACCACCGTTGAAATTCTCCTCGATGTTGATTACGATCTGTCCGTCGCCGCCTTCGGAGTCTGACCGGTGGCGATGACCGCGCGAGTGGTCTAGGAGGGGGTTAACGACAGGGGTTAGACGAGGGTTATGAAGGGGGTCAAAGACGGAGTGAGGTATTCTCTCAAACTGATGAAGCCGATTTAGAATACACTTTCTTTACAAGGGATAAGAGGATCAGATTGCACCGCGGTTCACAGACTTGTTCAAATTGCTTATGCAGCAACGGTCTGGATAGTCAATGCTGTGACGGATCTACTCGGCCAATCAATCGAAGTGGAACGGAAAAGGGCGTGAACGGAGAATCTACCGTGATGGGTTGCCCGGTAGTTGTACCCCGGTTGCTGCGGGTACTGGGGCAGCCCATAGTTGGGGTACATGGCCGGAGGGTTGTTGAAACCGCCGGGCATTCCAGGGTACCAATTGTTGGGGGTGCCTGCAGATAGCGCGTCTCTCCGATCAAATGTGTTCTGATCCTTATGTAGCTTGGTCTCCGCTCTTTCGAATTCCGGATTGTTGTAGTGACTAGTGCTTTTCGACAAAGAGCAGAGGCACCTCAGAATATCGGAGGCGCAGGATTCATCTAATTTGCATCGGACCCTTTCAGCATTGGCAAGGATGTGCAGCCCATAAGCCCAACAAAAAGCTTTTCAACAACCGATCCTACTCGCTCTTATCCCAGGTCTATCCTGATGTCGCCGTTTGCGTTCTACATGAGTCTTTCAAAGGCGAACCATGAAAACAACATGCGAAGACGGCTCCTACGTCGTAATCTAACCGTAATTCTGGAATCAGAGAGCGAACCGGTCGAAGTTGGTGGGTCGGCGAGAACAGAAGCATTCTCTTGGCCGTCTTAAGTACGTCTTTAATTCTTATGCATGTGAACGGTACAAACCTCTAACCTCAAGCTGTCTCTTACCAGTAGGGTTGGTATTTGGTTGGCACTTGGTTGGGTCGGGGTACAGCCAACCGACGCGCGCGTCGAAGACGGGGGGTGGGCATGGCGGCAGACCGCCCGGGTTAGTCGAACCACCCGGGTTAGGTGCCCCACCCGGGTTAGGTAACCCGCCCGGATAAGGCATATTGCCGGGGTTTGGTGAAGTACCCGGGTTAGGTATTCCACTCGGGTAACCGCCCGGATTAGGAGACCGGGAAGGCATATGCATGGGACGAGCGGACGGAGACGCCTCGGGGAAGTAGGTACCGGGGGACGTCAAAGGGTTGGACGGAATGCAGTTAGCGGGGTCAGGCATAACCCAGCCGTAACCCGGTTGGTACCGGGGCGGGGCGCACGGGGGCAGGTTGGGGGAAGGGACCGGGGAGGGGGATCCCCCCGGGGCCTGCGGGATGCAGTCCCTGGCGGTCGGGTAAACCCAGCCGTAACCCTCGTTATAACGAGGGGGCGGGCAGGGGGGCAAAGATTGCCCGGGGGAAGCTACCGGGGACCCTGAAGGGGAGGGGTTTGGGGTTTGGGGAACGCAATTATCTGTTTCCGGGTAAACCCAGCCGTAACCCTCCTGGAACTCGGGCGGGTCGCACGGGGGAAGACTGGGAGAGAGACCGGGGGAAGTGGCCGGGGACGCCGACGGGGAGGGGTTAGGAATGCAGTTAGTGGTGTCGGGGTAAACCCAGCCGTAACCCTGTAGGTACTGGGGCGGGGAGCAGGGGGGGAGCTCGGGGGAGGCGCTCGGTTGAGGGGATGGAGACGCGCCGGGGGGTAGTGACGGGGAGCCTGGAAAGTGGGTTATTGGTGGGTAAAAGCTAAGTTTGCGTTCGTTATCAGGACAAGGTCTGGGGAAGGTCGACGAAATTTTGACCGACATGTAGTAGATGCCCACGTTCGAAGAGTCTAGGCTTTGACACGTAAAACTGGGGTCAATAAAGGAACATGCGTCTCTTAGCTTAAAATCTTCAGAGTCCCCTGGGTTCCTTTCAACCAGGCAAAAAAAGTCTTGGACCATAACACACGTGAAACTTTCTGAAGGCGTGGCATCATAAGATGACCTGAGATGATCAGAATACTAGGCTGCCTGAGCCTTGAAGGGCGGAAATTGGGGCAGTAAATGAGTCGGTGTTTCAAAAGTGTTCCGACATGGTTCCAAGAAGAATGTACAGAGAGGTGGAGACAGGAACAAACACTTCTCCCGTGCTGTTCCGAGAGATTTAGAAAGTTCCAACAAACGTAACGAAGGATGATGGAGTGCAGGGGATTGAAAATGCGCAAACGCAAACCGAAGCAGCAGTCACAAGCATATCAAGCCTTCTCTCTTTCAGGTGAAACCTGTGAGTTCAAAGCTCGCCTTACTTGGGCTTCAAATTTGAAGAGTGCAAAATCGTTTGGAATCAAGGTGAAGTTAAGTGGCCTCTATTAATACCTGATGGCTCGGGCACTGGCGAAGAAGACGGGCTTGGGATGACGATCTTTTCAGGAGGAGGTGACAGCGTTGGCCAGGAAGAAGGGGACGGCTCGGGGGATCCCTCCGGGTTGGGCGACGCAGAAGGAGAGGGCTCGGGGGATCCCTCCGGATACGGCGAAGCAGACGGAGAGGGCTCGGGGGATCCCTCCGGGTTTGGTGAAGCTGACGGCGAAGGTGGCGTCAGCGGTGACGGGGACGGTGACGTCAGCGGCGGAGAGGAAGGAGAGGGTTCGGGGGAGGTCCCCGGGGGAGGCGAAGCAGAGGGAGAGGGAGAGGGGGATGACCCCGGAGAGGGCGAAACTGACGTCAGCGGCGATGGGGTTGGTGACGTCTGCGGTGACGGTGACGGGGAATTTTGTGGGAAGGGAGAGGGAGAGGTCATCAGGCAGGGGGGCGGCTTGCAGGTACTCCGAGATGACGTCACGCCCTGGTTGGATGACGTCACGGAGGGGGGAGCGATCGGGGAGAAGGCCGCGCGACTGCCGGGGCCGTCCACGTGGACGTGGTTGGCGCCGACCTGCATCAGTCGGAACCGTTTGTTCTTGTTACACTTCGTTTCAGATATCTATGAAGATTTCTTCCTCCTTGTCTTCCAGATGAGTTCGTAATGTCTTTCATTCTCGCTTCTTATGAGTTTGAAAAGCTGAGCTAGAGCCTGCTAAGGACCGGTGAGTGCTTTGTCTGAGCCCTTCGTTGCTAACGTCCCACGTCGGAACACTTCTTTAGGCTATTTCATAGGAGTCCACAAAAAGGAGAGTTGTTCCCTGTTCGCTGCAACCGTCCCTATCAACTGGTATCCCACCATATCAGGGCTTGTCTCTTGCTTTCGACTGATGCAATCTCGAGGGGTCTCATACACTCGATCAGTAGATTGAGCGCCCAGAGGAAAAACTCCTGTATCACTTGTCTCAAAGACGATCTCGAGCTGCTCACCTGATCGGCGTTTGCGGTGAAGACCGCGGCGTCGAAGAACGCGCGCCCGCCCTGGACCGCGACCGCGCCGCCCGCGCGCGCGCTCGTGGGCGCGGGCGCGCCGGCGCTGTTGCCGCTGAACTGCGTCGAGACCAAATAGGCGAGGCCGCCTTCGCCGACGTACACGGCGCCTCCGTAATCCTGTGAACGAACAATTCTGACTTATGACCAGCTTGAACACGAGAAATTTTCTGTTCATCAGTTGATTTTCTCACTTTGAAAGTTCGCTGTTTAGCGAGAAGATTTGAAAATTGCCCCTTTTCCGAATGCATCTATGGCGAAGGGCTGTCGAAAAAGCGGCCGGTTCAGCATGTGCAAGGGAGAGATCTGCAAAACCCACTGAAACGTCGGTCCATTTAACAAAGGACATTCGTAGGAACACGCTCCTAAGGGTTATAGACCGATTCTATCATAAGACTTGGGTTATTTCGGTCTCATAACTTCTTCGTAGCTGCTTGTTTCAAGGACGTAATTCAGAATAGGTGCACCGCTCACCTGCGCCTTGTTGCTAGCAAGGACACTGTTCTCAAGAACGGCCGTTCCGCTGGGGCACCCGTCGTTCGCGTCGCCCATAACCAGCAGAGCGCCTCCGTTGGAACGGCCCTACACACAAAACCAAGTTCTCGTGAGCTTTGTACTTTGCGAACTTTTGCAAGGAAACGAAACGACCACTAAGCCCAGCTGATTGCTGACCTTTTCTTTCCACGTATGAGAAGATTCTTGGCAAAGAAAGCGCAAACGGGTTTGAACCGAGTCAACGGCCCTGTCACTATGCGGCTCAGCCGTCGTTGCCGCACATTCGTAAACAAGTGGGGTTGTCGTCGTCCATAGGGATCTTCATTTTCGACCCTATCACTTCGACTTTTCAGCTCATATCTCCCAGCTTTACTTATCGCTCATCTAGTTGAAACCAGTAGATGGTCTGATATGCCAACCGGAAACTTTGAGACTGCCCTCACCATTGCACCGGATGCTTGATTCTCCTCAAAGACGCAGCTTTTGAAGAGGGCTCCGCCGCCAAGTACCGCGACCGCGCCTCCGCCCGCCAGCTTGTTCGACGCCGTCGACTGAACGCCATGAAGACGGAACCCGTGTCAGCTCCGGCGGAATGCCAAGCGGAAATTGAGTCAGGTACAGGAGGAAAAGATAAGGGCAGCGACTTTGCAGGGCAGCTGGCTGAATCGTCCACAGAAGACGATGCTCAAGGGTTTCAATAGTTCAAAACCGCGTTCTACTGCCTTCTTGTAAAATGTGTTCACTTGCTTTGCTTGCAAGCTGGCAAACTTGTAGGAGACGAATAAGTCGCCTTTCTCCGGGACGCAAGGTATCACTTTCCGCCGCATCTTCAACCGCGCGGCGGCAGGGGTATCGGCAATATCTCGACGGCCACGCTCAGACTTTCTCTGTCACGCATATTATTGGAACCTTCGAAGAACTCGGAAGCGTGCTTTCGTTTCAAGTGGCAAGAGCTTTTTGAGGCCTTCAGAACAGGCGTAAAGGCTGTGGGGACCAAGAAATCCTTTCCATTAAGAAGCAAAGTGATCAAGGTCGACATACTCTGGCCTGGTTTCCTTTGAAGTCGACGTTCCCGGCGATCAGGTAGCCTCCGCAGCCGACTGTGACGGCTCCTCCCGCTGCCTGCAAAATATTGGTCAACAATCTCAATCAATCAGGTGAAATGGGTCATTACGGTTCCTCCTCGATTTGAAAGCGGGCTAACCAGGGTACAACCAGCGATTATAAAACAACAACGTATATCTGATTCGCTGTGCGATTTGCACTCTTCTTGAGGTCAAGAATTTTGAAACCTTGTAAGCTGGAGCCACAGCTCTGTTGGATGCGATCTCCGGTGAATGTGGCACGGAGAAAGAGCACCTGCCAAAAAGGCCGGTAATGATATGAGCCCCACCGGAATATTCAACGAAAAAACAGCCGCGGAAATATTGCCGTAAATGTCACCTGCACCCCTCCTTGAATGATGACGCTCTGCAGGTACAGCCCTCCCCCGGTCACGACCTGGAACACGCCGTCCTGTCCCGAGCCGAGGATCGCGCACCTCCCGCTCGCGCATTTCGCCGCGTTGCTCTTGATCTGAAACACGCGCCTGACAGGTGGCAGCGACTCCGACAGCTGTACGTCGCCCACCAGGGTCGCCCCGCAGACGGACAGGTCCGTGAGGGCGTCCGAAAGCTCGCTTTCGGACGAAACCGGACGCAGGAACGAGCAGACGAAGTCGGGTTTGCACGGTAACCCGGTCGGGGGCGGCAGGGGAGATTCCGTGGGTGTAGGCGCCGGGGTGTTGGGCGGGTTAGTGGGCGCGTTAGTGGGTGGATTGGTGGGGGAGTTGGTAGGCGTACCGGGCGGGTTTGTCGGCGGGTTAGTGGGTGGACTGGTGGGCGGGTTGGTAGGCGTACCGGGCGGGTTAGTGGGCAGGTTAGTGGGTGGATTCGTGGGCGGGTTGGTAGGCGTACCGGGCGGGTTAGTGGGCAGGTTAGTGGGTGGATTGTGGGCG